GCCATTCTTCCGGTTCGATCCGCCAGTATGATGGTAGGTGCCGCATCTTGCAAGATATCCTTGAGGCGATCGCCTGCATAGAACGGATCGAGGGGTAAATACGCGCTACCGGCTTTGAGGATGGCCAGTATGCCGACAATCATCGAAAGCGACCGCTCAACACAGATCGCAACCAGGGTGTCTGGATGGGCACCGAGTTTTATGAGACGATGTGCCAAACAGTTGGCGCGTGCATTCAGCTCGCCATATGTCAACGATTGGTCCTCATGCACGACAGCAACAGCATCTGGTGTGCGCTCGACCTGCTTCTCGAAGAGGTGGTGTAGGCAATCATCGGCAGGGTAATCCTCGTTTGTGGTGTTCCATGTCCGAAGCAGCAGCTCCCGCTCCTCCGCTGGCAACACCTCCAGCTGCCAAATGGGCATGCTGCTTCCGGTCTCAAGTGCGTCGGCTAGACTCTCCAGAGTCTGTTTCATATACGCACATAAGCGAGCTGGGTCAGCGGGGTCCATAGTTTGTGCTGTAAGACCTAGAGCTGTGCCGAAGTCCTCTACTGACAAAGTAAGCGGATAGTTGGTGCGCTCCTGACTGCTCAGGAACTCAAGACCGGGGTATTCAAACCACCCCTCCTGGCTGATGAGCTCGCCGTTGGGTGTTCTGACACCGTTTGTCGAAAGGAGCGACGAATGCCTGTAGTTTAAGAGTCCACTAAATAGAGGAGTGCCTGCAGGGACGCTACTGCATCGTTGAGCCAGAGCCAAAGACGCATGCTCGTGCTCCAGAAGAGCTGTCAATTGTACGTGAGTGTCCTGAACGCATTCGCGGATACTGCGATCGTCGACGTCACAGCGGAAAGGCAGCGTGTTCATGGATAGTCCCAGTGCGTGTCCAGACCCATTACCGGTTTGCAGCCTTCCAAAGAGCACTGTACCAAAGACCACACGCTGCTGCCCACTGGCACGTGCGAGGACTTGCGCCCACGCAACATGGCAGAGCGCCGCCAAGCTAACTCGTAGCCGCTTGGCCTGTAACCGGAGGCGATCGTTCAATTCTTGCGGCAGGATCTGGTATGATTCCTTGACCTCAATACCACCGTCAGATACGGCAGTCATGCTAAACGGCAATGTGGGCTCATCGACGTCGATAAGCATCTTCTTGAAGAACTGCTCGTGATCCTCGGGACTTGATTTCAGGCGCACTAGTGCCAGATGGTCGCGGAAAGCAAGAGACGCTGGGAGAGAGTCCCCATGGCCGTCCAGTATAGCCTTGATCTCGACATGCATCTCCTCCTCTGCTGCATGGTCACCGATGAGATGATGTATCAGCTGAACCAGCAGCCATCGACCATCGGTGTCTTGGGTCACAATGAATCGAAGCAGCGGTGCCTGACTCAGGTCGATACTGTAGTGCTTGGGATTGAACCGTCTGTTGAGTTGCTCATTGATGGGTCCATCAGTCGGGTCCAAGGAAAGCTCCAAGACCGGCAGAGACGCATTTCTACGCACTACTTGCGCCGAGGTCGACAAATCTTTCCAGAAAAAGGACGTCCTAAGTATATCGTGTCGATCCACCACCGTCTGGAATGCTTCGAGGTATCGATCGAGCAATGTCCTTGTCTCGAACGCGATGGTTGATGTGAGCAGGTACGGATCTCCCTCTTTGGCAAGCAGATGATGGAACAAGATGCCGTCCTGCAATGTCGTCAGCGCGTAGATGTCCTGGATGTTGGAGACTCCTCCTGGAATGTTCTGTACAATATGGTCGATGTCGCTTTGCATCAGGTCTATCAATGGCAGCATCTCCGGCGTCAGAGTCTTGGTCTCCGGGGTGATGAGGTTCAAAGGGATACGTGCTGCTTCGTAGCCCCTTGCGACCTGTGCTAATGCACTGAGGGTGGGGTTCTCGAAGAGTGAACGCACAGAGACCGTGAGATCGATGCGACGCAAGTGGTCGATCATCCTTGCGACAAGAAGTGAGTGTCCACCGAGTGCAAAAAAGTTGTCATGACGACTAATTCGCTCGATCTTCAAAAGCTGGCTCCAGATAGCGGCCAGCATGATCTCGATATCGGTTCGCGGTGCTTCGTATGCCTCTCGAGCAAAGTCATCCTCATTTGGTGCGAGAAGGGCTTTACGGTCGAGTTTTTCGTTTGCTGTGAGGGGCATAGCATCCAGTCGGACATAGGCTGAGGGTACCATGTACTGTGGCAGTTTGACTGCAAGGTAGGATCGAAGGTGATGCGCAAGCTGCTTCCTGGGTTCCGACACAACATACGCGACAAGTTGCTTGTCATCACCATCACCTAGCATCAGAACCACAGCCTCGGACACCCATTCGTGCTCCACAAGATGCGCCTCAATCTCGCCAAGCTCGATTCGGAAACCACGAATCTTGACCTGAAAGTCGGAGCGACCTAGATACACCAAGTTGCCGTCAGGAAGGTACCGTACCAAGTCCCCAGTCTTGTACATCCGAGCATGCTCTTGCTTGCTGAAAGGGTCCAGGAGGAATCGTTCCATCGTAAGGTCTGGTCTGTTGAGATATCCGCGAGCTACTCCCTCTCCACCAATGTAGAGTTCTCCAACGATTCCTAGTGGCGCCAGCTGTTGGTGGTCATCCAGCACATAGAGTCGAGCATTCCCTGATGGTCGCCCAATAGGTACTACATCTCCGTCATATTCCGCTGGGCACTTCCAGGTGGCACAGCTGACAGAGGCTTCCGTTGGCCCAAAGTCGTTGAACACAGTGTATCCTTGGCGGATCAGGTTCTGAAGCAGGCTCGGTCCGAGTGCCTCGCCTCCTAACACCAATGTCAATGGCTTGGTTGACCTAGGCAAGTCATTTCCATCTTGAAGGAAAGAAGGCGTGAAGGTCGCATGGGTGATTGACTGCTGAATAATGTAGTCCCATAGCTGGTTGCGGTCCATGCGGATACTGTCTGGGGCCAGGTAAAGTGCGGCACCAGAACACAACGATAGAAAGATCTCCCAGACACTAAAGTCGAAGCTGATGGATGCAAACTGCAGCATGCGACTGTGCTCTTGGACACCCATGAGCTCTCTGTGATGCTGTAAAAAGCTTGATACGCCCCGATGCTCGACCATCACACCTTTGGGCTTGCCAGTCGACCCAGAAGTATAGATGACATAGGCCAGGTGCCGTGATGTCAACCCATGTACTTGCGGGTTGGTAGTTTGGTACGCCAGAGACTCGTTTGAATTCAGTACAGTCATGGAACGCAAAGTTGAATCATCAAGAGCGGCACGACCGGTCTTATCAACGACCATTATGGAGGGTGCGGCATCAGCAAGTATGTTTCTCAGACGTTCGCTCGGATAGGATGGATCCAAAGGTATATAGGCGCCTCCAGCCTTCATAATCGCCAGAATGCTCACGGCCATCTCAGTTGAACGGCTCACGCACAGCCCGACGCATGTGTCTGGTCGGACACCTAGCTCAAGGAGCCTATGAGCAAGCTTGTTGGATCTCGCATTTAGATCGGCGTATGTCAGGGCTTGGTCTTCCTGGACGAAAGCAATAGCTTCAGGAGTGCGCTCGACTTGCTCCTCAAACAGCTGGTGGATGGTATAGTGTCCTTGAGGAAGAGGCAGTGTCTTGCTCCATGTTTCAGTAAGCAATGTCCGCTCAGCAGGGGAGACGATATTGACCTTGGCGACAGGCAGCATAGCGTCGGATGCCAAGCCTCTCAGCATCGATTCGAGATATCCCACATGTCGCTCAATAGTGGGGGAGTCAAAGAGAGCTGCCGCATATCGCATTGCTCCCTGTATGTGGCCATCGACATATCCTAAATGCAGCTCGAGCTCGGATTCAATTGAGACCAAAGTCGATGGCAGTTCTCCAGCATTCGGTCCATGCCCTTGACTGAACCAGTAAAATGAGACTTGATGGCGTGCAACGTGACCCTTGTTGCACAAACTTGAAGAAGCTGCATTGTTAAGAAGTGCTCTCTTGACGTGCTCGAGCAGCTGAACTGTGTTTGGGTCTCCCAGAAGGTCGACGTGCAACGGCAGATAGGTAGAAGCGTCCATGGCTGCATCCTCTCGGAAGGCGATATCGAGTTCGGATTGACCACTGAGCCTGGAAAGGAGAGCGCCCCAAGCAGACAGCAAAACTACGTGTACATCAACATCATGCTCATCAGCTAGGGACTTGAGCGACCGTTCCAGTTGTTCATCGAATTGGATAGGCCACTGGGCACCATCGGAAATTAGTTCGACTCGTCGCAGACGGTCTGTAAGTAAATTGAGTGGGATAGGTTCTTGATCTGCCAGCACGGTATCGATGCGGTCATTCTATGATATTGGGCCAGTATTGCCGCTGTCAGTGACCACAAACAAGTATTCATTCAATTTTTTCATGTTGTGGTGTTGTGGTTTTGTGATAAGTTATTTATAGAAACATACCAGAGAGTGCCCAAATGTTGGCGAGGGAGGTTCGTTGAGAAGCCTCCTTCCATCTCCATCCAAACGTGCTTGAGCGTAGCTCGGTGAGCGCTTCGATTCCCTAAGCATACCCCCTATGGCGCGTCGATGATAGAATGTAAGATCTCCCTTGGTCAGGGCAACATGTATTGGGGCACCAATGTATGGAAAAGTCTTCACGGCATAGTTGTTACCAGAGGAAGTGCGTGAAAGATTCGCGCTCCCAGGCGAGGGTGGGCAACTACTCCCCGGACTAATGAAGAGTGCGTCTCCGTCACTATACAGAATAATGGGTCAGGATTAGCTCGCGCGTGAAGGGACACGCTGTGTGGGAAGGATGCTGTGTGTGCACCAGTAGCACTGATCTTACCTGCCATCGACAGACATCTCCGCGCTGTTTTGGCGAACCAAGGAAGCATGCTTCGAGTCCTCATGGTCGTCCATGACCGGACGGGTTCCTCCCTTAATTTTCTTTCACGAGAGGCGGCTTTTGTCAGGTTCTATTCCATCATTATCGTCAGACAGCTTTAGGCTTCTTTCTGTGCATATGCTATGCTATCATACCTGCTTAATAAGATCGCTTCTTGCTACGGCAGCTGTCTGGCCAGCACCAGAAGCACTATCGGTAAAATATGAAGAATCCTATCGATAGGTCGCCTTAGATGTATGCATTGGCTACGTGTAGATGCGCATGGCTAGGTTGCTGAGTCACTTGCATGCACATACCTGATTATTAACGTCCATTTTTTGGCTTGTCTCTAAAATCGACTTTGGGGAATGTAAATGTCGATGTGCAAAGAAGCGAAATGAGACCTATTTAACGGTTGGAGGGAAATATGCTTGCTTCAGTCTACTTGCGTCTGCCTCAACTACATGCGTTTGCTTCAATTTACTTATTCCCTTGACAGGATATGAGGAATACCCTGGGAGTACAAGGGCGAAATTAGATATGAGCTCACGTAAAAACGCACACGAATGTCCATTGTAGAAAAAACCTCGAGATGGACCTTAACTCGACAGAAAAACCTTAACAGCAGATTCCCACAAGGGAAAAAATCCCAGGACGTCTGCGGCCTGGTCGATTTGCCCAGAAGCAAGAAAGTGGAGCTGCATGGGAAAGAAACTGCACATGAAAGGTTAAATGCCTCATATTTCCATTATACTAAGCAATTGTTTATCCGAGCTCAAAGACAAGGAGTACAGTCCACGTTCACAATAGATAAGCTACATTTTGCAGCTTATTGCGAATTTTGATATTCTATCAATGCAAAAATATATCGAAACTTTATTGGGCTTGAGTTGCAAATGAGGATGTGCAGGGATGCGCGGTCGCGATGGGAATGGTGATAGGCTGATTTTTTTGTGATATACGGCCCAGTGAGAATAAAAGGTTCGATATATTTTTGCTTATTGTGAACGTGGACTGTAGGCGAAGCACCGTCCAATTGAGAAATCGACTTTTGCTTTACGCCCAAAAGCAATGGGCGACGAACGCAGTTGTTCTATTCCGTGCATTGTGACACAAGGTTTCACGAGTACTTCGCCCGGATTCGACTTTTAATAAAGTTTGGAACAATCGGATTAAAGTTTAATGTGTCGAAGGCGACATGAAGCACTTGGTTCGAATTCTATGCCGCACTCCGTCCTGCTCATACCATACATGGTGTATGATTCCACAGCCATTTTAGCCCTAAACTCTCAGCCAGCAGTCCTCATTCCTCAATTGCTGTTTGTGTCCTGGAACTATCCCCTTGTGACGGTTCTCAGTAGGATCGAGAACAAACTTAATTTTGGTTGTCTGGTGGAACGCTCAATGCCACAGGCGAATCAAATCATGTAGTCTATCCATGGGTCAAGCGCATCGGATACCGACCCGAATCACGAATGTAATCTGCTTAACATGTTGCATATTTGCAGCGGAATCTCTCACAACAGCCCACTTCCTTTCGCCCTTGCCGCTTTCTGTACTGACACTGCTGTACCAGTCATAGACCGACCTCGCATTTTGCTTGATCCTATATGCTCAAAGTTCGACGACCCAGGGCTACTTCTCAGAGTCCGTCACTTTGCATTGGCTCAGACACGCCCAACACCCGCGTGCTATCAACTGCAGCAAAAAAGCTTGATAGTCCAACAAACTCCTACTTGGATGTCGATAGCACGCATGAATAGAAGGAAAAATGGGCTGTAGTGTTCCGTAGTCCGGCAAATGTTGGGGTTTAAACCTTGAGGCGAGTTACTCATTCAAACCCCTGGAATGTGATGGCGAATCCTAAACAACCAATGCTGACTCTTGAATAGGTAAAGCGCCTCGTTGGTGTGCCGACACTTGACAATGTGCCCCAACCCAGAATTACGGAAGTGTTTACTATATTAGTTCCCGCTTGAATTTCCCGCGCCTCCCTTGACCTTCCAGACGGCGTGTTTTTACAGATGAACTCCTTGTAATCAACTCTGCACCAAGATTAAAGTCGGATCCGGCGCTGTCTCCAATGTGGTAATTTGATTTGTTCCTGTCCTGGATGTTGTTGTGGTTGACTTCATCTTTGTCTAACGGCCTGTGTTGCCACTGCGGTAGTCTTTATGATGGCCGGTCAATACGATAGGCCTGGAAGTCCTCTGCCTCGTGCTTTCACTAAACTGAGAATCAATAATATACGCTCTCATGAAAAGGAGAAGGGAAAGTATGTTAATACGATCATGAAATAATCGGAGAGCCAAGGATGTGTTTTTATATGCCCAGTTAAGCAGATGAAATTGAGAAAGGAACTCGCACCTGAGTCCACATCAGAAAACGATGAAAGTGGTTGAAGATGTCTGGTGTTGCTGATATTTATTTCCAGCAGCACCAACTTGGTGAAAATCCGCAGTATTTCCCGCAGTCCGCAGTATCTCCTGGGTAATATTTGCAGCTTGCCATGCGTTGAAAGTGAACACAAAAGGCTCAAGACGCGACATCTTTTTTTTAAAAAAAAAAAATAAAAAATAAAAAAAATAAAAAAAATAAAAAATAAAAAATAAAAAATAAAAAAAATAAAAAAAAAATAAAAAAGAGTCAGTTATGATGGGCGAGGTGACAGGACAGTACCCTGGGAAGTGGAGGTAGACTAGCATGCCACTCTTACGATCACGCATATGGCATCGCTTGACTGGTGTCTATGACTAGGCTAGCATGTGTATTGTCGAGGGCGTGTTGGCCCTGAGGAGCGAAATTTGAATCATCCAATGAAAATGCTCGAAAATGAGAGCGCCGTGCTCGTTTCGGCTCTTGGGGAAAAACATGACAATAGGAAGAGGCATAGCAAAGAGTAGACTATTTCACTTGATGGAAGATAGGCCGAGTTAAAATAAACGCGCCAATCACCTCAGGACCTGAACTGTGTGCCACGGAGGGGATTGGTTTTCCCGCAACACCCTGTGCATGAACAAAGGTAAAACCGGCCCTTGGAATAGAAGACCTTCTTGATGTCCGCACGCTAAGAAGGCCCAAACGTGCAAAAAGTAAAAAATAAGAAAAAAAAGACGGACTTTGACTTTGGCGTCGACTAGATTACGAGCATGACACTGGCGGCTTTACAAGGTTCTCATGTCGAGCTGGGGCAACGATGCAGTCTTTGCTTTGCCCTCTTAAGGTTTCCAGCGCTTCGGACGTGACTTTACCCCTGTGCGACTCCTGCGTGGCGATTTTTACCAGGATGCAATTTGTCTCTCCGCCATATTTGGACGATATGCAGTGCCGGAAAAGATTGAGAGCCCTACTGCGGAAAATCCTTACTGTGAGACAGGGCGAGGAATAGAAACGGAGAAGACGGTTTATTAAGAAGGACAATCTCTCTTTCCTCGATCCCTTCTTCTCTTCGCCTCAGCATCAGTGTCTAATTTCCTTTTATACGTCAGCCGGCGTTGCAAGCATTGTTCTGTGCCATACTGCAACACCGTAGAGCGCACATATTTTTTCTTTCTTTCTTTCTTTCTTTCCTTGTTTCTTTGTCTCTTTCTTTCTTTCTTAATTTTCATCTGCTCGCTGAACAATGCCGTTCTGTGGTGTAGAAGGATGGAGCGTCTTTAGTCAAAGGCGCGACATGGACTTTAGTCTGTGCTTTCAGGACAGGTATGTCTTCATTCATGTTAGAAGATCCATCTTTCAATTCAACAAGTATATCCAAGTATATCTCTGATCTCTTCTTCTCTCTTTCTCTCTCCCTCGACCCCCCTTAGTGTGCTGACGCTTTTACCCAGCATAGCTCTGCTCATCGCCTTCTCCCCAAGGCTGCACAATGTTGCTGGGAAAGGCCGACTCGTGGGTGTCAAACCTAATGCGGTCTTCTACTTCAAAATGCTGGCTGTAGTGGCTGCAATCGCCATCCAGCTCGGACTCTTGATCAAGCTTGTCTCCCAGGACGGATACCCATCGTCCAGTCTGCTGAGCGCGGTCCTCTACTTGGTTTCTTTGGTAAGTGCGATGAATGCTGATCCAAATACCTGATGTATCGGCTGGATTCCATCCTCACGCATTATTTTATTTTTCTCTGACGTCGCTAGGCCAGCGCGGCATTGCTCCACTGGTTCGAGTTCTTCAACATGCCCAACCCTTCCTCAACTCTCCTCGTCTTCTGGCTCTTCACCGCTCTTATCTCCATCTTCCCCACCCGCTCCCTCATCCAAGAGTCCTCTGATGGACTGTCATCAACCATCCCAGCCCTAAAGCTCGCCTTCACGGTGGTGGCCTTCTTGGTCTTTGCGCTCGAGAACATTCCCAAGTCCAACCGGTCTATCCTCGTCCGACCCAATGTCATGCCGCCTGTCCAGGCCAACCCATCTCCAGAACCAAGCTCCAGCTTTTTTTCGCGGATAACGTTCTTCTGGTTGCTGCCGTTGCTGAGGCAGGGCAAGAAAAAGACACTGAGGATGGAGGACATCTGGAACTTGCACCCCAAACTGCTGAGTTACCCACTCTATCTCACCACCAAGGCCAATATGGACGCACATGAAGCGATGGTGGATCAGAAGCTGAAGGACAAGGGGAACGACAAGGACAAGGGAACAACCAAACTCGGACTTAGTAGGACCGCCCTCGCCAAGATCGTGCTCAGCTCTGTCGGCTATGGATTCCTGACGGCCACCGTCCCCAGAATTCTCTGGATCGCTGCAACTTACGTGCGCCCAACCCTCTTCTCGAGCCTGATTGCGTTCGTCGTGAGTTACTCTGCTTCATCGAAGGACGCAGGGATCCCACCCCAGGAGCCCTGGGTCGGCTTCGGTCTGCTGATCGCTGTGTTTGCCAGTTCTGTCATTGCCGCGTTGTTCGACGCTCAATTTTTAAACATTAACTTCAACTGCAGTCTGAAGGCTCGTGGCGTGTTCGTGAACCTGATCTACCGCAAGTCCCTGCGTTTGAGCGCGACCAACAAGCAAGAGGGCATGGGCTCGATCGTCAACCACATGAGCACCGATGTTGACAAGGTCGTGGCCCTCTTCCAGGTCGTCCATTACTCCTGGTCCTCCATCGTCGAAATAGCCATCGCCGTCGTGCTATTATATAACGAGGTCCGATACGCCATGTTCGCCAGTCTCGCAGTCATTGTCATCATCCTCGGCATCAGCGGCTCTTCTTCTCCCCATATCGGCAAGCACTATGTGGCCATGATGACATCCTCGGACCAGCGAATGAAGCTCATCACCGAGCTCGTGACATCCGTCAAATCCATTAAGCTGTATGGTTGGGAGTCCTACTTCACAGGCAGGATTACCAATGCTCGGAACCTGCAACTGAAGGAGCTCCGCAAGTTCTTCGCCTGGATCACTTTTATCTCCGTTTTCCTCATCTCGACCGTGCCATTCTGCGTCTTTGCGACTCTTTCCATCTATACGGCCATCGCCAACACAGATGAGCCTCTGGATCTCCGTAGGATGTTCACTGCGATCACCCTGATCTCTATGCTGGAGGGTCCAGTGAGGATGATCAATCAGTCCTTTTCTTCGCTTGTGGGAGGCAAGGTCGCCTATGAGCGTCTCCAAGAATTCTTCAACTCTGAGGAGATCGACGACGGGAACGTCATCAGGGATACGGACAAGAATGCGTCAGAGTTTGCGTTCGAGATCGAGCAGGGAACGTTTGGATGGTACACACCCGAGGCAGTCGAGGCTGCCATCGAGAAGAAGGAAAAGGAGATGAAGGACAAGGCCGTGGAAGCCACCAAAGCTGCAAAGAAGAGCAAAACTAGCGAGACCAAGGAGAGTGCGAGCGAATCTCTTTCAACCCTGGACGAAAAACTGAGGGATGAGAAGAAGCCTGAAGAAAACAACTCAGCCCCGGACAGCACTCCTGAGAACACGGACGATAACATGGGTCCTGTTCTACGCGACATCAACCTCCAGATCAAGCGCGGAGCTCTGACAGCTGTGGTCGGCAGGGTCGGCGAGGGCAAGTCCTCGCTTGTGGGTGCTCTTTTGGGAGAGATGCACAAGTACTCGGGCGCAGTTCGTTCGTATGGTTCTCTGGCCTACGTGGCCCAATCGGCTTGGATCTTGAATGACACGGTGAGGAACAACATCCTGTTCGGAAAGCCCTACGACAAGGAGCGGTACTTGAACACCATTCGAGCCTGTGCCTTGGTTCCGGATTTCAAGATGCTGGTTGACAGCGACCAGACCGTCATTGGAGAGAAGGTAAGAAGCAAAGAAAAAAAAAAGACATGAGGGCAGCATCCAATGCTGCTGGACCTGTTTCCCTTGTTTGTTACATGGCCGCCCTCTCTAACTTCTATCATTTTTTATTTTTATTTTTTTAAGGGCATCAATCTCTCTGGAGGACAGAAGCAGCGCATCTCAATCGCTCGTGCAGTCTACGCTGATGCCGACATCTACATCTTTGATGACCCGCTTTCGGCCGTCGATGCTCACGTCGATAAGCACATCTTTGAGCACGTCCTGACCAAAATCCTCGTAGGCAAGACCCGCATCCTCGTCACCAACGGCGTGAACCACCTCGTTGAAGTCGACCAGATCGTGGTCATCAAGCAGGGTTGCATCTCTCAGGACGGTGTCTATGAGCACCTAATTCAGAATGAGCAAGGCGATCTGTTCCGCCTCATTCAGGAGAGCAAGTTCGTGGCCAGCAAAAATGAAAACTCGAATGATGATGAGGACTTGGACGGGGAGTTTGACTCCACAACCGAGGGCTCAGACGACGAATCTGTCAGCGCATTGAAGACTGCCGGAAAGGACGAGAAGCACAGCAATGGCAACGACGGTACACAATCAGAGGGACTCATGGAGGGACCAACTATTAAACGCGCAAAGTCCTCGATCAAGGATGAGGCTTTTGAGGTCGATGACAAGGACGAAGTGAACGACGAGGTTCAGGCGCAGGGACGAGTCGGCTGGAGCGTCTACATGTTTTACATCTCCAAGCTGGGAACTTTTGGCCTGATCTCATTCCTTACCATCGCCTTCTGCTCCCTGGCCATGGATATCAGCACCAAGCTGTGGCTACAGCGTTGGGGCAATGAGGCTGACCTTCCAGCAGAGAAGCAGCACTCGGCCAAGTACTGGACCGTCACCTACTTTGCCTGGGTCCTCTCCTCAGCACTCATGCTCACTGTCACTATCGCAAACTTCACGGTCTTCATGTCCCTCAGGGCATCCAAAGCCCTACACGCCTGCATGCTCGCCCCCTTGGCCCGCTCGCCCATGAGCTTCTTTGACGTGACATCTGCGGGAAAGATTATCAACCGGTTCGCGCATGACATGAATGCCGTCGATATCGATCTTCCCTCGCAGTTCCTGAACTTGATCCTCATCATACTGTGGGCGGGCAACATTTATGCATTCTGCATCGGGGCCAGCTACTACTTTGCAATCGCCATGCTGCCAATCGGATACATCTACTACTTGCTCGGAGGATTCTACCTCGTGTCCTCGCGCGAGATCAAGCGCCTCGATTCCGCCACTCGCTCACCTATGTATTCACATTTCGGCGAGACCCTCGGAGGTCTGGTCACTATCCGCGCCTATGACGAATCCCACCGTTTCGCGACCCAGGCCACGGTTTTGCTTGACCGCTCACAGCAGACCAGTTACCTGGCCAACGCGACCTCGCGTTGGCTAGGAATCATGTTTGACATGATGAGTGTCTTGATTCTCTCACTTGTTGCCCTCCTTGCCATCGTCCAGCGCAACACGCTCCAGCAGGGCATCTTTGCGGTCGCCCTCTCTGAGATCGGAAACCTGACCACAGTCATGAACCGCGTCATGTCTACCGGCTGTCAGATTGAGACTGACATTGTCGCGATCGAGCGTGTGCGTGAGTACTCTCAGCTGCCCTCCGAAGCCCGGGACGTCATCCCAGACTCAAAGACGGACAAGGCTTGGCCCCAGCAGGGCGAGATCGTCTTCCAGGATTACAGCACCCGCTACCGAGAGGGACTTGACCTCGTCCTCAAGAAGGTCAGCGTCACTATCAAGGGCGGGGAACGTGTCGGAATCGTCGGTCGCACAGGCGCAGGCAAGTCCAGTGTGACGATGGCGCTCTTCCGAATCATGGAGGCTGCAGAAGGCTCTATCTCCATCGATGGCATCGACATCTCAACCCTTGGACTCCATGAGCTCAGGTCCCGGTTGACGATCATTCCACAGGACCCTTTCCTCTTTGGAGACTCTATCCGCTTGAACTTGGACCCATTTGGGCGTCATAACGACACTGAACTCTGGGCTGCTTTGGAATCTGCTTCGCTAAAGTCCTATGTCTCCTCTCTTTCCGAGGGTCTTTCGGCCACGATCGAGAACGGGGGTGAAAACATGTCTCTGGGTCAACGCCAGCTGATGTCTCTTGCACGAGCGATGCTCGCCAAGAACACGCGCGTGCTCTGCTTGGATGAGGCCACAGCTGCGATCGATATCGAGACGGACAATGCGATCCAGCAAGCGCTTCGACGCGAGTTCCAGGGCTGCACAGTGTTGACGATCGCGCATAGGATCAACACGATCATGGACAGTGATCGGATCTTGGTACTTGATAGCGGTGAGATGAAGGAGTTTGAGTCGCCTGCAAAGCTGTTGGCAGACCCAACCTCGATCTTTCACTCGCTCGCCAAGGAGTCTGGAAACCTTTGAACATCTGGCAAATTGTATGATAGTAATGAACAATAAAGGCCATAATTTTGCTTCTCTCATAAGTCTTGACATCGCTTAATAATCACGCAAAAAAAAAAAAGAAGGATACGTTTTGAACAGGGTCATAACGAGCAGAACCCTGGCGCACTCTTGGGCTACTTTGGCCAAGGGCAGACTTGGAGCCTACAAAGGACCGTTGATCGTGTTCTCTGGCCTGTGCTGCTCATGGCGGTAAAAGCGAGTCATAGGTTTTGGTGGTACGGCTTAGGCACAAGCCCAGCAAATTAAAAAAAAAAAAAAAAAACGTTTTTCTGCCCTGGCCAGTGTTGGGATGCAATGAGGGGGACAGATCCCTTGAAGCTTGGGGAGGCAAACGAATCGGATCAATAGCCGCCTTCCCATGATTCCAGACGTTTGTGTAAACTTAGATTTGTTTGTTACACAGCCTTGGTCAGGGTTACCTCAGTTGTAGGGTTGCTGCTAGTCCAATACCAAAATAACAGTACATATTTAGACTCGATATCTATCGCGTTCTTGCAGCCGAGAGTTTGGAGAGGGCGGCGGCTGCTTTTCTGTCTACAGCCCACGTTCACAATAGATAAGCTACATTTTGCAGCTTATTGTGAATTTTTGGTATTCTGTCAATTCAAAAATCTATCGAACCTTTATTCTCTCTGCACATCCTCATTTGCAACTCTCGCCCAATAAAGTTTCGATATATTTTTGCATTGACAGAATACCAAAATTCACAATAAGCTGCAGGCTATCCATTTCTTTTTTTTCTTTTTTTTCTTTTCTTTTTTTTTCTTTTTTCTTGCATGGCAATGCATCCTTCTATTTTGTCTCACATGGCACTATACACACTATACATCCGAGTTTCCTCTCCACTGTATGAACTTAGATGGGTCATCGGATGAGGGCAAGGCACATTGAATGAGAGCGTGGGACATCGAATGAGGGTGAGGGACATCTGAGGAGAGGATAAAGCCAGAACCGGAAAAAATCTAGAATGGCACGCCTGCACGCCTGGGGGATTTGGCGTCAATAAAAAAAAAATGAAAAAGGGGATAAAGTCTATAAGATGCGACCGACAACTTCCCCCTCTGCACTTTGCCTTTCGTCAGACTACCACTTTGCTTTACCCATTGACAGCTCCCAATGCATCTCCTTGATCCCAACCAGCCGCCGCTCACTGGCCTCTCTGAGGAATTAGAAAAGGCCATGGTTCTATGTGGCATCCCCGGAATGAGCGTCGCTATCCAGTACAAGGGCAAGCTCACCTACGCAGAAGGATTCGGAAAGCGCAATGAAAAAGATCCATTTACACCAGAGGTATGGCTGCATGTCCATGAGATTCCTGCAGTAGCTGATTTCTCTGTATGTAACAGGAAATTCATCTGAATCGTGCATGAGCATGCCATCTCTGAAAATTTGAAAATTATTCAATTTAGACATTGACATCGATCGCGTCCGTGACAAAAGCTTTTACTGCTACGGCCATTGGCGAGCTGGTAGCAGAGGGAAAGATGGACTGGGACAAAACCCCTGTCAGCAAGTATCTCCCAGAATTCGAGCTCAAGGATCCCGCCCTGACCGCTCAGTTGACGCTCGTTGATCTCCTTTCCCATCGCACGGTATTGTCACCTATAAAGTGCAATCATGCGTATGCCTCGCTGTTGTCCTTCATCTCGCTTACTTTGATGTCACGGCTCTCACACACACTCGTTCATTTTGTAATAATAGGGCCTGCGCAGTCTCGACCTTGCATGGTTTAGAAGCAAGGAGCCCAGACGAGAACTCATCAAGTACCTGAAGTATGTGGATATAAAGCCAAAGCTAGGACCCGACTGCATCTATAATAACATCATGTACGCAGTTGCTGGTGAGGCCGCAGCTAATGTCGCCGGTATCTCGTACGAAGAGCTCGTTGAGACCAAGATCCTGAAGCCATTAGGGATGACCCATTCAGGCTTCTCGGCTATGAAGATGGGAACGCATGCCAACTACGCGATGCCATATGACGCCGCCTCGTTTGAGGATGCTCAAAAGGGTCGGTTTGAGATTGGATATTTGGACGACATCTATATGGCCGATGCACCTGCAGGTGACATTTACTCCAACGTGTTCGATCTCGTGCGCTGGGGTAGCGCCGTTATACACGGCGGTAAGCTGGATGGCAAGCAGATCCTTAATCAGGAGAGCATCCAAGAAACGCTAAGCGGGCACACTTTCAGGGTCAAGACCAAGCGGACGTCCGAATTTGCACCGGTAGAAGCCTACGGACTCGGGTGGATGCTCGACTCTTATAAAGGACATGTTGTCTATAGTCACAGTAGAGTCTCATAGTCTCATTTCCTCTGAGGCGCGTATTTTGCACTATGTGTTTTCTTCTTTGTCGTGCTAATGTGAACGCTTTCTATCCGGATATTTGTAGGTGGAGGCAACCCTGGATACACCTCGCATTTGACCATGTTTCCTGATGCAGATCTGGTCATTGCATGCCTTACAAATGCCAATATGACTACGCTACCGGGCGAGATTCCATATCTTATTGCAGATAGGGTGCTGGATCTTCCCAAGACCCAGGACTGGGTTGACGTGGCGATTGAAAAGACGCGCGGATGGTATGCCATGAAGGCGAATATGTCCAAGATCAATTTTCTGAAACGAAGGGACGATCCCCCAAAGCACCAGCTATGTGCGTATGTCGGCCAGTACTCGGATCCTGTCTTTGGCGATGTCTCCATCCGTCAAGAGCGCGATAAGGGAACAGGGGAGGAGGTCCTCTACTTCAAGATGCGAACGTTTGACAGCAAATTGGACCACCATCACTTTGATACATTCAGCACGCTGCTAAAGGACTTTGGCTACCAGCTTGGCGCCTCGATTACATTCCGCACAGGAAGAGACGGCGACGTGGAGGGGTTTGAGCTCGAGGCAGGCTCTGATATAGTGGAGTTCAAGCGTAAAGAGATGTGTAAGCATGAGGAATAAAAAAAAGTATACATCCTGAAGACGATGAGTTAACCGCGTGTATTATTCGTCTCTGTGGAGTATGGGACTTCGTGCTTGGCTACTGATGTTCTGGATACAAGACTCTCAAGGCCTTCTCCATTTACATCACAAATGCTACCCTAGACTCCTTGAGGGATGCCTCCTCACCCACCAATGCTGCGACAGTTTTATAAAATGTATTGTCGTCCATACTGGAAAGCAGCCGCCGCCGTTTGCTCGGCTCCCTGTAACGGACAAGATATTTGTACAGCTTTATTGTGCCGCTACTCGCGTCATAACCTTCACCGTTGTTTATTTAACGAAGACGGACACATCAAATAAACACATCTCCCTTTTTTGTTACTTGAATATCTCCATCGGACGTTGCACTCCTACTCTCTAACCGATTCCATGATGAGAGGCCTTGTTTGAGAATCCCCCTCTGCGTACGACTCTAAAGAGTTGGTTCCCGTCAGGTCGTCTTCTCTCAGGCTTCTCTTCATTGTCCCAGCAAACGTATAGTTGATCTTCAGAAACGCGAGCACATTCTTTTGTTCATCGTGGATCAATGCCGCATAGCCGGCCCCTCTGTCCACCTCCAACGGCGATATCGAGATCTGTGGTCATGTCCGCTTCAACACGGTCGGCTTTTGGTTCGCAAAATCGATACCCTTCAAAACTAGTGTAGTCTTGAGGGGGACCGTCAGTGGAACGAGGTCCAAGGAAGTGACAGCAACTTCCAGGGCGGTCTCTGTGTGTAAAATCGTCTGACCATCAGGTAGCAAAGACATATGAAATGAGCCGAGGAAAGATAATGAACCTGAGAGATCCGAGAAAATGAGGCGCCAGTGACGAGATACCTGCCCGCATCAATGACAAAAAGAGACCTAAGAGTAGGGCAGGACCTGAGGGTAGGAACTGAGGGCCTGAGAGTAGGAACTGAGGACGGGAACCGAGAAATGGGGAAGAAAACTGTATGAGGACAGGAGACCCGAGGACAGGACCTGAGGGTAGGACCTGAGGGTAGGACCTGAGGGTAGGACCTGAAGAAAGGCACATGACGGAAAGGAGAGTTGCCCCGGACGAGTGCCTTTTCTGTCTTTCGCTCCAGTCACGAAACACAATACGTAAACTCCTCTTTCTCTCTCTCTCTCTCTCTCTCTCTCTCTCGCCAGATGCTAGTGTCAAGGACTCGGCAGGAATGTAGGCAGTGGGTCGAGGGACAGGGGAGTGAGCAAGAGATCAGCGGGGATGAGGCGGAGCAATGGGCGGAGCAATGGGCGGGGCAATGAGCGGAGGAATGGACGCAGTGATGTGCGGAGCAAATACTAGGAGCATTCGGAAATGGGTACCGGACTAGGAACAGACGCGTGAAAGGAATGGGCTTAGCACGTGCATTCATTTTGTTCCTCAAGACTTATGAATCCATGAGAGCTAGACACATACTCTTCCACGGCCACAAAACTACACAACTCACCGCCGCTAGCATGGAAAGTACGACAAGCGTTCGCACAACGTTGAGCGGTGAAGCTATGGACACTACGGACAAGTATTTGAGTGCTCGTTCGCTCATTGCGCTGGAATATCCGCCGGTAAACGCTTCGCCAAAAAGGCACTGCAGGCCCATAACTATTAGAATCACGATGAAGAACCAGAGATCATGACGTGATTGGCGACCGGACAGGTGATTGAATACAGACGTGAACCTTCAACACACATGAAGTTCCATAAAAGGTTTAAAGCTTTCGACCCGGCACAAGGTTGGATACAAGCTCACACGTTCACACGTATGGTAACACGAGACGAAGAGTAGAAGAAGGAGCATGCGATCTTGAGAATTTCCCTCATATTGAACCTTAACTTTCAATAGACGACAACCTCGCCTAAGGCGCGCTAGCGGCTTGAAGGAGGATGTGGTCTACACTACCAAAAATTAGTGATTGGTTCGCTGCGCGTGCTCCTCCTCTTTGTCGTGCCCGGCGGCATGTATGGAGCGGCAAGTCAGAGCCCTATTCATCAACGGATGAGGCGGATGAGGACTCCGATATTTATTCAAAATGTTTGAGTACAAAGATAGCCTGCTTCACGCTAGCTAATTCGAAGTGTGTTCCAAGGAAGGTTATGTGCGAAGAGGGGGAAGGTCTGTGTATGGTTTTCTCATCGACAAAAGTATAAATTGCACACATCCATCCGGCCACTTCTTCCATTCCCCTCTCTTTCTCGATAGCTGCACACCTCACCACCACCGACTGCCATCTCGACGATCAGGTTTGCCTCCGGCTCCTTCTTCGCTTACTTCTCCTCCTTCTCCCTGCGCATAGACATCCTTGTAAACTACACAGCTGTTCCTCCCTTGCATACACCCTATCTGTCCCATCCGCCATGCCCTCCATCCTCAAGACCACTGAGCTGCCAATGGCCAAGGATTTCTCCTCATTCCTCTCGATCGAAGGAGCTTCTCGCAAGAAGAGTCCTTTCAATGGCCTTCTGCGCCTCATGGGAGGCGACATAGTTTCCCTTGGTAGCGGTAGGTCTTGTCCTACATTACCAGCATTCACGGGTCACCCTTTTTCCCTCGACGATCCGTCCTCTCTCACATCAAGATCTAAAGCTGGCATTTTTCCTCTTTAACGTACTCTGCATTAGGCCTGCCTCATCCATCAACCTTCCCATTCTACTCCCTGTCCGCTGAAGTCAAGAGGATAGATCCCGCCATCAAGGCCACCAAACCCATTGCCACCGGTGCAAAAAGCCAGGCCATGGTTGATCTTGTTACTGTCCCTCATGGGCCCCAGCCCGGCAAAGTTGAGAGTCTGACTGACTCTCTCCAGGTAAGAATTCCTTGGATTCTCTCTTGTGCATTTATCCAGTCATTTCCTCTGTAACAGGATTGTTAGAGTGATCAATAAGAAGCAATAAGCGCCCGATCTACTTGACTTACTGATCCCTCAATCGTCTTTTCATTGGCAGTATGGTCTCGGCTCAGGCATCGAGTCACTGCGCATGTTCTGTAAGGAGCATGTTAATCAAATGCATCGTCCCCAATACCAAGACTGGGATGTCGTGCTCTCGGCCGGAAATACAGACGCCTTTGCAAAGGCTATTTCGATGCTCTGCAACCGTGGGGACAGGGTCCTAGTCGAAGAATGGACCTACCCTGCAGCCCTGGAGATGATGGAGCCTCTGGGAGTTGGTCATGTCCCCGTGAAGATGGATGGCGAGGGTATGTCCGCTGTGGCATTGAAGGATCTCTTAGACAACTGGGGTTCGACACCAGAGCAGGCTAGCGAGGCCAAGCCCCGAGTTGTCTATCTGATCCCCACCGGACAGAACCCTACAGGTGCAACCATGTCGATCCAGAGGAGACGGGATATCATCCAAGTAGCACAGCAGCATAACCTGATCTTGATTGAAGATGACCCATACTACTACCTCCAGTTTGGAGGTGATGACGAGAAGAGTGGAAACGACACCGACGGCAGTGAATCTGGATGGATGCCTTCGTTGCCCTCGTTGCTGTCGTTAGATACAGATGCTCGTGTCATCCGCCTGGATACATTCTCAAAGACCTTGGCACCTGGATGCCGTGTGGGATACATGTCGGCGAACGCTCAATTCTGCGCCATTGTCCAATACCACAACGAAGTGAGCACGCAGCAGCCCAGTGGGTTCTCACAGGCAATTCTCGCCGAGATGTTGATCTCTCACTGGGGTCAGAAGGGTTATATCCGGTACCTGTGCGAGAATGTCCGCACAGAGTACCTGAAGCGATCTCAGCACCTGCAAGCGTGCTACCGGAAGCATGTGAACCCTCGATTGGCCAGCTTTATCAAGCCTTCGGCTGGAATGTTCATCTGGATCAAGATCCATGTGGAGCACCATCCCAAGTATGGAACCGTGTCGGACTCGGCGCTGATGTTGGAACTGTTCAAAAAGTGCGTGGGGAACAATGTTTTGATGGTGCCTGGCTGGCAGTTCAGCTGCAAGCCCAAGCCTGCAGACATTGACCCTGCAGATTTGTTGAACGTGTGGCTCGATGACCGCGCCACATACTTTAGAGCTACCTTTGCGTATGCGAGCTTTGAGCAGATGGATCAAGCCATGGTCCGCTTTGGCGAGTCTCTCAACGAGGTCTTTGGTGTATAGATATCCATCCTGTAATATAAAATATAAATGTATTCATTCATCCGAAACTAAAAGCTATATTGAATCTCGTATATACGCTCGACTCAACAAGAACAAAACTTTTCACTTGCTGCCACCTCGCTCTTACATCTTTGGTCGCGGTAAGAAGAGTACATTTGCTCGACCTATGCCAGTTTAACTGGATTTTTACAAACTTGGCACAACCTCAACTGCAAAGGGAGCTGCACTGGAATCGCTCGCCCGACGCTCGTCCGACGCTCGCTGCAATGTTTCAGCGGTTTTCGTCTTGTTGACCTTTCTTTCCTCAAAGGCGTCAAGTTGCCCGAATGGCGTGACAGACTCGAGCTTCAAATCGAATCACTCACGGCCTGTCCTTATTGGATGCAACAGGATGGGGGCGAGGGCAAAGGCGAGAGCAAAGGCGAGAGCAAAGGCAAGAGCAAAGGTGAGGGATGGAGTTGAACTTCAAGGTGCATGATGATACACAAGTTGTTCTTCATGTTTTAGATTGCTCGAATACTTGCACACAGTATAGCTTCCTTTCACGCGTTCTGACATGGACCTGTAAAGGGACTGAATGCACTTGTGGAAGAAAAAGATGCACAAAAGCGGAGGGACATGATGTGCGAGACAAGAAGAAAGAGTTCAAATTAGGAGAAGCAGCAAAACTCCCATAAAACCCATTACCATATCGTGATTAATCCACTACAGGTATAGTCAACCGGTCCATTGCCCCACCTTTCCCATATCTCTAAAGGTAAGAAACCACGTTCCTCCCACGATTCGAGGTCTAGTTATCTTATTCTTGACCTTGATTCTGAGCTCTACCTGCTACATTTGTGATAATCTCCAGGACGCTTGATTTACTTGATTACTTGCCTAGTGTGGTAATCTGCGGTAGTTAGCATTCTGTTCAACCCGCAGCTCCGGAACTTGTTGATTTATCAACAATGTCCTGGTATTCTGTGTTTTCAATCATCGTGGTGGTTGTTGGGTAGGGATTTTGGGATCGGCTCATCCCTGGTTGCAATCTAGTGCATCCACTGCAGCGCATTAAATGCTGCTGAGCAACACACACTGTTACCACTGATCAAGCTCAGTACCTTCGATTCTTTATAATTCAAAGAACCCAGCAAAGAAAGAACAGGCTGTGGTAGAGACCGTCACTTAAGCACCTAGGAGTTGTAATTTTTATTAAAAAATAGCCTCCCACAGGTTCATTACAATAAATGGGTGCTCAGGAGGACTGGAAATGACCAGTCCCGGTCTGCAATAAATAGCGAGTTGCCCCTGGGGACCCTTGTTGTCTCTTCAGTTAGTCGGACGTGAATCGGTTATTAAATATCGATTTACCTTCAACATTATCCCAGCTGGTAATCATCCGTTGCGGATCGAAAGACCTGAAAACATCGGTTCATTCCACGCGAGACTAAACTGAAGGCACTCTGAGCAGCCACTGGCTTAATCGATCCAATGGTCTGCATTAGTTGCGTCAACATCTCTCTTTATATCCAACAACAATTGCAAAAGAAGAAAGGTAGGGTGTCTTTCGCTGCTTTATTATGTGCGTGTTTGCACTGTACTTTAAAGATTCTTTTCAGAAAGTACGGCTGCAAAGGAGAAAGGCTCGAATGGATATCCCGTACCCTACCAGCAGAGAATGGAGAAGATCAGCAAAGGAGTTTGTTCAGATTCAGTCGATCAACCAAATGGAAACACACACACCTGGTAGAACTTGTTGTTGAACTCCACCCAGTGCAAACGAAGAGCATGCAAAAACGCAGAGAGTCCCTCCATCCCACACAGAATAAAGATCGTCAGCGTGAACCACAGCGCAAACATCACAATCGTCATAAACACCCCTAGGCCTCCAGAGATGCCCCAGGCCAACCCCAAGGTCATGGTCCAGAGCACTTCCGACAGCTGAGCGTGTGCGAGTGAAAGAGCCCACAGTCGTAGGTACGACGCAGTGTTGGAGATGCATCCCAAACAAAAGTCGATCGTGTGAATCACTTGATGGATCAGTTCCTCCGAAAACTCAAACTCCTCCTCCTCGCCTTCGCTATCTCCTGCCACAACTGCCCCGCCAGCCTCATCTGTGTGATTACTGTCAGTACTGATGCGAACATGATTCTCGGATGGCTGATGGTACCCCAGGACCCGGGCCTTGTTGTGCTCATGCTTTAGATAGTACGGCTTCAGGAAGAGCATCCAGGGTATGCATACAAATGCCAGAAGCACAAGCAACGCTTGGACAAATCCCTAGGCACACATGTGAACAAATAAAAAAAGGAGGGTGTAAGTAGCATTGTATCAAGGTCTTGGGAGCATATGCGTCCTTCCTTCCTTCCTTTTCTTCCTCCCATCCGTCCGTCAGTCAATAACTTACCTGTCCTGAATACAGCTTGTCGCCCTCGTTGACCGATCCAGGACTCAGAAACATGTAGATCATCGTGTTGAGCAAGCTAGGCGGTGAGTTGCGCACAGAGTGACCAGCAGCGTCGGTTTCGAACCAGTCAACTGTCCACTTGTAGATGATCATCATCACAAGGTATCCAAACAGGCATTGCATGAACATCATCTGCGGAATGAAGCCTCCGATAATGTCGATCGGTTTTCGGAAGTGCTTGGCGTTAAAATAGACCATGCAGATACCGAACGACATGTGGATTACTCCCAAAATGACCGACATCTTCATCTTGTAAGAGTTGGTGAACAATAGATAGTTCTCCGTTCCATGCCATCCATAATCGATCCCGAACGGATAGGTGTAGCCTGTAGGCTCTGCAACGAGAACCGTCTTGCCGTCATAGTCCTCTGGAACGTTGAAGCGCCAGCCGCTCTGAAACAGTGGCAGGGCCCGTGAGAATATATCGTTGTACATCAATCCCGTAAAGACCGAGAACGCCCCCATGAGTAGAACAATGTAGCGACCTCCAAAGACCATTCCAAACATCTATATTCGACGCAGGTGACAAAAGGTTTGGTACGGTAAGCATTGCACAGCTACCATACATCCGCTGAACCAGACTTAGACCTTGTAGCGTTCGATAGACTTACCTCGCCATCAACATGAGCGAGTCGGCGCTCATTCATGACCAAGTACAGTCCCAAAAGCAGCACCAGAATACCATGGCCGACATCTCCAAACATGACTGCAAACAGGAATGGGAACGAGATCACGGTGAAGAGTCCGGGGTTTACCTCGCGATAATGAGCCATGCCATATGCATCTACAATAGCTTGGAAACCTGCAGTGAACTTATTGGTCTTGTGGTAGGTCGGAGGCTCCTTTTGGGTGCGCAATTCCTGCAAAATCGAGGGAACGCTTGATCCAGAGCGCTCTGTCACGGTACGAAGTGCAGCCTGGATGGTGCTGATTTCGCTCGTAGGGCACCATCCTTCTGCAATCAAACATTTCCGGTGCATGTCATAATTGAAACAGTTCATGGTGTGATACGCTGCTTTCTCCTTCTTGACAATCGTCATCCATGTAGTCAGATGTTGAGAAATATGGAGTAGCTCTTGCCGGCGAGTTTGGGTTGTGTTAAGAAGAACAGAACTGAATTCATCAATATGGCGAACGGCATCTGCCAAGGCCTCCCGCCGTCGGCTTGCGGATGAATCGATTGCATAAAGAGTGGCGCCCAATGACTCTGCAATCTTCTTGATTTTGGCAAGAATCTCCTGTCCGTGTGCAAAGATGATGAACACGCACTTTTCGACCACCAGATCTGTCGAGGGTTCCACGATCGGCTCTTCAACTTCCGCAGTATTCATGTACAGGTTGCCGTGTAAGGATCTCCACAGGATACGCTCAAAGACCTGCAACTTGATCCGCGGAATGACGCCTGTAATATTGCCAAGCGCCAGTCCAAGACTCTGTGCTTCCTGTGAGGGCCCCGTCTCCAGATCGTCTAGAAGTGGTGCATTCGGTTCGTCCATCGATGCCCGGATTTGCTCCTGATGTGAAGCAGCCTAGGAGGTACGAAAGATTGAAGTAATGAATACTGATGATACAAGTTTGGATGTCTCCATGACATGTCACGCCAAGGGCATTTGTATGTTACAGATCAGTGGACGCTACCTCTTCAAAAAAGGCAGTAGCCTCTTTCAGGACATGCTTGAGTTCGACAAGTTCACAGTGCCGCCTCTGCAGGGTTTCGTAAGAACTGTTCATTTGAAGAAGGCGATTTTCGTGCACCGCAAGACGTGCCTCAATCTCGTCCAGCTCCTGGCGCGAAGGCGCACGATTGATGTAGGACGAAGAAAGAGCAGGATGCACGGAGATCTTTGCTTTTTCGATCTGAGAAGTGAAGAAACCTATGTATTGATTGTACGATGTGTGTTTGTAAGGGGACAGTATTGCAGCGAGAGCAGGTTGGATATATTTGAGTTCCACCAATGAAAAAGTGATTTCAAAGCACAGCAATATGTTAAAGTGCTTACGGAGTTTCCTTTCCATCTCGTCAAAGCGTCGAATCTCATTCACGAATGCGCGCTGAAAGGCGTTCGCATCGGGGTTCAGCTGCAGGGAAAACATAAGAATTATGAAATACCATCATTACTGTTAATCAAGGCACCAGATAGCGCAGAAGGAAAGAGCAATGTAATTGAATAAAACACAAATGGCTTACATCGCGAAACTGGACCAGGCCAAGTTCCCCCAATTCCAAGACCGTGGGCTGTACCACCTCGGCTGGGATGTACAGCTGAATAAGCGACATTTCCTCAGAGCGGAAGAAGGTTGAAGTGGACATGTCTCGTCGCAAGGCGGCGCTACTGTTGTTTCGGTATAAGTTGCGGAGGTCCTGCTGATTCTGGAATGGGTCGAAGGGTCGATCTTGGCGGGAGGAAGAGGAGGCGACGCCTGAAGAGTCGGGATTGTCTATGAAAGGGTTCTCGCCGCGGACGTTGTTGGTTGCCATCGACCTGGGGTAGCTCGAGAATGATGTCGAGCCAGTTGATCTCAGACCGACGGTGTCTGAGGAGGAATCCCGCTGGTCGGCGATGGCGGTGGCAGAGGCAGCATCGGCATTGTTGCGGTGGAGCGAGTCCAGGGGAAGGTACTCGCCACCACCTGGCCGGAAGATGTTGGTGATGCGCTGAATGGTGGATGTAAGCTGGGAGACAAAGAAGGGACCGATGGTCTACATGCAATTGTGTAAGTATGTATGTGGAGCTGTTTGATTGATCTCCAAGGAGAATGGAGCTGATGATGTTGATGAGGGTGATATGGGCGAAGTGCAGACGAGAGTCGATCCCGTTATTTCTACGTTCGCTTAAGGGTGTCTTTCCAATGTCAACTCCTTGGTCATCCTCATCAAGCATCCGTCACGATCACGATCGCTCTCCCTCCGCTCAAGAGAAGAAAAGGTAAGTTGGCTAGTCTGATGATCCAAGGAGTATCTCGCCCCTTGTTCATCTACTCTGGTTTTGAATCTGATCCTAAATCGCGTTCTTCGATCCCATCCCTAGGCACAGCCGACACCACCACAACTCTTTTTTGTAATCTCATGGAAGTCGACCAGGCCCCCACCGCCAAGGCTGCCGCGCCCTTCGTGCTCGACAGTAAGATTCCACTCTGACAAGCATAGCTCAGTTTCAAGGGCGTCATTTAGTCGGAGAACAAACGGTCATGATATCCGCCCTTCCTCACCTTCGCCCCCTCGCTCTTCATCTTTTGGGCCCAAATCCTAGTCCTCTCCTTGACCAACGAAGCACGAAACGCGTACGGACTGCGTCGTCAGGAGTATGGCCGTTACAGACACCATTGCACGCAGAGACTGCACAGGATCCGCAAGACCCTCGGATTCACCCATGGCAAGGATAAATCCTTTATCGCCCGCCCCATTACCGCCGACACCGTGACAGACGAAAAGTACAGATCAGCATCATCATCCGAGTCGACAAAAGGATGCACAGAATCAGTTTGAATAAGGACCCAGGGTTGACCAAGCACATCCTATTTTTCGCCCTTTAGATACCTGCACCTTCTCCTCTTCCAGGCTGAGCGCGCTTGGGGCTACGCGATGGAGATCAAGTCCCTTTCCGTCGCACTCGATGACACACGCAAACAGAGCCACTACCTGAGCAGACTGAAGAAGGCAGCCAAATTTGCCCAACAATTAGAAAGCATCTGTTCAGCAAACACTGGAAAAGTCGACGTTCGTACCGCACTGGATGCGCAAGCCTATGCTGCTTTGATGTCTGGATACGTTCTTTTCGAGGCACAGCAGTGGCAAGGAGCGCTGGAAAAGTTTTCCGCTGCTCGGTAAGCACTCTCGTAGACTAAATCATCCCATCAGCATGTTATTGGGATAAAAACTCAATAGCTCAACTTTGCTAACCTGAACATGTTTGCGCGTCCTGGTTGACAACACGTATCTAGTGCGATCTATGACAAGCTATCGCTTGCTGGGACACCCCACCAAGAGGCTCTTTGTCATGCTACGATGGATGAGATTGATCCCAACATTCGATTCTGTGGTTATCGTTTGCGTTTGGCCAAGGATGGTGTCGTGAATGTGGAGGAACTTGTCCAGATGTCTGCCGCCAATAAGGGCTCAGGTTCAGATGTCCTCATGCGCGAGATTGAGAATCTCATTACTCAAACACAACAGGCAAAGGCACAGGATCTGGAATCGATCAGTTGGAGGTCGAGGACTTTGCCTTTGAGGAACGCCAAGCTTGCGACCGCCATCCTTGCTGCTCAGGAGACTGCATCCAGACTGAAAAATACGGATGGCGCCTCAACTGAAGCCAAGTTGGAGCAATTCGACAAAGTGCTACAGGCATATGCTGAAGCAGAGAAATGTGCCGCCAAGGCACTTAAGGAGGACGCCGTAAGAATATATCAAAAATGCGTTACCGGATGTTTCTGAAGCACGTGGATCACGCATAAAGACTAACAGACGCTTCATCAACCGACAGATTGCTGCTGCCAAAGTTAAGTCCTCAAAGTCTGAGCAGAACACCGCAGACCTAAACACAATCGCAACGTTCATCAGCTATTCCTATCTCAGACACGCCATCGACCGCAACCTGATCCTCACCAGGGATATATACAATAAGTTGGAGGGCAATGAGGCAGCAACAGACAGAAATGAGGATGTTCAGTACCAGAACCTGGTTAAAGCCTACGATAATGTTGTCCAGGTATGTTTGGCAATGCACAAGGATCAAGAATGCAAATTGATTATGTACTCATGTTGTGTTGCTCCCTCTTATGATTACTAGAATTTGATTGCGATTCAGGAGCTGCCCGGTGTTGTTGCAGACATGACGCTTTCCGCAGAGGTGGAGAACAAGCTGCTTTACTACAAAGGCTGGCGATGTTTCTTCACAGCAACTGCATATTCCAAACTGTCGCGATATGTCGAGGCCATTGCGCTCTTTGATCGCGCACAATCATACGCAACTCAAATTCGAAGCGGTCTCAACAGGACGGGAGTCTCTGGAAGCGAGGGTGATCTGTTCAATGTTTTTGAGACCGAGCTGCAGGAAATGGAGAGTAAGATCCGGGGCAGGAAATGCCAGGTCCACGCTGCGTGGTATCTAGAGAACGGGGAGGACAGCGAGAGTCTGGATAACAAGCTGTCTTCGATGAGTCTCGATGAGAAATCGTTGGATGAGGTGAGTTAGAGAAAGGGCAAAAAAAGTATTGTCATTGGACGAGTACATGGGAAACAATTTTGACTTGCCATAATTGCTTACATGTTTTTTATTTTATATTTCTTTTGCTATCCCAATTCTCATAGCCTGCGTTGATTAAGCGTCTAGACACTTATCCAGCCTCGATCACGTCCAAGGTCAATCCAACGGTGCCTCATTTGGTCGACTTTCCCCCAACGCTTCAGGCGATTCCGGCCAAGCCTCTGTTTTTTGATATCGCGTTCAATCACATCAACTACAATCACAGTGCGCTGGCTGAGAGGGCGGGCCATCCGAAGGCCGCACAACAGGGCGAATCCTCTGGAGGATGGTTCGGATCAATTTGGGGTCGTAAGTAGACGACTCTAGGGCTTGGATGTCCCAGTACTTTACCTTTACATGACTTTGCATCGATGCATGTTGCTGCAATTTACGACAATAATAAAGAGAAAAAAAGTCGTGGTAATAGGAATGTGTCATGAAGACGTCGACTGAGTGTACTCATGGCATTGCACGATGTGGACGAGTTCTCTTTTATTTAGTGAATTAAATCTTTTCATATATCTTGCTTTGTCATTGAAGCCATTGCATCTATTACTACACGTTCGCCCACTGCTACAACTCCTCGAGCTTGATTACCAGGACATATCCGATCTTTGCGAGCACTCGATTTCATGCGCCTCAATCTCCCCGAGAGCAAAAGGTCTCCAACCCATCGAAAGGCGGACGTTGTTCCTAATAATATTTTGCGCATTATCTCACAACACCCTGCCTTCCTCTGGTGTGTCCTTGTCGCCCAACCAAGCGAGGCGGTAGTACAGAGTCCTGTCCTGCCTATCGTCCATGTCATTCTAGAGCATCGAACAGTTCCCGGTTGCATCCATTATTGTCAGCAGCGCAACCTTTTCATTCTGTTTTTCCAGCTGCGCCGCCATGCCATGTGCGACACTGTCATCAAACGACCAGCTCAGGAGACGATGTGGCCCTTGAGGGTCGATTTGGTCAACGTAATCCCCTGCTATCTCCTCGACTGTGCCCGGTATCTCATTCTTTTTGCTAAGTTCTTGTGCTTGCAAACTGTAGACGGGTTGTTCGGAATGCAAATGCCTGGATAAGCTAATAAAGCTCTAACTCAAGCCAAAGACTGGATGCACACATAATAGATGATGCCGTCTTCCCTAAGATTTGAGCGGTAGTACCACAATGGAGAGATCCTTCTAACTGCTATCCTCCACCAGTGTTATCTACGCCAGCTCTGCGACCGCTGAAGCCGAAAACAGTGTCCACAGCCTCAAGCTGTGACCCAGAGTAAAGCGAATGCTATTAATCGGTCTCACGGCCAAAAGTGAGTGCCCACCAAGCATGAAGAAGTTGTCGAGCCAACCGATTTTGTCAATCTTAAGCAGCACGGACAAGGTTGCAACCAACACACGTTCGATTTCTCCTCGAGGTGTCTCATACCCCTGGGCAACAGAGAGGTTAAGGTCTGGCTCCGGTAGGGCGCATCGATCGATCTTGCCGCTGTTTGTCAGTGGCATAGTATCCAAGCGCACAAATGCAGTCGGGGCCTTGTACTCAGGCAAGGTAGTGGCCACGTTGCCTATGCCTGTCCAGGACATAGACTTGGGTGTTGCTGATGGGCCGAGTAGATGCTGAGGCCCTCCATTTTTCAGTTTCTGAACCAGAAATGTCTCGAGGTTTGCTTGCTCTTCCCCGACTGGAAGGTACCGCAACTTAGCTAAAGCAAGACCAACTGACAGAAGCAATTGATGGAACACGGCTGTTGGCCAGGTAAGCACAGTGATCTAGTGTCAATCCAGTGCTTCCGCCAATCGGTGAACATCCGTCATGATCTTGCTGTGGAAGTCCATAGACTGGCCTCCGTTAAGCAGCAGCGACCACACCTTAAAGGTATCTGTGTCAAGAAAAGATCGGTGCCAAGGACCATGCCGTTATTGGGTCCGATGTTGGCGTATCTGTTGTTGATGGTCAGACTAGCAATGGTCCAATGAGGCACCAGAACCTCTTTGGTAGCCCGATAGATCCTGAGGTGTATACCACGTAAGCCGCATCTGACACTCTGCTGGATCTTTTGGATCGACCAGCATATACGCTGCTCCAACTTTGAGAATCTCCAGCTGAGAGATTATTAGGTCAATCAAACTCTTCAACAGGATGGCTAAAAATCACCTCGCATGCCGCCGGACCCTTGGAGTTGATAAGCAATCCGATTGGGCGCGCGCATTCAATTCGCATTATGTCAAAGATCGCTCCTTATAAACCAGCAAGCGACTGGTCTGCTTGGATTTCGAGCAGCTGATGAACACACTTGCCGTCGGGGAACGATGTTGCTCTCTCGTCCTATGTTTCGAGCAATTGCTTTCTTTCGTTCGAGGAGAGGATGTCAATGGTGGCCACTGGATGATTACTACTAGAAACCATGCCTCTTAGAGCCGCGCTCAGATACCCCATGTGGCTCTTGATGGCCTGGTCGCCGAACAGAGCTCTTGAATAGCAGATATCTCCCAAAATTTCATCGCATCCTCGAAAAGGTGCAGCTCTAGATTGTACTACACCGTGGCCTTATCGTGTGTCGTTTTGGGTCCACCTCCTTGATGCCATCGGAATGCGAACTGGAACAGAGGCGCGTGGCCTCTTTCGTGCGGTGACTAGACGTTCTCAACAACTCTTTTAAGAGAAAGATCGCTGTAGGTCCTTGTGGTTTGGATAACTTATCATACGCGGTCGAACAGCTCGATCGTGCCTGTTTATTCAGACAAGTCGAAGCGCACAGGTAATGTCTTCGATGGGAATGCCTTGTCCCTGCCATAGGCGCCAGCTTTGAGGTCGAACAAACCGATGATGATGTCTCCTTGGCTAGATAGCCTGAATATCACTGTGGCCCAAGGAGCGATCATGGTGTCGGTAATGGCGGTATCGCGCTTGTGGCCTAAGGTCGAAAACTACTGCTTTAACAGTGCATCGAGATGAAAATTTAATTGGTCCCAGCGAAAGTTTGCACCGCTGGGCGCAGTCGATCCATGGGAAGGATGCGCAGGCGCACCAGCAAGAGCCCTGCATCAGTGATCTACCTGGACGAGAAGGGCTTTACTCGACACTAACTCGGTGTCCGCCTCGACGGATCGAAGAATGCTCAACGATGCAGTGTCGGATGCTGTTCGGGACAAGAGCGTTGCAGGACAGCTGTTATCATAAGAGGAGAGGCGTTTCAGAGTCAGAGCTGACGGAGCTTCGCTCTACAAAGTATTTTTTTTTTTGGACGACGTGGTCGCCAGCAATTTATGACCGACCTGGATCGTCCACTATCTTGCGACGACCCGAAAAGGTTACACAGCGCATGTTGTGCTTTGCACAATCTCCCTAAATGCACGCAGTCAGCGAACGATCCTTTACTGCACGCTCTTCAATTGCATGTTCCCTCCATCGTTATTTCACCAAACTTGTTTACTCTTACCCTCATTTTCTACGCGTTCTCATTAACACATCACCTTGACCAGCATGGCCGCACGACTCCCACCCGAGCTCGCAGGGGAGCTCTACTGCAGAGCCAACCTGGAGCCGATGATCTATAATGTCATGAATCCCCAGATCGCCATCGAGCTACTTGACAGGGCCTGGGCCATGCTCACCCAGAACCAAATCTCGTTCTCCTTCAACTATATCGACAAGCCCAAGGGTAAGCACATTCAGGAACGACCTGAAGGACGTTATTTACTTCCCACTACACCAGAAGACATCGATAAACTCACCTGCTTATCTCTGTTACTGTTTTATGATGTAGAGGGCTCTGGATTCTTTCTCAAGGTGCAGCCAGACGAGATCATCATGCCCCACGATGGGTAATGAATCGGGAGCGCGGATGATCTTTGGTGAGGGAATGGACCGTGTCAACAGGCCACTAATTGTAGCAATATCTATTTTGTAATAGATATCAGTATATGGACGATGAAGTCAGCTACAGCTTCCCAATGGATAGCGTAAGGAAATCATTGCAGCGCTTGAAGGACAGCTGGAGTTATTGGAACGAACCTGGGAATCTCAGGATGCGATAATATTACTCGACTAACATGGACCTTCGACGCCTTCATTCTGCGGTTCTTTAGAGACTCACTATTACCGAGCGGTCGCAGGGATTTGTTCATGGGGATCAATACACGCACATTGTCCGACGAAAATACACGCTTGTGCATCCAGGGAGGGAGACCCTCGCTTTTTTGCACTACGCCAGGGCCGACATTTCTCGTAAGTGCAATCGCTGACTTTTTGCTCGCTCGCACCGACTCTGAAAATCAAAACTGTCGGAAGCAACTAATTCTGATGGATTTGCAAAATTCCATGCAAATAGGCTCTGTTGTTGTGGACGGACGCAGGGCCAAGACTCCCGCTCGACAGTACCCACTGAAACCAATTCCAGGATCTGCAGTGCCACCGCCACAGGCACAGGCACAAGCGTACCAGAGCGGATTCCGGCCTCAGCAACCTCCAAAAGTGCAAAACCCTTATGCTCCGAATCCAGCAGCAGTAGCAGTGCCCCCTTCGCCTCAACAGCAAGGGCCCTACGGACGCTTCTCTGCTGTGGCTGCACCTGTGGTCGGACAACCTGGGCAGCAACCTCCCCAACGTTTGGCTTCTATCAACCAAGGCGCCTACGGAAACCAGAGACACGACAAAAAATCGAGCCATAAGAAGCATCATCAACAGCAGCCGCAATTGACACCACAACAACAAGCGCAGATGGTTGCTCAGCAGCAGGCACAGGCACAGGAGGATGCGGAGGAGCCCTCAGGAGATGAACTGGACTTTTTGACGGCGAGGGATGTTGCTATTGCGCGGTACAAGCGGAACCACGATTATATTGCAGAGGTGTTTTCGCCTTACCCTACTTGTACGTATATACCCTCAAGTCTCGTCGCCTAAACAGACAAGAATTGCAGGAGCTTTATATTCATGCTTATGATTATGAAAGCTGCATTAACTAAAGTGTGCTTGCTTCTGCGATATCGAACATGTAGCCAGAATAATTCCACCCCGACCTGAGTATGAGAAATCAATTGAGTTCTTGAAGGCACTGGGTGCAAAGCACGAGATTGATTTGGACGCTCTCACGGAGGAGCACGACGAGAAGATCAAGAAGTTCAGGGCTGAGGCAGCGGTTTTCTATAAGGGCTTGGAAGGATTGAAACAGGCAACCACAGCTCAGGTAAAGTGCGATTTTTATTATGCTTTCAGGGGATACTTGGCATCCCGCGGAATAACATAGGCACTCACAAGCGATTCTTCTCTCAATGTGACAACAGGAAGTTTATGCTGCGAACGAGAGAGTTGAGACCTACAAGAGTATGACAGTGCAGCCTTATTCTGCACTCCGCATCATAGAGTTACCCAAGAATGAGGCAACCCGCACGCCTGAACCAAAACCTGCTCGACTCCCAAAGCAGCCAGTGGAACTTGACACTAGCATGATAATGGATGCAAAGGAGCCAACTCAGGACACCAGTGCAATCATAGCAGCAGCCGCTGCTCAGGCTGGAGTAGTTGTTCCAGGAGTGGCCGACCAGATCGCGGTCAATGGAACCCATGCGCCAACCGCAGCTGCTTCAGAAGCGATGGAGGTGGACCCCGTAGCGACCATCCTTGTACAGGAGAGTCAACAGCTGGCAGCAGGCGAGGATACCGAGATGGCGAGCAGTAACGATTTCCCCCACGGAATCGTGGATGGAGGCAATCAGGAAAATATGACACCGACAGTAACACCAGACGCCGCACCCTCAGCGCCTGTTGCGGCACAGGAGATGCAACCAGCGGCCATCTCTGCTCCAGAAACACAGCAGCAACAGCAACAGCAACAGCCCGTCGTTGTTGATGTTGTCATGGAGGAGCACGAGCACCAGCACGTCATCCAGGACCCCTCGGATGCGACAGCAACCGCTACTACGGAACCAGCACCTGCAGCTACAGCTCCAATCGTGGAGACACCCTCAGCCGCAGCGGTCTCATCAGAGTCGATGGCACCTATACCCGTGACAACTATCACTCCTGACGACCAACCTCAGCTGCCAATGTTCACAGTCCCAATCGCAGCAGAGCAGCCCATGATTACAGAGATGTTTGTGCAAGAGTCATTCACGAGCAGTATTGCTGAGGATGATCATGTCACCAAGACGACGTCCAACAGCTACACGACCTCTCTGACAGATGTCACTGGAACGACAGTGACAGACATCACACAGGTTGGAGATACTGTTGTTGACTATGCAGACGGACATCAAGAGCAGTTCCCTCAAGAATCTGCTCATCAGCACATCGTCGAGCACACAGGCGATCAACAGCAGCAGCAAGGGAATGCTCAGATTGAGGCAGCCCCAATGTCGACGGTGACAATCACAGAGTTGCCGAGTGCAGAGCCGAATGCGACGGATAGTGCTGATACAAATGCGGAGGCAGATGCTACGACCTTGACGCAGTCTGCGGTGGACTCTTCGTCGGGTCCTGCACCGGCAGGAGATGCGGCAACTCTTACAGTAGCACCCATATTAGCACCAGCATCAGCACCAGCACCGGCATCGGCCTCTGTTCCTGTTGTAGTAGCGACATCAGAAGCAGGTTCGGAGAATACGACGGAGACATTAGAAGAGCATGCACCGCCAGGAGAGGGCGCCCCATGATGGCGGTTTAGAATGTGCAAGAGCTATTTTTTTTTTTTTTTCTTAAAAAAAAAAAAAAAAAAAAAAAAAAAAAATTGAACGGGTAATAAAAACATGTCTATTGTGTCCAGAAAATGAAATTGTTGCGGCGAAGGGTGCGGCGCCCTGGAGTTGATATACAGGAGCCAGCTTTATCCACGAAACCACATGAGTTTGACATATTGGAGACATCGGCCTGCCATACATGCCCCTGCCCAATCTTATTGGCCGGGTCATCAAGTTACGCCCTTCTTCTCAAACCCAATGGCGACCGCCACCAATGCATCAGAGTCCTTTTCAACCTCGGCTTTTTTGAATAATATTCTAAGTCCTGGATCACCATTGGTTGAAATGGGGCTAGAGCCTTAGAATAATGTCCACAGAAAAAATATTCCGGTTGACATCTGCGGTTGGAGGTAACGGGTCTGGTGGAGGCACAAGAGTGCGTTGTAATAAGCTACGGTATATAAGGAAACATCCCTGAGGTCACGTCCATTTTTTGTGTCGTTCAAACACTTTTTAGAGAGCGAAGAACCGGACGTGAGCTTAAACACAAACCGCATCTTGATGAGAAGCACTCTGTGCGTGACATCTGGCGCAGGATGGAACTACATAGAGGACTAGAACGCCTTGGATGAGGGTGTTTATTAGTCACTAATAAACACCCAGACTCAGCGCTTCCGATGAGCAATTCAGAACACCTCCTACTTACTGAGTGAAGGTGCCAGAGACGCCTTTACTTACTCACTCACTTAATACCTGACTTTTCAAAACTTATAAAAGGTGTAGTTAAGGAGCTTAAGCACAGGTTTCGAGTAAGTGAAAGTGGAGGTCCTCACTTGCTCAAGTAAGTAAGTAAAGTAGGACTTGACATATGGAAAAATTCACTTGTCGGAGGCTGTGTAATAGCATAGGGTCATTTTTGATAAGGAGAGGCGGGGACGCAAATAAACAATGAGGGCATTTTTTATTGGACACCATGAGCGTGTTGGACCTTAAAGTGATCGACCTACATACCCCAAAACTTTCAAATGCTTCTCAGAGTTTGGAACGCCAGGACCTTTTTGAGAAAAGAGCTTTCGCATTTCTTCCGTTCTCTGCCTGATAGGAATGTCATAGCCAGACAGTCAACAAACATAGACACTCTCTACAAGACCTCTTGCCTGCGGTCAGGCCTCCCAGTTTCCCAGTTTTGGACTGACTCAACAGATATTTCCAAAGCGCTGGACGATAGCACTCTCGAAGGAATGAAACACGCACTCCTCCTCATAGAAACGCATTACTCTCTGAAGCTTAGTATATTCAACTTTCAAAAAAGACACGGACGCTGTGTCTTGCAATGCTCTGTAATCTCTATGCTTCGACATCAAAGTTAATGAGCAATGCTTTCGCTTAAAAGTTAGGCTGTAAGTCAGACTACGAACGAACCTTATTCAAATTTAGCATACGCGTTTGTCCCTACAGCGCGCGCTGAAATTTTTGCTGTGCTGGCATGCTACATAATTGTGTATGTGATTGAAGGAATATATGATAGTTAAGTTAAATGTCATGCCCTTATCCATAAATTCACGGTATAACTTTACGCATTGTGTTGATTTCCTGCATGCCCGCATGTTAGTGGGTGGTTTTCAGAGGCTGGCACAAAATCTATGGTTAAATTTTTATCGTGGAGATATTTGAGTAGTGCCTCAACTATCGATATTGCTTGGCCTCTGACACTTTTGCATCCTCATTACCCCTCGTTCTAAATGCCAGGGTATAAGACGAAATGAGCTTCGTTGCCCTCTTTCCATACACACGCACCGCTCCTAGTTTTTGGTTTTTTTATGGCAGCGGTTTTGTCTTAGCGAAATATATATACTTGTGGACAGCGGTGCAATGTCGAGCAGAAGAACATCACTTCATACGATCTCATTTTGCGTTTTGAGCAAGGGAATATGGACGTTGAGACTTTAAAAATCTGAAGGTATAGATAACTTGAAGAATGCTATGCCTTGCACATGAAGACTGTGCTTCATCTTTTTGTTTTTAACCAGATGGTTTTTCCTGTTTTTGCTTCTATGTATGAGATCCTGTGCTTTCAGAACTTCTGACATGGACACATGCGACGATTCATGATTATCTGATAGATATGGACTAAAACAATATAAGGTGAATTAAACTTAACATCCGTGCTCTCGAATGTGAATACCTCCTGAGCCAGAGATTTTCATACTGAACATCGTGTTTTCCTTCAAAGCTTGGGTGCCAATCATGATCTAAGTCCTTCTAGCCAGATTCTATTAAAATCGGAATAGGTAGTCCTGACAGGCAATCAAGATTGTTTGCTCATGATAATCTACAGGCCGGTGCTACAAAATACCCGAGCTCTAATGGGTGATTAAGGATAGCCACTTTGCTGTTACAGAGCATGCACACAAAAAGCAAATGGGCAAATAGGACAGCGAACATGTGTCCTCTAAAATCAAATTATGGATAGGTCGTTTGTGATAATAGTATTAATAGCGGCCCCTTAAAGAAAAATCCTACTATGTATTTCGCCTGCTAACCATCAGTACCGCGATATTCAAAAGATAAGGTTAACTTGGGAAACGCCATATCTAAGGTGCTATAGCGGAGTTGTCTTCCTGTTTAACTTCTGTACTTTGTGCATCAAGAATCGCTAGTGGGGAACTGCTCTCTTAAGAGCGAGTCTATGATACATCCGAGGCTAAGGACATGCCGCTTACCTACTCAGCCATATAATGTGCGCAAATCAGTCAAACGTCTGCGAATATCTGGAACATCGCTGGGGTTGACCAATCACGAAGCGCTTGGATGAGCACTATCAGATGCAACCGCCAATGATCAAGCCTCAAAAGTCATTCAGTAGCGCAAGAGCCCCCTCTACCTTTTTTGGATCTAAGTCATTGCTATGCGCTCTGGTCCAACTAGTTTGTCGAACGCCTCTTTAGCTAAAAAAAAGTCCCTGGTTATCCATCATCGGTACCTGTCTCTTTCAGTCCCATGTAGATATGTAAACATCATCGTGCTCATTATATTCAAATAGAGAGTCATCTCTTAGTTCCACATCGCTATCATTGGAGCATCAGACCTAGCTGAACTGTGCCATGGCTTGCTTGAACCCTTTGATCCTGTTGCATTGCTCCTTCACGTTGTCTGCTTTTGGCGTATTCCATTGCTGGGCCAGGACAAAGTCCCGCGAGTACCGCAAGCAGGCCTCCTCCTGGAAGTTCTGGTACAGCTTGCGGTTGTACTTGCGCTCCTGTTTCCTGGTCTCTTCCTTGTATGGGTGCGACTGGTGGATCAAAAAGTCGTGAGGGAGCACGTAGTAGTCGATCCCGGAAATGTAAATCTCAAACAGGCAGGCCTAGAAATGGAATCGGCAAAAAATCAAGAAGGGATTTGGTCCGCCCCCCTGTTAGAGATACATTCCAGAGAGTGTATCGTAAACATGACAAGCACCAGATGGAGTGAAACTTACGGCCTTGTTGGCCCCATAGCCCACGAATCGCTCGTCGCACCACGGCGTCCCTTCCTTCTTCAGGATCACATAAGGCTCGTACGAGTGCTGGTACGTCGTGACCTTGTACGCTGACTCGGTCTTGTACCAGCGCTCATAGTCCGTCGCATTGTGTCCCCTGGCGAAGAAATCGTGGAAGATCGCCAGCTTGTTGTCCCGTACCAGCTGGATCGCCGCTGCTTTATCCTTGGGGAAGGTCCTCGAGTCGACACCATCTTCTTGTTTTCTATATTCGAAAGCGGGCAAAAGAACCGCGTTCCCTTCTCTCATAAGCCGGCGTGCTTCCGGGTCAAGCGACAGGTGGTGCTGCAGGTTTGTGCAGATGTGAAAATCGACTATCAGGAGTAACGGACAAAAAATGGGATGGGAGGTTTCAATCAACACACGCTCGGGTAAGCAGAATCCACATGGGGGGTGCAAGGTCGCATGCAGTAGACTTGGTCTCCTTACCATCAAGCATCATAAAGTAATTGGTCCGAGCAAAGAACCTGGCCACATTGCGCCACATGTTGAACTGCCGATCAAACTTGTCGACAATGACATGCACATCCACAAACTCCTTCATAGACGGGTTCGAACTGTACATGTCATGCAGCCTCGACAGGTTCTCGTCCCGGTTCTCGTCGTCGTTGATGTGAATGCTGACAGAGATGGGTCCCTGGTAGTTGGTGACGAGTTTGCTGAAGACTGGATATCGGTCGTAGGTGATCAGGGTCGTGATGGTGACCGCCTCCAGATCGAATCTCCGCTCTGCTTTGAAGTAGTAAGGCAGCACTTTGGAGGGCTGCATCGTGTTGGCGAATATCTTGTGGATCACTGCGTCCTCCTCAATCTCATGGCGGGGGCTGTCTTCCGGCGCTACAATGCAGTACAAGGACGATGCTGGTCAATAACAGCCAATACAGCAGCCAGTACAATGGTCGACACAACAAATAACATGACTAGTCCTGCAGATCAATAGTTCGCGCCAGTTACTTTTCCAGCTCATCTTCTGCTTTGAGTAGACGGTGCTTTCCACGTCAAAGACTGCCTGGCCTGGCTCATCCCATGTTCCTGGAGTGACGTTGTAGATGGGCTCCGAGTCCTGGTATCGGCCGAATTGGGTATGTAGCGTGAAGATGACGGACCCTGCGAGGTATGCCAGCACACCGTATCGCAGCAGCTTGACTGCAGGCTGAGGTATTGGTCCCATTTGGCTGTATTGTGTCCTTTTCCTGTCCAAGAAGGGCGATAGATGATGAGGACGATGAAGAAGTGGAGAAGGATGAGGAGGGAGGAAGATGGAGAAGAAGGCGATGAGGAAGAATTAGACCCAGATGCGACCCAGATGCGACCCAGATGCGAGTGCGGTAGTGGCTGTATCCCGAAAATAGGACAGTGGGCGCTGAGATGAGAGCGTAGTTGTGCCTGCTTGAGGGAGGTATCCCTGACTCTTTGGCTTTGCCCAATTGACCCCAATTGACTATTCCACTCCTGCCCAATCAAATCGCACTGCATGCATTTTAAGCTGTGTAGTCACGGTTTGTTTATCTTTTCTGATCACTTATTACTATGAAACAGGGACCAAAAACGGTACTGCACTTCTCTCATCCTCTCCATCCCTGTGATGCGTCTTGTCTCTCTGTTGTCAAGCAGAGCACTCACAGCAACCCCATCCTCTTTATTTCCCCTCAACTTCTCTTCCTCCTTTGCTTCTTGCTCCTCCTTTACGAGATCACTCTCGTCCTCGAGCCTCTCCAGGATCTCCGTCCTCCCTTCCTTCTTTACACCCTCCTACCCATACTCTCCATCTCCTCCGCCGTACTCCTTTCTCACTTCCCCTCACTTTCTTGCTGCCCCGCCTCTTACTCCCTATCGCAAAAAGAGCCTTGCCAAATTCCCACATCTCCACGATTACCTCGACCCCATGACTAGCCAAGCCAAAGAAGAAGCCGAACAGCGCTATAGCGCCGCGGCAGCCAAGGCTACGGCTGAGCATGCTTTCCCGTCCAAACTCACTGGCTGGGAGTTCTACAGGTCGATCGGATCACCAAAGTACATTGTCGCACCCATGGTCGACCAGTCTGAGCTAGCCTGGAGGATCCTCAGTCGACGGTACAATGCGGACCTGTGCTACACTCCCATGTTCAACGCCAAGCTGTTTGCCAAGGATCCAAAGTACAGGGACGAGCATTGGGCAGGACTGAAGGACGGGCTAGGTGGCGGAGGACCGAACGACCGACCGCTGATTGTGCAGGTAGGATGGAAAGTCAGGAGAGAACAAATTGACATTGTGGATGAAAACGAGTCATGTCAGCTAGTTTATGCAAGGATATCTCACTGACACTTCGCTCATCTTGGGTCCTGTTAGTTTTGTGCAAACGACCCAGAATATTTGCTGCAGGCTGCGCTCATGGTTGCGCCGTACTGCGACGCCGTCGATATCAACCTCGGATGCCCCCAGCACATTGCCCGGCGAGGGCACTACGGCTCTTTTCTTATGGAAGACTGGCCCTTGATCTCGTCTCTCATCTCTACACTGCACAAACACCTTCCCATCCCCGTCACTGCCAAGATCCGGGTCTTCCCCGAGGTCGAAAAAACAATCGAATACGCGAAAATGGTTGTTGAGTCTGGCGCGCAGCTCTTGGTCGTTCATGGCCGACTCCGGGAGATGAAGGGCCACTTGACAGGCCTGGCGGACTGGGACAAGATCCGTGCGGTGCAGGAAGCAGTTGGACAGCTGGTCCCCGTTGTTGCGAATGGCAATATGCTCTACCACGACGATCTAGCGAGGTGTTTAGAAAAGACAGGATGTGTCGGCGTCATGTCTGCTGAGGGCAATCTCTACAACCCCGCGATCTTTACGCCGCAACACCCAGAGTCTTGGCATCTGGCCGAGGAATACCTGACGATCTGCGACGAACTCGATACGAAGGTCGCATATACCCGCGGACACCTGTTCAAGATCTTCAGACCCAGCTTGGTGGTACACACGGATCTGAGGGCGGAGCTAGGCCTTGCGAGCTCGAGAGAGGAGATGTGGGCGGTCGCACGCAAGCTGAAGGAGAGACTGATCCAGGACGCAGACGCCTCGCGAATGAGTGGGGAGAACTTTGACGGACGCGTGGATGGGCAAGGGTTCCCGATCTTGCCGCACTGGCTTGCACAGCCGTATTTCCGACAGCCCATGCCGGAGCAGACAAAGAAGGAGGGTGAGAATGACGCTCCGGCCAAGCGGGGCGCGGACGACTCTGTACAGGTAAATGCCAACGGCACAACATCTGTAACAGGAGATGAGGACGCGGGCAAGGCAAAGAAGAAAGCCAAGAAGACCAAGGTCATCCCCAACCTCTGTCAAAGCGCCGGATGCAGAAACACGTACTCGGCGGCGTGTGTGCATCAGAGATGCAAGGGCTGTTGCCGTAGTCATCAGCAAGACATCAATGTGTTCGACTGTGCAACACACCAGATCCGGTCCTTGCAGCACCAGCAGAATGTGACAACATCGGATTCGCAGCAGATTATTGAAGCTATTGTTTTGGGGGCACATGTTAAGAACTCGAACCCAGTAGAGGCTGTCTCTGGAGCCATCGCATCCGATACAAGCGCCGACAAGGCAGAGCAGAGTATTGCTGCCTAGATTTCTTTTGTTCGCTTAGAAACCATCATGAAATAGAAAAACGAACGTGTACATCAGAGCAATTTAGCACTTTGCAGCGCATATTTTATTTTGCAAACAAGATGGCCAGGCCCTGGATGCCCAACAGATAGAACCCGCTCGTGGGCATGGCTGTAACGCCACTGACAGTAATTCCCATGAGCCAAACACCCAGCTCTGGGGGCAACTTCCTCTCAGATTGCTAAGGAGGACCAAATTTACGCCAGCCATGAAGAACCAGAACGAATGACGACGACTGATGGAGGTACCAAGCTAGTTGATGTATCCGCCTTTGAGGGCATCCACGAAGGGCTGACGAACCGCAGGGATTAGGAAACTTACAATGTTGTGTCCGACGCCGGTCCAGACCAGGAAGCGAGCGGGCCAACGTGAGGAACGGTAGGGTACTGCCGAAGGGCGGCGGCTCGACTCGGAGGAAGATGAGGACGAAGACGGGAAAGATGGTGAAGATGGATGTGTGTTGCCGAGTGAATTGTTCTGGGACGTGCGCCTTGAGTACCTTAAAAAAAAAAAAAAAGGGGGGCGATCGATGCCCGGCAAGGAAGGCGAACTTTTCTCTATTTACGGTGAAAAATAAAGAAAATGGCTCCACAGACAAACATGCCGCTTCTGCTTCCTCGTTTAGGCCATTGCCGAACAGAAGAACAATGTCATTTCTGTGTAAATGCATGTCTAGCGCAGTCGGTCGTACTTGTATTTACATCATTGAGCCATGCGTCTTTGATTCCAAAGAACGGTTCAATTGCCGCTAGAAAATAATATGTCTCGCCTCTTGAAGAACAATTCCCTCTACGCTTGATTGCATCTCTCGTATTCTCATTCCTCGCAAACCCTTTTCTTCATTCTTTGATTTTCCCCTCCCTTCCTTCCTCCCTTATTAACATGCTGTCCAAAAAACTCATCTTACATTAGGTTTTGAGAACAGCCTTTACGAGGTCGTCGAAAAGCCAAAGGAGAAAGTGAGGAAGTAGACAGGATCGCTTTTCTAGTACCAAAATCCCTCGGCAATTGAGCAGTATGAATACATCATGGTGCTGTCGACACCCAGCGTTGTTGCGGAGGCTAAGTAGGCGAGGATGTTTCTGCGACACCATTCTCGATTCTCCCGGGAGGCATTAATGTTCATTTGGCTAGAGTGTTCCACGCTATGGCCGTCATGGATGGCGAGGATGAAGAGTACGTGCGCCCTTTCAAGCAGTAGCATCTCGCTCCCCGCACTCTTCCAGTATTAGCCCGTACTGCATTCAGTCGTATCAACAAACTAGTAAAATTCTCTGCCGTTATAGTATATCACATAGGCCTGGCCTAATCAGCTCTCTAATGGTAGCTATGTTGCAACAGTACTCGACCGCCACGTATCCACTGTGCCATATAGTAGTCGTTCAACGTACTTTAATTTAGGCATGAATCATGAACTTAGGTATGATTGCAGCTATCAGAAAGATGCAGAGATGAGCCGGATTTTATGTCATCAAAGAGAGCTGAATATTGTTGGTTTATGGTCTTTATTTCTTCTTCCATAGTGTTCTACTGATTTTATAGCAATAGTGTCCGATCGGTAAGTAGTAAGTAGATCTTGATCTGTTGCTGAATCTAGTGCACTAAGTGTAGTGGCGCAAAAAACCTTATTTGGTATGTAAAGAGGCTGTGCCTTTTCCTTGCTATCGCCTTCGTTGCTGTAATACTGAATAACTTTTTTTTTTTTACTATGCTGTAACTCATTAGCATGATGAATACGCTCCTTCAAGAAAATTACAGCGAAATGATAGAGTATAAAGAAGCGCTTCAGTTGCTTCTCACATTTCCGCCGCACGTCGTTGTCGTGGAGTCTAAAAAAAATCAGCATTAGCACTGCCTGGTACTACAATGAAACCGTCTTCCAAGATCGTCAATAAACTACACAGCCAAACATTTTCGATCGCAGCAATGCTTGCAGACCGAGATGAACCATTTATTATTGTATTGCTCACCTCGAGAAGGTCTTTCCCAACACGCAAAAGTACACTTCATTGCTGTTCTTGAACCAAATGCCTCAAAGGCTGACCCCGAGCATCCGGAACTTTTCCTCCAGCTTTCCAGCTGCCTCTTCAAATGCCTTCATTCGCTCCTCCGCTCCAGGAGAAGAAACTGAACGATCCAAAGAACCACGGTTCTCTCCCTTCCATTGCTGATGCTGCTTTCCATCGCCATATTCATCTCTCTGATCCTGATCATTAGCATCCTCGCCCATAGATCGTTCTCCGCTGTTTCCACCACCACCCTTCCGCCCCTCCCCCTCAAACGCCAACTGCCTATCTCGATCATGTCCGTCCGCCCTAACCGGCAAGATAACCCCCTGTCGGAACTGCTCTAGCCTTTCGCCCGTCAAATCCTTGCTACCACTTCCTACATTTTTCTCCTCGACTACCCTCTCCGTTTCCTTCTCTTCATCACCAACAGCCACGTCAATATCAATTCCCTCAATCGGCATCTCATCATCCGGATCCACCTCCGGCAAAGGTGGCACATAAAACGTCCGCGGCTGTATCCCGCCCCAAACACGCCCCTTCGGTTGACTCATAAACGGATTTTGATGCTCCTCATCATCCACCACTTGCTCTCCAAGCGCCACATTCTTCCCCCACCCATACCTTCCTTCACTTGGACTCTCATATCGATCACCCTCGCCCTCGACCTCGCCCTCGCGGCCGTCCTCTCCCAATCCAGCCGAGACTCTAAGGACTCCCTTCCTCGACCTCCTCGGATCTCTATCCGCAACAAACACCGGCTCCTGAAGCAAGCTCCCCGGATGTCGAGCCTCATACTCTTCCGCCATCTCATCTCCAGATTTCAAAAAGTCCTCAAACTCCTTACATTGATGTCTCAAGTTATCCGCCTTGGACGTGTACCACTCCCCTGTCACAATCATCCGCTGCAGGGTCGAGAAACAGACCTCCTGCTGGAATTGTACAAACAGCTGTTTGTTCAGTATACGTCCGTTCCTCCGGTTCGTCGTCGGGTATTCGTGGTACTGGTGGATCAAGAAATCCTGAGGCATCACCCAGAAATCAATCCCAGAGATATACATCTCAAACAGGCAGGCCTACACAGGAAGTAGAAGAGGAAAAAGAGTTTGGCCAGCTGTGTGTGTTAGCAAGAAAACAACCAGGGTTCATTATATTACCATAGCATGGTCACCATCGAACCATCGATTCATTGTCGAAGCACCGACTTACAGCTTTGTTAGCCCCATATCCAACAAACCGTTCATCGCACCAGGGTGTGCTCTCGCGCTTCAGAACAATATAAGGCTCATATTTCGGCTCAAACTTCGTCACCTTATACGGCCGCTCGCCTCCCGCTTCTTTCTCCAGGTACTCGCCCCGTTCCTCTTCCGTCATCCGCCCGACTCCATCCTCCACAAAGGCGCCCTCATCCCTCGCCTCCAGATTCTCCTCCTCCTCCTCTTGACGATACTCTTCCTCAAACCCAGCTCGGCCCTTCGGCACCGAAGCCCATCGTCGGTCCTCAATGTCCGCTGCTGCACGCTTGCTCATCTCGATCCACCGTGGGGTGTCGGTCGCCGCATGACCTGGCGGGAAGGAGTCATGGAACACCCGGATGTGCTGCTTTTCAAGCAACGGAATCAGATCTGCTTTCGTATCCGGAAAGTACTTGGAGTCCTTAGGATCGTGCTTCAGCGCATACTCGAATGCTGGAATGACGAGTGCTGCGCCAGATAAAAGCAGTTCCTGGATACGTGGATCATGGTGCAAGCGGTTCTTGAGTCCCGAGGGTATATGAAAGTCCACTATGTACGATTTCAAAAACACGACAGTTAAAAACGGTGAGATATCGGATTCAAACGTAATAACAAAGTCCAGAAAGTCAGTATAGTCATATGCATTACCGTCCAACATCATGAAATAGTCTGTCCGGGCAAACATCCTCGCAACATTCCGCCACATATTCAGCTGCAAATCGACCCTGTCCACAATCACATGCAGATCCACGTATCTCCTCAGAATCGAATGCCCCCGAAAGAACTCGTTCAACTCATGGAACTTCGCATCCTGGTCCTCGCCCTTTCGGATATGTGTCGCCACCGAGATCGGACCCCGATACTGTTTGACGAGCTTCAGGAATACACCGTACCGATCTGGGGTAATGAGCGTCGTAATCGTCACCATCGACGGGTCTAGCCTGGTTAGCGGATGCTCAGGGTTTGATCCGCCTCCACCTCTGGGGCTGTTTTGTTTCTGTGATCCATGTAATCCATCATCATCGTCCTCGTGTAGGTTGTCATCATCATTCTCGTCCCTGAAAGAGGCCCTGAAATAGAAGGGGATCACCTGAGTCGGGTACATGGCTCCGCTGAACGCCTTCGATAGCATATAGTCCTCGCTCACTCGCGCAATTGCTTTTGCTATCAAAGATGCGCAGGTTTGTAGATAGTACGAAACGTGAATAAAAAATGAATACTTTCAAGGATATCGCTCAAAACAAGTGTTGTCTTGTTTTGAATCTGCCACAGATAAAGCTGCAGCAGCAGCACTTACAATTATCGATATCATATGTATCGAGCGCCCATTGGTGTATACTGTAATTCTGGGCCTCAACATCGAATGCCGACACAACTCTCTTCTGCCTGCCATTCTGTCCCAGAATCCGGCGAACCCTGAGCTGCTGCTCCGTGTACTCAAAACTCTTCCTCAGTCTGTCCCTGCTATTCGACTCCCGGAACATCAGATGAAAAGTCGTAAAGCAGACGGATCCGATCAAGAACAGCACCACCACAAGACGAATGCATGGATGCAGTCTCCGATTCTGTCTTAGACAAAAGAGCCGTGCGCGAAGAACCCTCTTAGGATCCGTGAACAACAACGGGTAGTGCGAACCGCTGCCGTTATGTTGACCACGATGGCCCAGTCTAACAAGACGATCCTTTTTCTGGCCCTGGAGTTCCTCATCTCGATAGCCGTGGTCGTAGCCGGATCCGTTCATGTAGGCAAGAGAATCACGAGTATCCTTGTTATGTATCCACTGCGTATCTTGTACGCCATCGTCGACTCCTCGAGCAATCTTTTTCTGCAAGCCCTCGTTCGATTTTAGACCGTCCATATCACTGCGGCTGTTGATGCTATTGGGTATATTCAGCGTCGGGGAGGACATGGCGGGTATGATAGACGACTGGACTGAGTTCCCGTCTGCGTTGGATATATATCCATCCTTGGATCTAAACGACATCGCCGACCTTGAATACACTCTTTCTCCTTGGTATGACGCCAATGTTTGCGAGTTCATAAAAGTAGCCGAAGTCGGTGTCCGCGGAAAATTCGACTGTTCTGTTGCTGCAGGAGACGAAGCTGCGGACGCCTGTCCAAAGCTCCGCCAAGTTGACCCATCATTCTGGTGCCGGTGCTGCTGGTGCTTCTGATCGGACGCAAAACCGATTCCCCATCCTGAAGTCAACCGGCTCATGCTACCAGCTCCGGCCTTAGGGTGTGCGGCACCACTGCCTGCAATCGCAGGGATATACCGAGGTCCTGCTGGTGAGAGTGGGGACGTGACCGTCAAGTCTGCGTTCCAGAGCTGTGCTTCAATGGGTTGCTGTTGTTTTTGTTGCTGTTGCGAACTGGCAGTGTCGATAGTACCGCCAGAAGAAGAAAACATGTTGGATAGGTTCAGTGCCATGCTGGGGCTCTTTGTCTTGGTTGCAGTCGGGGTGTTCAGTGAGGAGGATGAGGTTGAAGAGGGAGAGGCTGGGGGCGGGACCGGGGTAGTTGCTGCTGTTGAAGTTGATGTTGGCGACGGGCGGTTGTCTCGTCTGGCCAGCTTCTGTGGGTCCCATGGTTTCCAAGGCTGGTGCGGTTGTACGTGTCGACGCTCGATACTGCTGCTGTCCTCGCTTGTTCTGGCCGAAGGCTGGTTGTTGCTGAGGGATGATGGTTCGAATGCGTCCTGGGGTACAGAGATTGTGATGGCATTGTCGTCGTCGTTCTGGTCGTTGTCATCCTGGTTTTTCTTCTTGTCTTTTTGAGAGCGCTTCTTGAACATAATTGGTTGATGTGTGTGATTAAAGGGTGCTCTGCCTGATGGAGTACTGATGAGAAGCAGGAAGACGTGTGAAAGAGGGAGTGGGCGGTGCAAGTGTTCCCTTACCGCGAGCTGATTGGCCAGTGGGGATCGATTTCATTTTCGGAGGGGTTCGTGCTTGCTGAAAAGCGATTGAAGCCCGTGGCATCAAACGTAAAAGACGCGTCCTCGAAACGCGTTCGTGTCACATCCACAGAAAACTATAGGAGGAGGCCATCTCAATGCATACAACAAGGGCCATCCAAGGTGATAAAAACAACTTATCTCTGCTTCGTTCCTCAGTCTTTGTCTTTGTTGTTTTGCTTTTACTTTAGTAATATGGCTACTATTGTACTTTCAAAACCAAATATCGAGCCCACTATCCTCCTCTCTAATAATAAAAAAACCTATTTCTTTCACGCTATCACTTCATCTCAGTTACGTCTCAAGAACTGAAATCTTTCGTTCTGTCGTTGTGGCTGCTGCTTCTCCGTCATTGCAATCGGTCTCTCGCTCGCGACGACATCCTCATCTTCATCCACAGGTTGCTTCATTTCTGCAGCTGGTACTTTCTGCGAAATCGAGGCCCCATTGCCGTTCACCTGGACCTGTGCCTGAGGCTGGTGCTCCTCTTCGTAAACAATTTCGACCGAACCCTCGCCTTCGGCAGCCGTCTCCATGTCCTCCTCAGCGTCGTTGTCCTCATACACATCATACCCATAATTCTTTGCATTGTACTCAATCCACTCCATAACCTCAGGATCGATAGCCTTTTCGCTGGTTTCGCTGTTGACGGTCGTTGGATCGAAGGCCACTCTTGACCACAAGGGCTGTAGGGCATCGGCGCAACATTCAGCCACAATAACGATGGTCTCATAAACGGTACAGTCATCCTCCTCTTGATGGTGGTGATGATGATGGCGAGGGTGCTTGTCGTGGTGCTTATCGTGGTGCTTATTGTGGTGAGGATTAGGGTGCTTATCGTGGTGATGATGAGGGTGCTTATCGTGGTGATGATGAGGATCCTTATCGTGGTGATGGTGAGGGCGCCTGTCGCGGTGCCTATCATGGTGGCACTTGTCATCGTGATGATGATGTTTGTCGTGTCGATACTCACTATTGTGATGATGGTTGCGATGGTGATGTTCGTTATGGCGCTCGTGTCCACCACGGCCCTTGGCCTTGAGCTCCTTCTGCTGCTGCGCGTTCTGCTGCTGACGATGGCTATGATCCTGCTCCATTGTATGATGGTGCTGCTGCTTCTTCTGCTGGACCTTCTTGTGTCCCTGTTGGACCTTCTTATGCCCCTGTTGGGCTTTCTCGTGCTCTTGCTGGATTTTCTTATGCCCCTGCTGGACCTTCTTGTGCTGTTGCTGGATCTCGTTGTGCTCATGCTGGGCCATCCTGTATTGCCTCTCCGCTTTTTTTTCCTCTTCCTTCTTCTCCTTCTTCTCCTTACCCTCCTTCTTCGCCTTATCCTCCTTACCCTCGCCCGTCTCTTTCTTCTCCTCGTCATTCTCTCTGTCTTTCTCCTTCTGTTTCTCTTCCACCTCCCCCATCTCACCTATTTCAACCATTTCACCCATTGAACTTACTTCATTCATCTCATCCTTCTCCTTCTCTTCTTTCTCTTCCTTCTCTTCCTTCTCTTCCTTCTCTTCCTTCTCTTCCTTTACTCCCTTTGCTTCCTTTGCTTCCTCCACTTCCTTCACTTCCTTCACTTCCTGACTACTTTTCGCCTCCACTTTCTCCGACTGCCCATCGGACACAGATCCACCATTATTGGCCACATACGCGTTAAAGATATTGATTCGGTTCTCTAACTCGGACAACGACGGCCATGCAGACGGATCGATCTTTAGACCATCCATTGAATTCTCTCCTTCGTTCGCGACAATTGCTTCCGGTGCGGGTGCGGGTGCTTCGGCTGGGGCCTCGGCCGTGGGCGGGGGTACGGCCATAGGGAGTTCCTGAGCCTGAGCAGTTGACATGGCGGTGATGAGGGCGCACGCGCCCAACAGGGTAATCAGACGCATTGTTGTAAAGGGTATGTGGGTGGGGTAGAGATGAAAGCAGGAGGAGGCTTATTGGGTATATATAGTGTCACAAGTAGAGGGGATTGAACTGGCTTTGTTCTTCAGTGCTGAACTATTGTTTAGACGAAGGATAAAGAAAAAGGTGTCGCGAGGTAAAGGATGCAGAAAAAAAAGGGAAAAAAAAAGACAAGCGGACAAAGAGGGTATAGTTGTGTTCTGTGAGTATTTAAGAAGACACAAGAGATGCGAGAAAGGAAGAAAGAAAAGAAAAATGGCGGAAAAAATAATGCGATACTTTTTTTTTGTGAATGCATCGTGAATGCACATTCCGAATTGCCCTCACGATAACAGTATTCGATGTCGATGATTGAACTGGACTGAACTTGAGTCCTCGTAGGCAGGCCATTCCTACTCCTCATGTGGGTGCGTCATTTGGGTAATATCGAAGGAGAAACTCAGTATGTCCCAGAGGAATGGAAAGATGAATAAAGGGAGGGGGCAAGGGTGGTTTGAAATCTACGGATGGCCCTCCTAGTCCAACAAGGAATGCTTGCGATCCATCTTCCTATCCTGAACCATGCGTCACACACACACACACACACACACAAGTAGTCTACATTCGCAGACTCCAGTGCGCGCAGCCAGTCGACACATAAGTGTCCTTTTGTACATACATGCAAGCAGCAGGCGTGTCTCTACTCTCCACTCTCTACTCTGCACTAGCTAACTGTACTCCTCTGCTTCTACTCCCGACAGTCTCTTCCTCCTCCTTGGACTCTGCGCAAAAAGTCGACGAAAAAAATATCCAAGACCTCCTTCGTGCACCTCACCGAGAGATCCTCCTTGATGGGCCCTCCCTCCTTCCTCTCTCACTCAACTATTCCCAGATGAAATATGGAGCGACTTTTACAAGTCGATGCAAGCAAGATCCGATTCACTCAGAGCACACGAATCCACTGCAAGCAACCTGACCGAATCCGACGAGTGTCCAGGGAAGTTTAAAGTGCCACGCTGGCTACTTCTTTCTGCTTACAAACAATATTTCTGCTTGACGAACCTTCTCTCTCGCTTCATACAGTGAGCGCTCTGCGCGCACGGCCTCCTATTGGCTCAGGCCCTTTTTTTTTACGATAACACAAAATGAATGAGAGTATCTTCTGGCTGTTGGGGTCACTCCAAAAAAGCAGGGTCCATTGAATTGTACCTTTCTTTACGTGAGTCCCATTCATAGTCCATACATTGCTACATTGCTGTCAAATGGTTTTATTTAACGAAAACAAAATTGGGCGTGCACATACCATGCGATGCAGAAGAGAACGTGAGTACAAGAATAGGAAGGGTGCTAATATTACAGTGACGATATTCTAACACAGCTGCAAGAATAAATAACAATATATATGAAGAGAGAAAAATCCGATAGAAGCGAGCAAATATATAAAGGTGCAAATTAAAAATGAGAAAAAAAGTTAATGATACAAAAAAAACGCAGGTAAACTGCGTTTGAAGAAATGAAAATGAATAAAGATGATAAAGAGAATAGCAAGCAGTTAACACCGCATGGGCTGTGCGCGGGCAGCGAGCATCCTTACTTTTTACGACCGAGGGTACATGCTCGACAGCGGGTTCAAATGCGGCAGCCTGGCGTACTGTTGATGATGATGCTGATGCTGCTGCTGCTCATGATGGCCCCGATAATGATAATCCTCACCACTCAACTCTGCCAGATTCGGGAGCGCCTCATACCCCAACCCCAATCCAGCATGGTGTGCCTGCTGCTGTTGCTGCTGTCCCGGATGATGGTATCCCATCGGACCCGGACCCTGTGGATGATGATGACCCTTTAGATCCAACGACGAGAATGGCGGCGACAGCGAAGCTCCCGAACCCATATCGCCGACAACACTGAAGTTCTTCACCCGCTTCCTCGACAGATCCACCAAATGCACCGCCTTCTCATGCGTCCGAAGGTTATGCAGCTGCGTATATGCCTTCTGGCACCCACCCTGCGAACACTTGAACGGCTTGAACTTGAAATCCGTATGCGCCGTCTTGATATGCATGGCCAACGATTTCCGCTGCGAGAACGCCTTTGAGCATCCCTCGATGATACAATGGAACGGCTTCAGCTTGATCACTGGCGTATGGCCCGTCCGCTCATGAGACTTCAGGTTATGCAGCTGTGTGTACGCTTTCGTGCAACCAGGGACCGAGCACTCAAACACCCTTGCGGCCACCGCCTTACGTGGTGCAGCATTCACCCGGGGCCGCATTTGGATCGTCGTCGGCGAGTCCGAATCTTCATCTTCCTCCTGCGTCGAAGTCAATCCCGTAGCATTGGATCCCACAATCGAGGTCGATCCCAACGTGTTGGCAAGCGAACCCAGAACCCCGCTCGACGCCACAGATGATGTTGTCGAGTTCATAGAGTTGGTCCTCGTTCTCGTTGCGAAATCGCGCTGGGACCCAACCGAGGGTGTGCGACTCTTCTTGTGCGTCGTCCGAATGGGGCCGTATCGCGATCCTGAGCCGTTGTTGTTACTACCATTGGGGGCCATTGATGGTGCGACACGGTTGTAATCAAGATGGGACATGATCGTTGGAGCCTCGTGCACGTTCATCGAGCAAGATGATGGCTGATACTCGGACTGAAGTATACTGGTCGGCGACAAGAGTGGGAGACCACTAATCGCTGGCAAGTTCGATGGCTGCGAGGCCACGGAGGGCTGCTGCTGCTGCTGGCTGTGACTGTAGTTTCTGCTAGACTGAGAGTACGACCTTTGATGGTGCTGATGCTGTTGTCTATCTTGATCTGAATGAGGGACATAAACATATCCATGTTAGTCAAGCAGGCATCAATTTGAACCCTTTGTTTTTTATGGAGTTGTATGACGTGGATTGGATTGGAGTGGAATGCAGTGGGTGCAGACCGTGGGATAATTTCAAAGAGACTGTCCAAGAAAGGAAACTGCTGTATTTCGCCCTCCGCTGACCCTTTCTTTTTATTTGTGTGTGTGACAAGGGGGAGATAAGCGGAAACTGAGGAACAAGGGAATATGGAACAACTGGCACTTACCAAGGATCTCTTGCGGTGCGTGGAAGTCATCAGCGGACATGCTGGCGACCCAAACCTGCTGGCTGTGGTCCTGCTGCTGGTTGCTATGTATGTAGAAAACCATTGAGAGGAAGAAAGAGATCGATTAGCATATCTTTCAGATGACGACAAAGATCTATTTCGAATGATTCACAAAAGAATCAAAGGTGTTGCTGCGATTGCTGCTGCGGAGCAAAAAAGGGCGTACTAAAGTGAAACGCAACTTTTCCCTCCAAAGAACCTCAATGAGATTATTTTTTTGATTTCCATTAGTCCAGGGCCAAATATTTTTTTCTTTGCCCTTGTTGGCACGCTTACCTGTACAAGTGCGAGGCATTCTGCTGTGAATAGTACGATGACGATCGGTCATTCTTGGGCGAGGCATTGCCGCTGAACGAAACGTGTCCACGCGTCACAGGGGACAAGGATGAGCCCGACGGCTGCTGCTGTTGTGAGGACAGCTCTGGATCCATGGATGATCCTATAGGGCAAGACGACGACCACGCAAGATGAAAGAAAGTTTTTTTTTTCCGATGAGGAAAGAAAAAGGGGTAGTTTGGTAGGTCAATACTCGCACAAACGCTAAATATATTTGAATCTTAATTCACAGCAGACCATGTCGTGTTGATGGCGAAAACACTATGCTGGGTCCATTTATAGCCGAGAGCCCTTAGGTTGGGGTGGGAGGATAAGGCGGGAGAGATTGAGAGTGAGGATAGTTGAAAACAACAACCAAAGGAAAATAGTTGGTTGGGGAGGAGAAGGAGTGGTAACTTGACCAACCAAACAAAAGGATGGCAGAATGGGTTTGTTGTTGTTGTTGCTGTTATTGTTGTTATATGGATCGGGGAACGAACATTTGACAGACTGTTTGGATAGATCAGACCCCTGTAAAAAAAAAAAACCTTACCATTGTTGGGTGTCCAGGTGGACATGGGCTGCGTCATATTGACAGAGTGCGAACCCACTGTCAATTGATCAGGCGAGGCAGGGACTTGAAATGCAGACGATAATGCCGGGGAGACCTGTCTGTCCTGGTTATTGTTCGCGCCGTAGGAATAGTCGTGGTTGCTTGGCAGTGTTGCAGCGTTGGAGGAGAGGGAGGGGGTCGATGTTGTTGAGACAGTTGACAGGGTCGAAGCAAGAGTGGGGGTTGGCGTTGAAGCATTCGATCGCTGCTGCTGTTGCTGATCAGAAGGCTGCTGTTGCTGGTGCTGCTCCTGTTGTTGCTGCTGCTGCTGCTGATGCTTGTGATGGTGTGAAGGATATTGCTGATGATAACTGTATGGCGCATGGTAGTTACTAGCATACTGGTTGTTCAGCTGGCGGTTCATGATGGGGTTCATCAGGTCCGAGTCGAGTGCCTGGTGAGGGGGTTGGTAGATATCGACCTGGTGTGAGAGTGACATGGTCTTCTGCAGATCGGCGTGGTATGTGTGATTTCCACCGCTGTTGTGACTATGCTGACTGTAGGTCTGCTGCTGGCCGTGATGAGGGGATTGCTGCTGGGACGATGAAGGATGGTGATAATGTTGTGAAGAATGGTGGTGGAATTGGCTGGAGAAGGTATTGTTGTTGCCAGGATGGTATGGGTGCAATGGGGCAGGGGTATTGCTGCCGCTACTACCACTGTTGTTGTTGTTGTTGTTGTTGCTGTTGCTGCTGCTGGCGCCGTGGTCATTGAAGCTCAGACTCGAGTTCATGGCGACAGACCCGAGGGAGTAATAGGCTGCAGGAATCTGTACCTGGACCTGCGTGTTCGTATTATTGGAATGCATTGTGGAAAGTCGCTGAAGTCGCCTGTTTCTGTTGTGGTAACGAATGATTGATGGATCGTTGTACGTGCGTATGTGCTGGACTGATATTTGATGTACAAGAAAAAGAAGAGCCAATTATCAGTTGTCAGTGGATTGTCAATGCTCCTGTTGTTGTTGTTGTTGTTGTTGTTGTTGTTGTTGTTGTTGTTGTGGAGAGAAGATGTTGGTTCAGAACAGATCGGGGTGAAGGGAGCGGTGGGACAAAAAACAGGGCAGTTGCAGAACTGAACGTCAAGAGAAGCGGGAATGGCAGGGGTGTGGTATGGGTTTGATGTGGTGGTTAACTATGTCAGGACCGATAGTAAAAAAGGAAGGGGAGAAGAGAGGGAAGTGAGAGAAAAAGAGGAAGAGAAAAAACCCTTTTTCTTTTGAGTAAGGCAGAAAAAGCGAATAGAGTTGAAGATTAAAAAGACCGTTGCAGGTGGAGGTGTTGACGAGCAATAAAAAAAGAATTTTCAAGGAAGCGAAAGACCATCAGCATTCCTTTCCTCTCCATATCGCTCATTCCCACTCGAGGGGAATGGGCGGGAATGGCGAATGGAAAAGGCATGGGGATAGAACCGTCCTGCCGCCCTGCCGCCCTCCCTGCCCACGGAGGCACTTGTTAAAGACACCGTTTTCTCTTCTCCACAAATGAGGAAACAGTTTTAGGCTTACCTTCTGATGTTTCTGAACCTGTTTGTTGTCAGTCGGACTACTGCCGCCGTGTGGCTGGGGTTTGGGTTCAAAAGGGGAGAGTGTTCACGAGGTGGAGATCAGTGGGTACTGTATTCGTTATGAATGAGAGACTCTTTAGCTTTCGTTGTTTGGTGCAGGTTCCATCCAGCGAACAACGAACAACAGAGGCAGAATGGCAATTGGGGAAACAAATGAAGCGTATTCGGAGGGCGATATTTTCCGTGGGGTTTAAATACTCGGATGACGCGAGGACGCAGACTTTTTTTAAAAAAGGAAGGTAGACGTTCGGGGATGGTCGTTAAAGAAGTGAAAAGAGGTTGTTCAAATAAGCTGGCTTTCTTGTAGGCGGGGTGTGCAGGGGACAAATGTACAGCGGGGTAGCGTGCGAAATATAAGGATGTAATAAGAAGTAACAGAGAGTAATAGAATAGAGTGAAGGCGAGTGTGTGAGGGTGAGATTCGATTTCCTTTTCCCTCTCTTCTTCTTCCATCCATCCGTCCCCGAAAAGGCGGCCCCTTTTTATACCCACCAGGCCAGGGCTGTTCAAGCAGAGGAACGAGAGTCTCTCTTTAGACCTTGCAGTCGCTATTATTCTTGGCTATTCTGTCAGAGGCATTATTGAAAGAGTATACGATGTCTGTGTTGGATAAACACGACCCACCTTCATTGCCCTCACTCAATAAGAATATTGTTAATTCTAAAAGACCACAGTGCATTGTATCAGATTTACTGAATACTCATTAGAATTAAATAAATGAATAATGAATGAATCAACGAATGAATGGATGAGCACCTGTAGAGCTTTACTAGAAAGTTGTACCTTGCTTGTTTATAGCTTGAGCCTGCCTGCCTGCCTGCTGTTCATTCTATTACTGCAGTTTATTGTTATTTACCGATATTATTATTACCGCTTGGTCGTATCGTCAACAAATCCAGCTCCCAAGAGAACTGACCTCTCCCACCCCTCCTTTTCCGCCTGCTATGAATGGTTTGTCCAGGTTTCTGTTCACTATCCAATGCATATGTATCCACTACTCTCTTGAACTCGACCTTGCCCCCTGTGCTTTCATCCCCCTTCTCCTCCGTGTCGGTCTCCCGTCCATGCCCTTCATATTTACGATGCTCCCCTTCCCTACTCCTATTGCATGGTCCTGCCCCTGCCCCTGCCCTGCCCTGTTTCAAGAACTTCCCTCTCGATTCTTCATTTCCTGACACCAGCAGCTAACCGATTTCTTACAAGAGAACGAAAAGAAGAAGGAACAAAGTAAAGCCAATCAGCAACAAGAGGAACGATGGCATTTTAAAGCCATGGATCAGAATATTGCGAACTCTTTTTAATTGGCCCTGCATTTACCTCTCTCTTCATACTCACAAGAAAGAATTCAAAGAAATTCCACGCGTGCATTTTTTTTTTTTTTTTTGCTGGATAGTCAGGCTAGAAGACGCGTCACCGCTGTAAATAGTGGACATGGGTTATAGAAGGAAAGACGCTCTGAACGACACCGTTTTTGACGGAAGAATTTGCCGCTCGAGATTCGATGACAACATCTAGAAACATACCTCCAAAGGTGCCGTGCGTCGTGAAAAGACGCCGTCGCCCATGCTAGACTCTGACCTAGGACCGATCGTCCCCATTCGAAGTGAATACCCTTTTTTTTTTTTTTTTCTCTCTTCCTCCGTTCTCATGCTTGATAACGATGTTTTTCTAAAACTGGAAAAAAAAAATGTCTTGAAGTACGTTCCGTTCTCGAGACAAGGGTGCTTTTCTTTACAAAGATCGTCAAGATCACCCATGCCTTCATTTTTTTTTCTTGTATCTGGTACCCTTTCCTTGCCAAGAGAGCGTGATCAATGAATGTCTTTCTTTTTTCAGTATTGTTGGTATTTCTATAAAAAAATAGAATAAATAAAAAAAACATGGCAATCGCACCATCGTCTTCTTCTGCCAGCTCCTCCAAAGACGTACGCTTTTTGTCTCCAGAAGGATCACCACGTCTCTTTTATTGTCAGCAGTCTTTGGTGCCTACTTTCTTATCCATAAACCGCACTACAATTCGTCAACAACCGCCGTTTTTTTCCTTCGTATCAGTAAAACAAAAACAAAGAGTAATAAATAATAGACCTACACACATCTAGTCTACTGCATAACCATGTCCGACTCCCTCCACAGCTGACCGGAATCTGAAAATGCCATGGTTATGCACTTAAGCGGCGCATAGATGCATAGATGTCACATAGTCTAACTCTCTCAGATCAAGTACTCATAGTCTGCACAAGGTTGATGTCGGTACCAACCAGCCGCAGACATAAGTGTAAGTACCTAGAGCAGAAAAAAAGTTCTTTAAGCCGTAAATTACTACAAATCATGGGTACACCCCTGCTTCCAGTGCCCCTCCTTCTCCTCTCCTGTCATGTACCCATGGGTACTTTGTGCTTGCGGCTGCTGCAGGACTTTTCACTGTATTCTCCGTATGTTTTCGTTTATTTTAGCGTTCCAAAGTGATGGAGCTGGGTAGGAGAGGCAGATGAGGAAGGAGCCACGTACTATTAGGAAAACGGGAGCGAAGTGAACTGAGCAAGGAGCGTGAGTAATCTAGCAACCATCCAGCTGACTATCCCCCCCCTGGCTCTGGCCTTGGTCTTGGCCCTGGTTCTGATTTTGGTCTTGGCCCTTGGTCTAGCCTTGGCCCTGACCCTAGCCCTGCAGAATACTCATCTTTCGTTGGTCTGTTCCTTATTCTTTTCCTACTTTATTACCTGACGACGATAAGTTTGCAGCCTCCAGTCTCCGGCTCATTCTCCATTGACCATTCACTGTAAGCACTTATGATTCGTCAAAATCAATTGTATTTGTGTGTGGCAGTCAGTATAGTCCTGCTCCTACTATAGCCCTAGATTACCTGCCATGACCCGCAGACCAAAAAGATGAAGACGCATAATGAATGTGAAAGTACACACACACATGTGCACACACATAGCGATTCGATGTTATTTTGTACTACGCATAAGCTGAGCGACAAGTAAGTGGTTGTTCTGTTCTGATTTTTTTAAGCATAACGTAGTGGCAACGCAACGGCAAAGCGGCCGAATTTTTCAAATACGACATTCATCTTTTGTTTTTCTCAAAACTACCAAGGAGGAAGGAATTATGGAGCAATATTTAAATAACCTAGACCCAGTTTTTTTTTATTATTACCATTATTATGGTGGGGCCTCACGACCACCAGCATCATCATCATCATAATCACTACCAGCAACAGCAGCAGCGGCATCTTCCGCGTAGGATCTCCTATGCAGACTATTATTACCCTCATGTAATTCGTACCTCGCCTTGTACAGTACCCTACTCCACCGTACCATCGCAAGGTCCCCGAGGAACTTGAAATGGCGTGATCCTGAGTCCCGATCCTTTAGACAGTTTCCTATTTCTCATAAACAATTCGTACAGCATAGTGTGGATCATGCAAGAATAAGAGAAGAGGGAAGGCAGGACGCATGAACCCTTGAGCTCGTTAATGCATCTCTTTGTGAGATTTGCTTCATCCATCTTTCCATGCTCATTCTTTTTATGCGGTTTTAGAGCAGGCGAATGGACGGAAGGAAGAAGGAGAATGAAAAGCAAAATAAAAACCTGGGAACCGTTGTTTTTTCATGTTACGCCCAGATGAAGAACGAAATTAAACATGGCGCATGCGCAACGCAGGAGAACGAGGGAGAATTAACGCGTTTGCATAGGGGGAGGGAGGGGGGAAGATAAATGCAGGACAACGCGAGCATAATACGGAGATGATCTGTGCGCACCGGAAACTGAAGTTCTTCTTATTCTTGAGCGTACAAAAAGAAACATGGCATATAACACACGGGCACAAATCGTTACAACAACGCCGCATTTGTGCAAAACCTACCAACGGTTCGTGCACGCCCTTGAACACAATTCTGCAGGACCAGAAAAAAAACTGTGTCGTTCACAACCACCAGCATGATGTATCTCTCCTCCGTGTGCGTATTCACGTTTATGAACCATCGACAATACCGTCCCTGCACCGCATTCCAGGACAGAACGACAGAAAAAAAATGTCCGCAAATTAATTGCAATAATACAAGTCTCGAACCCTTCCCCCACCCACGTCCTTCTTCAACCCGCTCATGCCCGGCCTAAAATATGGTCTTACTACTATCCTTGCACTGGACAGTTGCAGATGTATATAATTTACGAACATACGGCCAGGAGGTCTTTGCTAGTATTCTAAGAATAACAAAACATCCAGGGTCAGCTTGATCGGCCCTATACTCGGGTTTTTTTACAGGGTAAGATTGTTTGGACTACACGTCGAATGTACGAAGGGTCTGTACACAGTATCAGGTCCTTGCGGGAAATTGCCCTGAGATACGATCTAGGTTGATAAAAAGAAGCGATGAATCGAACAAGTATTAGAGATGCTGATACAGGTACAGATAGAGTACGTGTACAGGAAAGGAGCATAGGGCATCTACAAAAAAAAAGGTGAGCCAAATAATTTCAAAAGTATGTCCTCACCATCATTCACCATCATTACAAATCTAGCTCTAAAAAAAGAGCCAAGGACGCGTCTTCGAGGTATTTTCTATCGGTACTAAGGCCATGTGGCGGTAATGGTCGTTTGAAAAAAAAAGTTCCCTCTGACCTCATAACGAGCAGGACGTAATTGCATCCAGAAAATGCACACAATGCATTGTCTGGCGCCTAACGCTTCTCTTTGTCAAGAAGAATCGGGGGGTCAATGGACCATAATTGGAATTAACCTAGAGTAATAACAACAACAATAGCGACAATAACAAACGTGTGTTGATCTTTCGCCAGGTCATGATAGAGGGAGTCACTTCTTTTTTTCATTCGCAATTAACTGCCTCATCCCACTTTCCTACAATGCCCCACTCTCAACTTAGTTTATCTGCTATCTAAACACGCAACATAGGGATACAAGACGAGAGTAAATTAATTTCTTTTTGCTGCAATGTCGCACGCTTACAAATTTAGAGAGTTCAAGAGTACAAACTCGACTACATCATATCGCTGGTCCAAATTTCTTGTGTTCATGTGTAATTTGACCAGAACGCGTTTGTGTTTTGCCATAAATAAACACATAAAAAATGGCATCAATTAGGTTTTTTCTCGGGTGTAGCCCTTTTTTCGGTAATTAGAAAACGAAGCGGAGGTTTCGTGTTTCCTGCTGTAGATACATGTTCGAGTATACTCGATATTTCTGTTTTCGAAACAGTTCTTTTCTGGTATGCATTTGTCACCATGTACCTATATGCTCAAGCTGTATTAGATGGATGAGAAGTAGCTCTCAAAGAACCACAGCCGACCTCTATTATTTTGCCATGAGAGAAAGAGGTGGGACCATGCAGCAGGCAACATTAATGTAAATCTGCATTAAAGTTCCTCTACAATTTTTTTGAGAGCCATTCGGGAGAAGGAGGGGGTTTTAAACGTTTCAGATTTTATATTTGTATATTTGTGGAGCCGGCCAGGTTTGTGCGGCCATGTATCTCATTGCACATGTGTTGTTTGTATGTCTATCAGTTTGTGCCCTTGCGCAACATACATAAGTCATCAGACATAAATAAGATGTGTGCATGCATGTATGGGGCTACATGGCTACATGGGTACTGGCGAGGGCGCGTCTGAGTCTTTGTGTAAACAGACGACACACGATGTTGTTTTATGTAATGTAATAATAACGGAAGCACGTCATTGTTGTCTCTGTGTTTTTTTTTACAGTTCGGGTTCAATCAATTTATCATTAACACAAAAAAATAAAAAACAAAGTACGAGCGCCATGGAGATCCAGCCATATGGAATACTTGATATATCATTTTGAGAAGTCATTTGGGTTCAGCCTTTTTTTTTTCTCTTCGCTCACTCCAAGATACGCCCTATGTTGTTCAAAATTCTAAGAACAAAATAAACGGAGCCACAGAGCAATTTTTTTTCTCCAACGCGTTTGAACGAACGCGGAGTAAGAGGACGTTGTTGTTTGTGCAACGCGCGTTATTTTGTTCGGCAATTTCTGAATGACAGCTCAAGGTTAATGAGGGTGGACAAAACCAGCGCAAGAGAGTTAATGAACAATTTCCTCCTGCAGCAGCAGTAGCATCAGCAACAAGGACCGCGCGAAAGAGGTCTATAGAACACAATAAACACAAAGAGATAGGGGAGAGCAGCATTGACGCGTAAAAAAAAGGACATTGAATTGCGGACACCTATCTTACATATCTTATGAGATTTTCCGTCCTATGTAACCTTCTTATCCCCAATGGGCATGAACCTCCTGCTGCTGCTGCTCTTGTCTCCTGCAGAGCGTCACCGTATATACGTATCATTGGTTGACGTCCAAAACGCGCTTCAACCTTATGTCAGAATTGAACCGAAAGCATAAATGTTGGCTTGCCTACTACATGTAGTCATATCCCCCAATGCATTTCGAAATTGCAAACTTTGATAAGAATATTCTCAAAGAGAACGACCAAAAAAAAGAGGTAACAAAGAAGTGTATATGATGCTCCTTCGTCATTTGGTTAATGTCAATGTTCAGAGATAGCTCTCAAACGAATATTGTTGTCTTTTCTTCGAGGGAAGTATGAAACAAAAAAGACTTGAAAGGAACGGTGATGCATGGTTCGCAAAAAGGAGACAGTGTGAGAATGATCCCAATCGCGCGCTGTATACTCAAGTTCTTGCGCCAAATATCTCGACATCAATCCTACCAGTTCTTCTATTTGATCCTCAAACGAATGAAATGAATGTTGGGTCTCTCCGTTAAACTCAAGTACACCAAAGGAATCCAATTTGACATGGACTGTTCGGATAATGCGTTTTCTATTGGTTCCTCTAATGCCTACCATTCTGGGACTTGTTTCTACCATTTTATGATTCGTTTGTTACATGTCAGTCCTGCCACTCTCTATCAATCTCGGGAACGAATTCCATTCGCTCGATTGAACCCACTTACTTTATCCATCCACCCCGAAATCGCACACTTTCCTACTCTTTTCTTTCTGCGCTGCGGGGGGTGGTGCTATGCATCGCGCGAGTTGGATAATCTGAAACGCGAAAAATAAAAATAAAATAGGAAAAACGACGCGAGGGCAGGAACACAGAGATGCACGGACAATTTTTACGCGTCGCGCGCATTTTTCGCCTGCGAAAAAAAAGAGAAAAAAAAGTACAAAAAACGCGCCAGCACAATATTGTTTATTCTTTCCATTTCCGTTTTTCATTTTCATCTGTTTTGTGACCATGGTAAACTTTAGCAACGGCAACGTCGAATTTTGCAAAAACGAAAATAGGACAGGTGCTAAACAACCACCAAGAGTTTCAAGACGAACGCGTGTACAAAAGTATATATTTGCGTGTGTAACGTCTTTCGATTGGGGTACTCAAACGTGACAGTTCTGCCGTTTGTACGCAAGAGACGCGTGACAAACATTTACTATGCATATCATGACCAAGGACACTATTACTAGCAATAATACTAACAACAACAATAACAACGGCAACAGCTACAACAACAAAGTGATGTTGAAATTATTTTCCACTCTTTTGGTCTGTCATCGTTAATAGTATAATAGTGCAGAAGTGAGAAGGGGTCGTGTTTGTTTGCAAGCGGTGAAACAATAGCAAAGAAGAGCAACGGGAAGCAAATACATGTATCTGACGCACGCAAAGCGTGCAAGGTTATTCCTTTGGAAAGGGAAAAAAAAAGAAATATATAGACAGACAAAATGCATGCAGTACTCGCTCCTTGCAAAATCCCATGGCCTCTCTCCCGGGGCAGTTCGACGTTTAGAGGTCAGGGGCACAGAATTATACTATCATACACTTTCCCAAACTCGAAGGCGACAGCGGGTGTAGCAACATGCAAGGCAAAAAAAAGGTATCGAAAAACAAACAATAGACAGGACCCCGCTGCATGGACGCACGCATGACTGAAGAGAGTGCGCCTTGATCACTAGAGAAAATCCCAATCTCGGTAGAGACTTCTATAACGGTCCATTAACTTGTTTGAGTCTATTCGGTACGTAGTATTGATGGCTTTGATCATGGTTTGATTTTAGTCCGACGTTGGAAATGACATTTCTTATCGCAATTCTTTGCCAATACCCTTCAAACATTTTACCCGCAGCATGAATCGAGGAGAGAATTGAGAAAGACAGAGGGTTGTAACAAAGTTCAAAATAGAGAGTTGTGCAAATAAAGTGGTGCTGGGAAAAGAAGCAAGCTAGAGACTTGGAGCTTGTAACTATAGTCGACAGTATCGCTTTGTCGTCGTTATTGTATGGATGAGTACCCATCGTGGACTACATATAGAAGAAGCTTTACGTGGATACGTGTACTATATAGGGAAATGACATTCCATGAGGGTGCTGCTGTATGAGACGCGCCCACGTCTGGCATTCTGGTTTTCCAAGAATAATAAAGAAATATAGGTGAGTTCAGGCATGGTAACTATCATCAGTTGTGTATTCCTCGTTCCTAGAAGATATCTCTTCGGAAGCAAGCTATTGTTCCTTCCACATTAGGAGACTTCTAACCAAATGCTCCCTTTCAATGTAAGTTCCGGGCTGTATTAAAATGATCGCACTGAAGGGCTGAGTGAGATATAAGGACCCATACACGTTTTAAATAGGCTAAATGGATTACAATAGAAAGAATGCATGCAGAAATAGACCTTTTGATGAATAGATTTTTTTTTTAGCGACGGTAAAAACCTGAAGGTCTAGAAGGTATCTATGTACATATGCCCCAATACATAATGAACAATATTATTCAATTCCGCTTTTACTTTCCTCGAGTGACCCGGACATTAGTGGGCATAGACGCAATACACTAGTTGCTCGCGATTTGAACCACAGGGTTTGGTAACAATAGCCATGGTGAGGGTAATTTCCGATACCTCACCCAGGACAAATGCCCCAAAGCGCCTTGCGGAACAAAAGGGTAATGTAGAAATGACGGGGTTCGCGGAGAGATGGCGAAGGGACATTTAACAATTCACTCCAGTGCGAATGATCTTCATCTCGTATCCCTTGCCCTCTTGTTCAACAGTTCACAAGACCAATCACATCTGGTACTTCGTTCCCAGAACGGTCTGGCCACATAGACGATAATTGGACTCCATTTCCTAAAAGATCACTTGTCTTTTTTTTAACAACGTCTTATAGAGTTGCGACGCGCAAAGTTCCAAATGTATATCTGTAAATACACCTGAACATCTCGAGTTATCCCCACATAGCTGAAGCTTTGTATACCATGAACATACGGTATATCATTACATGCTTGCTGACATATCCTGCGCTCGAAGCACAATCGTATCTTTGAAGATGCAGTACGCGGTGTCAGCAATCTAATAATCCCTTGCTCACAATAGGACACGCGTCGAATACATACATTCATTAGGAGAAAGTGATATAGACCATAGATTCTCTTTCTTAGTGCTAAACTTTTTAGGAGGTGAGAACAGACGAGTCAACAACGTCACCTCCAGCTCTGTGCACCAGACGCATCAAAAGGAGGAACCTGCGCCGATCCCTTTTTTTCTTTGTGCTACTAATCTACCGAGCTAAAACGAAGAGCATGATCGATCGATCGATCAATTACCATACTCTGGTGGCGGAAGAATCCTGAACTCCGATGCTGTCCTGTCTTCAACTCTTTCCTCTTGGTACTGCCAATTATTATTGAGCATCCTCCCGTCGATTTCTCATTTCAGGTCATAGTTGTCTTTATTACTTTTACTTCCAATAATCACCGGCGAGCTGCTCCTTCAGCCACGGATTGGCCTGAATACGATCTTGGTACTGACTCCAGACCTCTTCGACCTTTTGGAGCATCACCGCACGGTCTTTTCGCGCTACAGGGTCCTGATCTTGGTAGTCCTTTGTAATGGCCTGGATCATTTCTTCGATCAGAGCCGTACCAGCCTAAACGTTGATCATTGAGAAATGAACAAATGTAATATATTAGTTCCCAAATTACTGCAAGTCACCATCATCATCACCGCACCATAACCTAGATTAAGGTCGGGCGCCTTTTAACCTGCTCAAACATTGGTCACAGTGTTTAAAACAATCAAGGGGGAGAGGACTGAGCGTAGGACCGTAGGAACAAGGGCCAAATCGGCAGAAGCTGCAGCAATCGCAGTCGAGGCCGAGGTGAAGACTCAAAAACTCAAAGCAGTTGGTATTAGCACTCCATGCACTTTGCTCTCTTCATCATTATGATCTCCGTTCCCTTCTCTTTCTTCGCGCGTTGGTATTTTTAGCGGCAGCCATATGACCAAAAGAAATGTTCATAGAACAGACCATGGAGAAGAAGCTCCCCTATAAAGATGGTCCTTGTCAACAGAGTGAGCAAAAATGGGAACTGAGCGAAATGCAAAATTGAGAGTGAATTGGCCCAGGTTGTAAATAAAAATATGGAGTCTCATTCACCCAAAGCCCAGAAGGTCGAAATGAAATAAGACTCAAGGTTAGGTTTGTGGGTTGCGCTGCCTTGTAGAGTGAGCGCGCGTATGTGCACGATAGCAACGCAACTCCAAGTCTGCGACCTTCTCAAGGGCCTCGTCTTTTGCCGCTGTTAGTGCTCATATTTTTTCTATTTTTTTTTTTTTTGTGGCCTGACCTGACGAGCCTTTGCAAACTTCACCAGATCGTCCCAAAAACCCCCTTTTGGTTGCCTTCACACGCCCATAGCAGACGTAGCCTAGGTCCATACCTTCAATAAGGTTACATAATCACTGCGAGAAAACAGCCCAGCGAACAGAGAATTAAAATAAAGCACAACGCTTGATCAGGCACATACAACGCAGCGCGACATCTGCTGCGGGCATATCTGGCGAACAGATCTAGCACGGACTGAGGAACCCAGCGTGCCCTCTGTGTTGTGTCCTGGAGACATGGAGACATGGAGACAGGTCTCTGGAAGGAGGCGGTATTGTGGGGAAAACACAGTTTCCGTAACCAGTGTGTTTCATTCTCGCAGCATCTCTTCTTTTAGTCTTGTCAACATCTCTCCCATTCAGCTACTATACACATCCCATTGTGTTACATTCGATTAGCGCAAAGGGAAAACAAGAAAAAAGCAATTGGGATAAAAGGACAGAGCAGTGGAATGAGCAGAGGCGTCATCCCCAAATATAGACTACCCTCCCTTAGTCTGAGTTGTAAGAAAGCCAGACAGACGCCAGACAGAGAAAGAAGAGATGCACTGACTGCAAAAAGACCAAGTCCAAGAAACAACGATGAAAGACACGCGAGGTGTGTGTAGACAGCCATTAAAAGAGCACAAGAGGGGATACAAAGGAGGACTTTTGGCGCTAGGCCAAAAATGTCTGCTGCCCACGGCGAACAATTGACCAGGGACTGGCTGTTAGAATCTCCGCTCTAGCAAAATAAGCGAGCTGACCGTGTCGTCGCCCACTGGCCGTTATGCTTTTTGCAAACATTCCCTGCCATCCAAAGCAGAATCGCCCTCCCATTGGCTGGCCATAGACAAATCATATCGGCCGCTGAGCGCCCATTGAACGGTATTTGCGGAGGCCCAGGGATGTTGACATACAAAAAGCGAATACCGTGTGCAGTCGTGAAAGGGAGCATATAGTCGCCAGAGCTGAACTGCCTTCCAGCTTGAGCTCTCTTATCTTTCTCTGCTTGCTCTTCTGCCCTTGCATAAAACCTTAACTCGGTTATATTCCAAGACGGAAAAGTAGATCCAGGAAAAACAACAACAAAGAAGCGTTGTCTGTGATGCACAGTATTGCCACCCTCCTACGTTGACCGATTTTCTTTGACCATCTCGAAAAACAAATGCGTCCTCTCCTTTGATTCCAATGCGTACTCAAACACTTATGTCATTGGCCAGTGGTGTTGTTGTATTAGGAGTACCTGTTGTCGGATGGTAGAGCTCTTTTTGTGTGTGTATGTGCGTGTGTCTTACCTCAATATCCTCTGACTTGGCTCTCTTGTGCAAAGAAGCCGTTTCTCCGCTTTTCGCTGCCCCTGATGCAGAATGATGCGCAGTTGAAAAGTCTTCGAGTTCAATGGCCTTGCGTTTCGCAAGCTGCACTACGGAGTCCGGAAACTGAGCTAGCTCCGCGACATGAATTCCAAAGCTCTGGTCGCAGACGCCTTCGACCACCTTGTATAACAGTGTGATATCACGACTCTTACTGTTGCGGCTGCTGTTACTAGTCATCGCGCCATCTACTTCCTCATCCTCACCACCGCCAACGTGTGCAGTGACATGCAGGTTGCCAACGTAGGGTGCAGTCTCTCCGAGCGAGGTCAGCTCATGGAAGTGGGTTGCGAATAGACAGAAGCATTTGATCTCGGTGGCAATGTGTCTAGCCGTCATCGGCAACAACAAGAAGAAAATCAATTGAGTTTTTGAGATCTTTTCAATCTTATTTCCCTCAGTCGTCATCTTCAATTGGCGACCTGCAGATATGTTCATGAGTATACATGAACCACAAAAAGATTAGGCATTGAGCATAAAAAGACTTACTCTGAGATAGCCCAGGCCAAACCAAAGCCGTCGTAGGTGCTAGTACCTCGTCCGAGTTCGTCGATGACAATGAGTGAATTCACAGTAGCAGACTAAAATGCAATTCAGAATATTCAAAGAAAATATAGTCAGAAAAGCCCGACATTCCTTCACAAAAGGTTGTTGTGAGCCCTGTGTGCCATGTGGGAAACTGAAGTGCGGTGAAGGGGTTCGAAAATAGAATCATAAACCTGCATGCACGGCTGTTGAGATTCAATAAGATTCAATAAATGTCATGCAAGCTGAGGAAGGGGAGATATGTCTATCATATGTATGAAACCCCCGGCTCTTACATTCCTGAAGCGCAAAAAGAGAGAGCACGAGCAGGTACTGTACAGGGGCCACAAAGAGCGCCTACGAAGCACATGCAAAGAAAACATATGACAGGCGTAGCGGTTACCTTGAGAATGCTAGCTGTCTCCAACATCTCAGCCATAAAGGTCGAGACGCCTTTCATCTGACTGTCGCCTGCTCCAACTCGCGCTAGGATGCAATCAAAAACACACAACGTTGCCTCTGCGCACGGTACGAAGCAGCCAGTTTGGGCCATGAGAGAGATGACGCCGATCTATAAAAAAAAAAAAAGAACAGCGGTTTTTTAGGCAGCCTATTGAGCAGTGCACATGCCATCGGGCACGAACCAATTGAGCAATGCACCCCGGAAGATTGCCACAAATGCACATAAACACGCATACACAATGAAGCAACATGTGCATGGTACCATACGTACCTGGCGAATGTAGGTAGATTTGCCTCCCATATTGGGTCCCGTAATAATCAAGAATTCGCCCTTGTCTATAAGGTTAGAATAGGTGCATATATTCATATGAAGCATTCATTAGTTCGGATATGCATGGAGAAGCATGCTTGAACCATAATGGATCATAATCCAGCCAGGGATCGAACAGTCATTGCCAAAAAGATGGTATTCAGCATGATGCCATGGTACATACTTCGCACAAGGTTGACATCATTGGGGATGAATGCCACATCATCCTGGACCTCCAGACAAGGATGCCTCGATTCTTTCAGGATTACATCCCCAGTACCCATGGCGGTCATACAGGGCTTGACATATGGCATTGGGGCATGGACTGAGACATGTGCAAAGCTATTCAGAGGAGAGGAATGACGGAAAAGCCAAATCAGTCTATGTATTTTCACGCTCCTGCTCACAGACCAACAGAAACTCGCGGCTGCTGGGCCACAAATGGTCCTTCATTCTACAGAGAACAGAAGACATTGGCTCTTCAATTTTTCCCTCGCGCCTTTGATGTTGTTACACGAAATATTCTAACGAGATATTCGGGACGCATGAATGCGCAAGAAATGCTCAACGGATAAAACAAAGTGCATGTACCTTACGAGCACGTCCAATTGTGCGACCAGCGTATTCAGTTTCTCGAGCACAGGGCAATACGTGGAGACGATTCCAATCACCTCCTTGGCCAAAGAGCTCTGTGTCCGTTCGTATTCCTGAGAGGCCTCGCTGAACGATTGAGATGCAGCCCGCATTTTTGTTGTCGTAAATAAAACACCGTTCTTCTGTGTAGTGAGCTCAATACAGCTACTCTTGTTTCGCAGGCATGAGGAGTCCTATAACAGCACATGTTAATGCACACGGGCGGATTAGATGAGCGACTTTGAGGGTTTGCGTGTAGAAATGCATAGTAAGTCTGTGGCCTGACATCAAAGGCGCGTACGTTGCGAGAGAGGCGGAAGCTCCATCCATAGACCTGATGGTCTTCCATTTTCAGCTTCTTGTCGATTTCCATGTTCAACTCGTCTGCAACACGCTCATGCTCCTTTTCCATGGCCTGCTTGACTGTCTCCATCTTGGTCCGGAGAACTAGCGGCATAGATGAAGCGCGGATTAATTAGTATACCATTGTTGCGCTGGATAATTAAATCCACTGCATAGTATCAATCGCGAAAACCTACCTTTCAAACTCTGGTCAAATTCGGCCTTGATCAGATATTCATGCCTGTCGACGGCCTCCAGATCGATGGTTGTCTCTACCAGTTCCTGCAGCTTTTGCAAATTGTTGGTGTACTCTTCAAAGTGTGTCGTAAACTCGGAATCGAGTATCTCCTTGTGTTCCGGTGATCCAGTCTCACACGACGCTAGTGTGCTCACGAGTCCTGGGAGCCGAATGACGACCTGGTACGCCCTGAATACATCCTGCAATGAGGCAACCCCACGCTGAAATCTCTTTGCTAGGCGGTGCAAGTCTGGGATCATCTTTAAATGCGTCTCTTGAAGGTTCTGTCTCAATTCTGAGTCTAGAGTAAATGCTTCCACCGTTGTTTGCCGTTTCTCTGTAAATAAAGGTTCATAAATGTGGTCGTCAGCGCACAGCGTGGCAAGTGAAATAGATTTCCAAGAGTCCTGTCATATCACAATTGCACTTACCGATCGCTGCTACATCCATGAGCGGTTGCTTGAGCCACTGTCCAAGCATGCGACCACCCTGAGTAGTTTTGCACTTGTTGAGCAGTCCGTAGAGACTTACTGATTTGTTGGCGCCGTCTTGAGGTCCAGGCATCAGATTGAGCGCCCGCACTGCAGAAGCATCCAGTTTCATATACTGCGAGAGATCGTGGTTCCGAAGAGCATACTGTCCAAAGTTACTCTCGTCGGTCAGGAGGGCTAAATATTTGATTACACATGCTGAAGCTGCCATGGCGTTCTTAAGCTCAAACTCTGGCAAGGCTGCAATCGAGATGTCCTCTTCCAGTAGTCGATTGAAATCCTGTTCCACGTCTTTGATGGCGAAATCTGATTTTTTTCTCTCCGTAATGACAATATCACAGTGCTGAAGAATCGTCCGCAGCTTAGAAAGCTCATAGTCTTTCTGTCCCTCATCCGCCTGAATCAGGCATTCCTTGACACCGAGCTGAATGACAAGCGACTCAAAGTTAGAGTAGAGATCATTGTCGATGAACTCTGAGATGCCGAGCTCTCTCACGGTGGCATCTGCAAAGCACACGCCCACAGTCCTGTGGTCGCCTCCGGCCTTGATTTTGACAGCCATAACGATAGGAGAAGCTGCCATATCTGTGTGTGCGAATAAGAGATCCTCCATGTCTTGTAAATTTCCAGGTGATGCCCGTTTGATGATGGACCACACATTCTGCTTACGAGGCTCCGCAGCCCAGATCTCGACCCTCATCTGTCGGTTCAAAAGAGCGTCCCGAAGAAAGGTCTCGCATGTTGTTTTGGACAGCGTGCAGCTAGGAACACCAGTCTTGACGTCGCCTATGATGGTTTAAGAGAAAAATCGATGTTATCAATCCTTGCCCTTGAGAGTAAGAGTCTGCTGGTATCGCGTAATGATCAGACCTTCCTGAGCCATTACCCCCGAGATACTTGATGACTGAGGTCGTTTTGTAAACATTCTGGGCAATAAAGAACGCATCTTCGCCATGCACGCTGTAAAAATCCTATAAAGTCCATATCTCAGGCGTTAGTGCACCATGCTGCTGAGTGTCATTGCCAGTGTCATGAATTAGACAGCGACCATCCTGACATACCCCTGAGCTCCTCTCAAAAAGGCGGATACAGTTTTCCTGTCGGTCAGGTAGACTCCTCAAAAAGGAGCAGTACTTTTGTTCGCCCTGGTTGTCTATGAAGTGCTCAGAAGGTCAAGGGCGAATCAACTCCACTGCATACGTTGTAATTTTGGTGGCGATTAAGGAGAAACGAACTGGCAGTGCGAAAGACCGAAGCAAGTCGTAGCCTTACCGAGGTCGAACTCGGGTCTATCCTTGAGTGATACTTCTGACATGTTGATGTTGCCCCGCTGTTCGTTTGATGTGAATCTCGAGAAGGGATGAAAGGCACAGGCAGGCAGACTGGCAATGGCGCTGTTTGTTTTGTATAGGGTTTATTTGTTGTAGTCAAAGAAAGACTGCGATTCACGCGTGCCACCACATCGTGAACCAGGCACGACCTTCCATTCAAGAATGCATTCACAAACTACCCTGGATGCAGCCATGGCAAAGGAAAAAGATGCCAATATCGATACCCTCGAGGTGCTACTGAATCCGGGCCTCATCAGTACCAAAGTAATGTCTGCTTACTACCTTGACACTCTTAGTCGCTTTGGTGTCTTTATCCGAGGATCGAAGGCTATATACTCATATGAGTCCCATACATCTCACCGCCTTTCTCTAGCTATCAGCTCTCCCAGAGGGTCAGGCACATGCGCATGGACGGCGGCTACTGCAGGATCTGCTCTCAGTTGGCCGATTTGGGATTCCAGCCTTGATTCCAGCAGAACCGGCCTCGAACAATGGCTACAAAGCAGACGATCGTAACCTTGGACATGATGATTCAGGAGTACAAATGATGCAACTTTCAGAGCGCCAAGGTATCGTGTGAGAAGCGGTGTTCATAGATAGCCATATATCAAGAAGGATATAGACCAACATGACGGGCATCTCATTCTCGCGGATTCTAGATATGCTACTTGGACAAGCCTGCAAAGTATACCACTTTGCCTCATTATCGTTGGACGACATATTCGACCAAGTTCCAGTATCAAACCAACTCTGTCTGATTACCGCAATGATAATTCTATCTCAGCAAGTCGTCTCGCCTGTGTCGTAATGTTCGTGCGTTCTTCAGCGCGCGCTGATTCCAAGGCGTCAACTCACCCTTGATAACTTCTATTTATTTACTCCGATTGTTATAGGAAGACAAACTCAGAGGCGGGGTCTATGGTTCAGCGGGAGGAGCCTTGGGACCCATTAACGCTTTTTCAGAGATGGATCCTTCGCTCCCGAATCTCTGGGACTGAGAGCTCCGGACTGGATTTCGGTGACCTCAACATGCATGCTGAAGTTCTCGCGGAGAAATTGATGGCACTCAACAAGGTAGGAGGATCCTTGCATATCATTCATCCGGAACAACCTGAGCCCTTTTTTTTTTTTTTTTTTTGAGCTTGTCCTTACGGAAGTGACGCATCCTTTCTTGATATTAGCTGCCATCGTCCGAGCGAGTACAGTGTGCACAATGCCAAATTTCATCGGAGCTCGGACAGTATTATTGCTGGATTGAGCAGTATGAGCAGGGATTGAAGTACTTAACACAATGCCACTTGGTCCACAGCGAGCACTCTGCATCATCTCCGGGTCGATCGACATGTCGCTTAGACGTGAAGCGCACTGTTGCACTATCAAAACTTGCAAAGCTGGCGACTGGTGCATCATTAGCGGATCCAAAGGAGAATTTGCTAAACCATGTGAGGCGTCTGGAAACAGAGCAGAGATACCTGGATCTTGTAGACGAATTCAAGAAGGACAACAGCAGTCGTCTCTTACCATATGTCTGGCGCCAACGCTTGTTGTCGAATGTCCTGAACAAATCAGACATGCGGAGCGCCGCCATTCTTGCTATTGCCAATGCTTTATATCACCTTCGGGAACCTAGTATGGTCTTGGCCGTCGTTTATTGATATATGGATCAGTTAAGAGCGAGACATTATGTAAATACTAAAGCCGATACTCTGTGCTTATACTTATTAGGTCAGATGATGCTAGAGATCCCATGTTCTGTGTTCATCTACCTGAGAGCCTTACCATTCGAAAGTGGAGACGAAGCGGATGCGTATTTGTCACCATCAATCTTTGAAGACCTGATGCAGATCATCGTCGACATAAAAGAGACATATATCACACCATGCATTCAAGATGTCAGTAGAGGCAAGAACTCTGAGGATATGGTCAAGGCGTTCGTCATCGAGTTTTGCGCCAATGTGCGGCATGTCTTGTGCTATGATGCAGCATGGAAATCAGGTAATGGAATTGTCAGCGAATTGAGTCTGGACGGCTTTATTCGCCACTGCTGAGAATCGAGATGCTAACCGCTAATCTTCGTGATGTACCACAATATAGGGCTTATCGACCCATCCGCCGACGACTGGAGACTTGTCTGGGATACATATAGTTTTATCCTCGTAAGAGTTCATGTTGGTTCTGTTGGATATCAGACCCTGACTTTAAGACAAGTCGCTCACATATATCTCTGCTTGCAAATTCCCAGTCCCGCAATATGTCTGTGACAGAGGATTCGATAAACCCGCCAACACCGCTATCAGATACGACCGAGGCAGTTTACAAATCCAAGCTAGCTGAAGTCATGGACCCTCAGGACTTGGAAGACTATTTCCACGCTGCAAGTCAAATATCTGTGCATCCTAATGAAAGCAATGGTTTTATCCGGCAGCTTCCTCAGTACCCACTAACGAATAATCTCTTCCCCTTCTTTCTATAGGCCCCTTTGCCACCATTAAAATGTAGTCTCATCGCGCTGGCCATAGGAGCGCAGGCCTGCACTCATTCCAAATATCTAGATGGCGTTCGTTTCTTCCAAATAACCGCTCATTTTATGACGCAAGAACAGGACGCTTCTTCGCCTGCATTCGCAAAGATTGGACAGCAGCTTCAGAAATATTCTGCTTGGGCGCAACTCGGCATTCTCGCAGACGAGCTTGAGAAGCGCAGGGAGGCACGGATATCAAACAGGATAGAACAAAAAGTAGGCGCAAAGGCGGATGCGATCAGACGCGTAGTGTCAACGAAGGCTGTGCAGGGCGCAGCAACCAGTGCAGCAACGGAAATGGCAGAGTCGTCGACTGCAGATGAAACCAGGATGGATGTAGATGACTTACTATTGGATCCTGAGACGCAGGAGCATGTTAAGAAAGGGAAGCAGGCCAAGGAGGACGAAGAGAAGACGCTAGAGATCTGTAGGCTTCTCACACACTACCTGTCGAGCTATGGCGCCTTGGAGCTGAACTTGCAGGTGCGTGGTAGATATATCTTCGTTTGCAAGGAGGTGGGGAGCCATGCATTATTGGACACTGACCACACTTGTTTATTTTGCTGTTTAGCTACGTTGCCTTGCATTATGTATCAATGGCAAACAATGGGACTTTTTGTCTGGATATGGTCGAGCCGCAGCTGAAGTCCTTGACAAGAGTATCCATGGAGGTAAGCAGTGTCTTGAATGCTTCTCATAATTTCGTCCGCAACATCCGAGATCGGTTGCGTTGTTTTCCTTTATACCTTTACCCATATTTGGCTATATCTTAAATACCCTGCTCCGTACATAGAAATATGCCAGGTCTACAGCATCTTGGTTCCGCTATGTGCGATCCTTAGCAGGGCTCAAGCTCTAGGAGTCGATCTCAAGGACATCACGTCCGCCAGTTGTCTTGATGCCGTGTTCTCTTCCGATCTGGAACCCATTCAAGTAACAAGAATGGCAGCATTTGATATGATCCAAGGACTCATGCCCAACGTTGCCAGACCTATCATCTCTGGCGGTCACTCGTCAATAGCACCGCACCAGCAACAACCGCAGTTCAATCAACCAGGCTTTAACGGCGCAAATAATAGCTACCACAGCCGGAACCGCTGGAATCGAAGATCTGTCCAAGAGGATGGATCTGTTCCATCTGGACCACAAATAATGGAAGAGGACCTGGGCCATGCGGTGATCTTGAGGCTATTTGGACTCGTTCGCCTGAGGGGTGTAATCGATATTTTTGGTGCCCTACTCGCCGGAGCTGTGTCTTCCATTTTACCTGAGAGAGCCAAGCTGACGTTAAACGAGTTTGGGTACTATGCCCTATTCACGACGTCGATGGACAGTATCGCATCCTGGATAGACCCCAGAGTCAAGATCATTGCTATGCTCAGTAACGGAGACGCTGGAAAGGCCATTGAGGCAGTTCCTGGGGCGAGACAGCGATTCGCTAAACTGCTAATTCAGGTCTATGAACGACAGATCCAGTACGAATCCGATACGCTCACCAAAAAATTAGGCATCGAGGATAACATCTTGACTATGCATCGATTCGACCCCGATACCGGATTAAGCACAGACAAAGCCCATACAGTCCTGTTCACCACGAAGGCCGCAGCGCAGATTACTCGATACTCTCTTTGTCTGACGGATCTGTACTACCTCGAAGGACTCCACCAGGATGCTTTGGCGTCGTTCTTAAACGCGTGCATGATCGCATCCAAATGCTTCGCAGATCTTGATCGTCTGGATCGGAGGGTCTGGGCCGTGTACATGCATGGTCCACTGTCGGCTCCACCAACTGGACACTCACCGTCACCGCCTGCAACAATGCTGCATGCCATCGTGCCTTCCCAAGGAGGGCCCATACCTGGCGCCATGTTCGGGCCGACTGGTGAGATCGTACAGCCAATGCCAACATATCTTACGCTCTCGGCATTATCGGGTATGGGAGGCGGCCTCGCTGTCCCTGAGGGACAGGTTGGATTAGCACTTTCATCATTATCACCTCCACAAGCTCAAGTACTAGAGCTTGGCGGCGGTGCTCCTCACATTCCGCCGCCTCCACCGCCACTCCCACCACTACCACCAGGTGCTTCATGTGGCCCTCCCATGGTCGCACCTATCCCTTCGCCTGTACTCAACTCAGCCCAAGTAGCCGTACCCTCCGCATTCGCGGTCAGAGCTATTGAGAGCTGCATACAACTGAACGAACCCTTGGCCAGTGTAGCATTGCAGCAATTCCTCCCTAGGATTGACTATAGCCAGGCGTTTGCTGCTATTCAAATAGCGTACGAACAAGGAATGTTATCATGGTCTGGACTCCTCGCAGGATCTTCAGGAGCTACATCATCGACTGTCACAGGAACGCCCGGAAATGTCTCTGGAGCGGGCATGGTCCCAGTATCGTTAACAAGTTCTGGAGTCATGGGAAGCAGTCTTCCTGGACAGCAGCCGCCTGTGCACTTGTTGTCTGGCACTGCGTTGGGACCGTCAAGTATTGACAGCAGCGGTATTACTGCTTCCCTGCGAGTCCAGTCTTCTACATCCGTGTTCATGCCCGAGTTGACTGCCATAGTCGATTCGGTGACCCGGCGCCGAGGGTCGTCTGTGTTTATGACAGGCAGCCATTCGCCACACGCGGCTTTATCCTCCTCAGCCTTGGGTCAAAACTCCAACAGCACAGGAACACTCAGCAGGGCAGGCAACAGTTTATCGCGACAGCAGTTTCTGGAGGCGGTGTTTGATATGACACTGCTGGAAAAGATCAGCTACCTGTGTAAGGAGAGCAAGGATGAGCTCGGATTGAAAAAGGTCCAAGAGCGCATCAGTAGTCATCGAATGGCCTTGGACGCCTTGCCGCCTTTCAGGGAACAGATCCGTCATTTGGTAGAACAGGGGCTGTTGACGCAGTTGTGGTCCAATTATGCGCGTACTGGGTAAACCAAGTTCCATCGATTTATATTAAAATACTGTTTTTATTGATGGAGTTATTTATTTGCGCTGCATCTCTGCGTACCGGACCCAGGAGTACATGCCAGATCCGAATAAACTCAAGAAGATACCGAATCCGTTCTTTCGGGAGCCAACAGACAAATACGCAACATAACTTGTTAGAATATAACTTGTCCAATGTATTTACGCAGTCGATGAACAATAGAAAAGCAGCATAGCTTACCATGGCAGTAATAGGGTTCTGATAGAAGGCCATGGCCAGCAAAGTCTGGACACAGCTCTTTGCGGTTCCTGAGATGGTGTTCGTCAAGGCGGTGGTATATTTGATCTGCAAGAACATGGCGGTGTTGATCAAGAATCCCGCCACGCCCGTGATGGTCATCAAGATCCAGAATCCCATATCTCCCAAGAAATAAACCTCGGATCTAATCTCGCTGATTTCGCCCGAGAAGAGCACGATTGGGGTCAACAGAATGATCGAGATTGTGGTATTGTAGTGCAAGAGTCGCCACTGGTTGTTGTCGACGATCGAGAGTGTCTTCTTGACATAGATTCCATACAGTGCTACAAAGACACTGGATCCGACGCCTGCGAAGAGACCGGGCCACGAGAAGTTGGTCTCGCCCATGGAGCCGACAAAGAAGCCGAGGACGACAATGGAGCAGGCGAGCATAGCCCCAACAGAGGTACGTTGGCGGAGCATGGTGAAAGTGAAGAAGATGTTGAAGAAGATGGAGAGCGAGCGGGCGACCTGGTAGAAGGTAACCTCGACAAGCTGGAGGCAAAGGTTGTTGAGGGCCAGCATGAGGACGTAGACGACGGAGAGGGGCGCGATCTTACGGGCGACGTCCAGATCGAACTCAAAGGGGGGTACCATCGAGAAGGTGCGGTACCTGTGGGAGGTATTTGAAGACCTTGGTTAGCTTCCTGGGTTTGCACACCTGCTATTACTTATTTTTACTGATGTACTATACAATTGAACAGATGCAATTGACGCGGTATTACCTCTTTCCGAGGTGCCCGGAGACGATTAGCAGTGCTAGGGCAACGACCAACTGATAGAGCGTGACAAAGAGTGGGTAGGGAAACTTGTACTCGGATCCTGAGAGGATGGTCTTGTTGAGGAAGACGACGGAGAGAGATGCAACCCAGTAGAAGGCGATGGCAGAGATGATGAGCGAGAGCGGATGCTGGGGCGCAAGACGATGCACCGCTGGTGACGGAAGGAACTTTTCTTCCCTTGTGGCGGACATGATGATGATGATGAAGAAGTGGTGGAGACAGGGCTTTGTTCGAGAGAGGATTTTTAAATATTGGGACTACTCGAGCTAGTTCAATATTCGAAATTAATGTTAAGGCGCCTCACGAAGCCCTTCCGACCTCACATAGTATGAGGCTGGACCCGTTGGATATATTCGTACTCAGCTATAAAATCGAAAGGCGGTAGTCGTCGTGTTCTAGCACAGATTCTGACTTCGAGGCGTTCAGCCATAATCCAACGGATGAGGACTTTGGGCCACGGCCTGCTTAGGCAGACCCAGACACCAATTATCCGAATGAACGGTTCCCCTCATACCAAGCTCAATTGCTATCAAAACAACGGACAAAGCTGTCCTGAGAAGCTTCAAAGAGATAAAAGGCGGGCTCTATGGCGATATGATCGGAAGAGAATGAGAGTAGACCATGCTATAGAAACACCCTGGAATGTATGTCTCCTAAACGTTTCCATAGATATCGTTGGTAACTGGCAATTTGACCGTAGTGGCCCAAAATTAAAAGGCGGATTTTGGAAACCAAGCATCAGTGCATGGGGATATGTCATGTCTCCAGATGTTTTCTGTTTATCAAAAACCTGTCCTTCTTCTTAGTGCTCATTGCTTTATAGCTTTATTCCTGAGCTTGTTATCTGTCACCCTAAATCTGGGTCTGCTATGCCTACAATAGTAGAAGTCGTGAGATTTATCGACGTTTTCTAGAAGCCTGTTTTTGTCTGGATATAGGTCCCGCATCGGTTGTTGCGCTCAAGCTTCCCTGCTCAGACCCTGCTATCATCATGTTACAGCGCCCCGCCTTATACAGCAGGCTTCTGTACCCCACCTTGCCTATAGGCTTGCAGTGCGTGCAGGGCCTGAGGAATTTGTCTGGTGTGAACTACCAGAAGGCTGTTGAGCAATGACAATATGTACTCAGAAATCGACTTAATATCCAACTGGTTGCTTGTCCTGGACGCTCGACGGTTGTTAGCGTCCCTGATGCCGTGTATCGCGAGCCAATCAGTCGATCTGCGGCATGTCTTGCCAAGATAGGGCGGAAGGCTTGCTCTAAATGTCCGCTCCTCGTAGAGTCAATGGGTCACAACCAATGTCATCTGCTGCTGGTTTTCGTCAACTGCAGTAGCAAGAAAGACACCACTGTAGCATTCTATGTCTCTGTAAGGTTGTTTGTGGGAGTAATAACACAGTCAACGTAGGTAGTGATAGTGGTTCTTACTGCCATGCTGGAGGGATACTGGTGGAAGTTGTAGGAGCGAGATGGAAGTGTAAGGATAAAGGATGTGAAGGGAGCCTCATTTATAGCACTTTGCTTACACCACCAATCGCCATCAATCACCCTGCCCGAAGAAGCGACCGAAAAGAAATACTTTTTCATTGTAGTCGCTTCGTCCTGCATTTTTTGATTGTGGTCACTTCACCACATTGAGTGCATGCTGATAGATGCACAGTGCGACCCTCTGCTCCCTCTTGGATGCATTCATGCGCCGCCTTCTGCAAACTATTGTAGCGACTTTTTGGGAGTACAGTCGTGGATGGTTTACAAGAGCTTCCGTTAAAAGACCAGTTCGGATATTACTGTACTCTGTACCACAGCGCTCAATCCAGCGCTGCAATGTGCTTCGCCCATATTCGAGCAATGAACTGCGTGATCACAGGTTTGGCAACAAGAAGCAAGCGTTATCCCTGCCCACTGTGGTACCCTACTAGCCTCCCCCCCTCTTTTGCTTCAGCAGCATGGCGCGTAGCTCCTGCCGCCTACACGCAAACAGAAAGGCCCTGACCGTACATTCAAAACTATGGCTCTTTGCTCAGCGTATAACTACAGGAAACAATCAGGTGAAAATTCTGCAGAAGAAGCCAGCGTGGATCGAACACTGTCAAGTACTGTTGATGTCCAGGCCCGCAGGAAGAGACATATAAAAAGATCAGTGAGCCTATACAGTCTGCTGCCGTCTGCTACGCACCCTCAGCTTGTTCCTCTCGCCATTCATCCCATGCACATTCGAGTATCCACAATCCCATCGCATCAGCTCCATATGAATGTCCATATCCCAACATCCTGGATACGACTAGTGGTCAAGCGAACGAAGTCCCAGTCCAAAGGAGACAACAAAGCCAAGGCTGAGACCGTCTGCTTGTGGGGAGGGTACGACATAACTCTCTTACGGGATCCAGCGTCTACGGCAGAAACCGACGAACACTACATCACTAGCCTCAAAGCCGGCCGTCGAACCCTTGCAAGAAGCAAGATGACCGTCAATCCTCAACACAAGCGAGGAAATAAAGCGGCCCTTAAGATGTCCCTTGTTGTTGACAAAGTAAAAACTGTAGTCAGGAGATCCAGCGGCGAGGACAATGACAGCATTGAAGAATCCAGCAGCGTCGGCGGAGACCTCTAAGAGGGAATCGATCGCAAGAACCTCGGTAAGTAATTCGCCACTGACGCCAAGCGAGCAAAGCAAGACGAAGGAGCACAGATTGGGTACAACGGGTCTTCCGACGAGGACACAGAGGATTCTCGGCAGTTGCTGCATCGGGCATAAGTCGCTAGAGGTTACTTCAGGATCATCTGGACGGAACCTAGACCAATTTTCGCTGTCGAGGGAAAATGAGCACTTCCTATTTAATGGCAGAGGTCAGCGTATTTTCTGTACAGAGGGGAGCCTTTGCGACAGATATGGGAATGTAACGAAAACTTCGCACTCGGACAAAACTTCATTGATGGAAGACGGCGTATTATACAGTTTTGGACTAGGATGGACGATCAAGAGGGGCTTCACACACTGACTGTGAGGGAAATGTTGTAGGTCTGCCAGTAATTGCCTCCTGTTGTCAGAGTGCTGACTTAAGAGGCATGACAAGGCTGAGAAGCTTCCTGCCTATGGACAACATGTCTTGTTGATAAGCTGTGTCAGAGGAAAGGGCGTAGGCTAAGCCTACATGGGTGGTGAATAGAGGCCTGAAAATGAAATGAATTTTGTTGTTCCAAATGTGCCTAAGATTGCTCGACAGCTGCCAGCAATGTGCAGCAAGATCGAGTGGTGGATTCTAAGGCGAGTATTAACTGCTGTTTAGTGGAGAGCTAGGCTGTTTATTTATGTGTCTCCTGGCTACCGCGTCGGTTCGGCGTGTAGCCTTTAAGCGTGTGAGGCCCCGTTGACATGTGTTAGGGTTGTCTTTTTCTGGTATGAGCAGTTTCTAGAGGAAAACACTACCAATTTTCCATCTTTATTGAAATCATGCAAATGAGGAAGTGAAGTGTGATGGAAATGAGTGCTGGATTAGTTGAGCTGTCTAATTAATAAAAGTAAAGAAGCTACGAGTGAACCTGGTCAGCGTAGTCAAGATAATCGATAAAGGGAATGAAAATGTAGAAAGCCCAGAGAAAAATGTTCGAAGGAAAATGAATATAGAGAAAGAGAAGTTGTTCTTTCGGACAAATCTGATTTGATCTCAGCAGCTCTCTGCAACTTGGCTACTCTACCGCTTACAATACCCAGTTCGATAAAATCGTTTGCAATGGATTTACCCCTTTCAACGTTCGAAATTGACATTAAAAAGGCGCCTCACGAAGCCCTTCCGACCTCACATAGTATGACGCTGGACCCTTTGGATATATTCGTATTCAGCTATAAAGTCGAGAGGCGGTAGTCGTCGTGTTCTAGCATAGATTCTGACTTCGAGGCGTTCAGCCTTCATCCAACGGATGATAGCTTCAGGCCATTGCCTGCTCAGGCAGACCCAAATACCAATTACCCGAATGAACAGCTCATTGGTAGAGCAAAAAGAGCCTGTCCCACGTTAGTCTAAACCTAACTAGTGTTTCCTACTATGGGCGAACAATCCACCGCTTACTGGATTTTGCTTCAGTATGATAGGAAGAACCGATATAGAAAAGCAGCGTCGCTACGGACGCCTGGTAGTCACAAGGTAGCTATCCTTCTTCCTCTCCAACCCACGATCTTGGTGGCTCCAACCGGTGTAACCATCCAAGTCTGACTAATATGTATATTACCGTGAATTTTTATATATTTCAAATGGGTTGAAACCGCTTGTGCAACAATGATTTTGGAAATCGCGTGTTGATTGGCCGAAATTATTGCATAGCATAGCAAACGTTGCCGCCAATAGGGGGATTCAAACTTTGACATTTGCAAAATCAAACGCGTACTCATTAGCCAAACATGCTTCACACAAACGCGCCATATAACGCGCCCTTTTAAACCTCGTCATTACGGCGGAATTCATTCGCCTCTGCGGCGTGTTTGTCTACAACTAGTATCCGTGTGCTCCTCTGATTTTTCAGCTTTGCGATTGCATCCTCTGTTCCTTCATCGTCATCGTTGAGGATCGTGAGAATGATGAGCTGCTCCAGGTCGGATAGTAGCTGTTGGCGTTCTGACTTCAATAGCATGGGAATCGGGTTGGTGGTTGGTTTTGTTCAACTTGATGCTGCCCATCATTTTCTGAATTGTAAAAGACACAGGTATATTTAAAATCGCGTTTTGGTCACAAACGCGCCTCAATATCTGTCCACAAAAAATTTATGACGCTGTCAAAGTTTGAAACCCCCTATTTGCGTGCCCGCGATGGAGAGACAATTATAGACTAGATGCGATATCTGTGATAAACGATCTAGTTCATTAATCGTGGCCAAGTCTTACAGATACTATGCTTAAATGGAGAACTGGCACCGAGTAGTGGCAGATTCAGGGGCCAGTAACATTCTCAACAAGCAAAACAGTATGGCTGATATGCCGCAACCAGCGCGAGTTGAACCGTCAATCTGTACATGAAAACGGAAAGTAATTGAGTGATATTGTTTTTTTTATTGTAGTAGGCACTGTAACAATGCATACTTTTTTTTTTTTTTTTTTTTTGTTTGTTTGTTTGTTTGTTTTTCTTTTAAGCATAAAGCTTCCGTCGATTCCTTTTGATAACCGCGTTTAGTTGATTCTCCAGCATCTGCGTCTCCATCTTGGCATTAATCACCTGCAATTCGAGGTCCTCCACGCTTCTTGCCGTTGTTACGTATGTAGGGCTAGGTCCACTCGTGTTATTCAAGCGAGGTGTCGATTGTGCTGTGTTGGCCCCGCTATTGCTGCCACTGACGTTGTTAATGTTGCTGGCATTGTTGTCGTGACTCATACCATTCAAATTAATCCCGTACTGTTGTTGCTGCTGCTGCTGCTGCTGTTGTTGTTGCTGTTGCGGTTGCTGCAATCTGTCTAGCATCTGAAATCCAGAGTTCGGCTGAGCAGATTCACGTCGCGATAGCATACCTGGACCGCTCTGACTGTCATTACTCATCTCTTGCTGATAAGGACGACCTGCAAGACCATCCCCGTTGGCTGGAGAGGACCAGCTGCTAGGCGAGGACATCGACAGTGATGCCGATGGTCTAAAAAGGTCGAGCGCGCTCATCATGCTGGTGATATCCATCGGCTTGTTGCTGTTACTCATATAAGACGAAGGTGTACTATTACCGCCAGTACCATCTCCATTTCCACCGATAGCGTTGCCACTAGAATGCATCCCGAGCCCAGGAGGTGGGCCAGAGACGGAGTTAGATCCTGATCCAGACGATATCGACATTGGCATCCCTGGCGCGTTCATTCCATTGCCTCCATACATTGTGTTCATGCCCAGGCCCTCGTAAAGGCTAGAGGGTCGGCTTGAATAGTCGCCACCCACTGAATATGTGTTGTTGTTTAGGCCGCTACCAAAATGCTTGCCGTTGGCTGGAGAATTTATCCTTGGTCCACCGTTGAGATTATTGAACACGTTGGCATGTTCCTCAGGCAGCGCGATGGGTTGTTGCTGCTGTTGCTGTTGCTGTTGTTTTTGCTGGGGCTCATCTTTCATGCTAAGTCGCTCTGGCCGGATACCAGAGTTAAGTCCCATGAGCAGATCCGACTTGACCTTAGCTGATCGAGCGGCCGCGGCAGAGTTAATTGTGTTCAATAAAGGCGACTCTCCTGCGCCGAATGCAACTGGGTACGCCTCCAAGCTGGCTGGTTTGAGCGGCGAGAACTGCTAGAATACAAAAGTAAAGACAATAATGTCAGAGTTTCATCTTAAAAATGATGCGGCTGCGGCGCTTTACAGTGCCAAGTGATGAACTCTTGTCATACCTCCATTCGCATGTGGCCAAGTCCGAACTGTTGAAGCATAGATGAATTGGTACTGTCGTTTCCAGCCCGGGAAGCCATATCTATGGTGTAGTTCAAAGGTAAGCGACATTACGAGAAAATTGGGGCTGATATGCGTCATATATGGCCATGGGTTCCAAAGATGTTAACATACCTGAAGACGGATCATGACCCATAAAACCAAAAGAGCCCGCGTACCCTCCAACCGATGGCTGCTGAAGTGCCTCTACCAGTGAAGGTCGTGGGATTCCAGATGATGACATGCGCGCCGACATAATAGCTGGGTCCTGGAACGCCATTGATGTTGACGGACCTATTTGTATATTAATGTGAGCAAATAGTTAAGAGTATGTCGATACATTAATTGATTATAGTCAATAATTTACAATAAACGAAAAGACATATACCAGCGGTGCCTCTGGCTGGACTTGACTGGATTGCGGGCGAGGCTGCCGCTGCCTTCAAAAACGCACCAAAAAAGTCTTGGGCATTGTCCTGGCTGTTCCGGGGACTTGTTGTTTGAGTACCCATGTTGGCATCGGATGTCCAACTGTGAAGTCGTGACGTCTGTAGTAGACGCTGAGACTGCTGCTGCATCTGCAGCTGTTGTTGCTGTTGCTGCTCCTGTTGCTGTTGCTGCTGCTGCTGCTGCTGAGATATGGACCATCCTCCATATTCGTCGCGAGCAAGACTTTCGAGTCCAGGAGGTGGAGATTTGATCATTGTGGGCGTCATAGGATTGCGTGCAAGTCCCGGTGGACCGCCGCGCTGTTGCTGCTGCGGCTGTCGCTGCTGCATTGAGAGCTGCTGGTGGTATTCCACCATGCGAGAGCTGGGCGTCGTCAGCATGGGGTCCATATTTAGCTGGCTCATGCTGCGCTGGAATGAGAGGCCTTCCTGCTTGTCAGCACCGTCCCACATACCAGCGTTAAGACCGGAATCCTGGCGATGAAGAAGTGGAGAAGGCTGATATTGGCCATGTTGGTATTGCTGCTGGTGTTGCTGGTGTTGCAGGTGTTGCTGGTGTTGCTGGTGTTGCAGGTTTTGGTGCTGAAGCTGCCGAAGATGTTGATGTTGGTGCTGCTGCTGTTGTCCGAGGGAACCGTTGGGCAGACCAAAACTGACATTAACGTTGGGGAAGAGAGCTCTGAATCCGTCCTGCATCGATTGCATATTAGACGACGGATGCGCGAACTCCTCGCGGTCAAATGAGTTCGAATATTGGTTGTCCATAGCGAACCCGAAACGAGACGTCTGCCTTGGTTTGCCTGGGATAGGAGGCCCCACTGGGCGATTGCGACCGGTCGCAGGATCATAGTCAGAGTCATTAAGGAAGGACCGTGCTGATGGGGCCAAGTTGCGACGCATGAGCGGCTCGTCATCCATCGAGAATGGGTTGAAGGACCCAGTATAGTGTGTTGGAGTCAAAGGCATGCTGGAGATGCTGGCGAAGGTGTCCAAACCGAATGGACCAGCTGTTTCCGTGCCCAGAGATGCAACCCCATCACCACTGCCTAGCCCATGAGGCAGTGTAGCCAAGGAGGAATCGGGATTAAAGGAGAATGAGCCCAGTGATAGTGTTGGCTGGTTCTGTGCCAATCGGGCCTCCTTCTCTATGAGCTCTCGCCTTTTCTCTTCCTGTTCCATTCTTTCTTGCTCCACCTTGGCTTCTCTCTCCTTCCGCTCCTTTTCTTCTCGTTCCTTCTCCAACCTCTCCTTCTCCAACCTCTCCTTCTCCAGCCTTTCCTTCTCTTGACGCTCCTTCTCTTGACGCTCCTTCTCTTGACGCTCTTCCTCTTGACGCTCTTCCTCTTGGCGCTCCTTCTCTTGGCGCTCCTTCTCTTGGCGCTCCTTCTCTTGACGCTCCTTCTCTTGACGCTCCATCTCAATACGTTTCTCTTCCTCCCGCTGGAGCTGTTCCTTCAGCTCTAGTTCCTTGCGGGCCTTCTCTTGTTCCTTTTCCTTTTGCAGCTGTTCCTGGCGTTCCTGTTCCTTCCGCTTTTCTTCCTTCTCCTTTTGTCTCTGCATCTTCTGCTCCATCTCCTGCTGTTGCTTTTGTTTTTGCAGCTCCAGCTGCTCTAGCTCCAGTTCTAACTGCTTTTGTTTACGAAGCTTCTGTTTCAAGAGCTCTGCCTGCTGTTCCGACTCCTGCTGCTGCTTCTGCAGCAGAATTTGTTGCTTCCGTTGCTGCTCCTGTTGCTGCCGTTGCTCTAATAACATCTGCTGTTTTGCAGCAGCCTCGATGGCTAGCGCCTCTGCAGGCGTTGGAGAATCTACCACAGGGGCTGTGTTGAGATTTGGGAATCAGTATAAACAAATAATAAGCAAAAGTATGACCCCCATGAAAGACACTAAAATACGACTTACAATCTGCCAGAGATCCATCCTTGACATAACTGAGCTCCTTCCGCTTGCCATTATTTACAACTACGCCAGTGATTATTGATGTTGTCGAGCCCTTAGACCTCAGTGGCGGAAGGCTGTCGGACTTCCGAGCTGTTGTGCTATGTAGCGTTGGCGTTGATGGGTTGCTGCCAATCTTTGCCCAGGACGCTGTTGCAGGAAGAGCCGAGCCTTCCTCGTCCTTATCATCGTGGCAAGATCTGTCGCCACCGGGCGCCGGCCAATCTGAGAGCGACGACGTGTTAGAGTGATAGGACGGCACCGTCGTTGGCTTCGGTCTGGGTGCCTGCGAGGGGCCAGATGATGATGCATGGGACGGTAATGGAGGGCGGCCGAGACTCGCGAATTTGCCATAGGGGTCGTAAGGTGCTGGTTGGTCCTGCAGATGGTGTTTCCTGTATTACATCCGCCATTGATAGAAAATGAATCCAATAAAATTAGCAGTGAAAACATTGGATATGAATATTTTCACATTTTGTACAATTTCACACAGCCCTTACCCAACAGCAAGATCCTCCTTCGTATAACTGTCTGCATCCTCGCCTGGCTCATGCAAATACATGCATCCTGGATTCTGACAGGACATGCCCCGTAAATAATACGTGCAGTACTTAGTGGTGCCATAGGATGCTCTATATAGAACACGAGCCAATTGAATGAAAGCCAAATTCAGTACCAGACCAAATCATATAGGTTAAGGCCTCCTCCACAAAGTCCAGGACGAAGAAAAGAATTTGGACTCGCTCACTGAATGCCAAGCAGAATTCAACAAAGTGTACCTAAGAATCTTGCCATCCCATATACTACCGTCGATGGCAGCAATTGCCTTTGCGGCATCCTCTTTTCGAACGTAAGTAATATAGACTCCCACGCTGGCTGGGCCTGGAGAAGACCCTCCTGATGGTATGGGCGCGTTCCTGCGATTGATGACGACCTTTGCGATCTTACCATATTGGCCGAAGTATTCATGTTGCCTCAATGTGTGCTGTAATGGACCAACAAAAGGACAGCCTTATCAGTGTCAATTAAACGCTCAAAATGAACAGAAAACATAGTACAGCAGAAACATTGCGCGAACCTCATCATTCGCCAGCTTGGTTGGAAGACCAATCACGTAGACCAAACTCTTTTGCACAACCCTCATGTTGGCAAGATGCTTCCTGTTCATGGCCTCAATTTCCTTCTTTTCGCGCTCCTTTTGTCTTTTCTCATTCTTGATCATGGCTAGCCTACAAAGAGTACAGCAGAGTCAGCGAACGAACGCTACACAAGCAGAATAGGTTGTATGGAGCCAATGGCCCACGCGTCGCTTTTTTTTTTTTTTTTTTTTTTTTTTTCGCCTTTATCGTATTTTTGCCCACATACTCATCTGCAGAAATAGGCGTGAACTCGATTGTTTCCTCCGTATACACTCGTCGACAGGCGGGGCAGCGACCATTGAGATCCTCCTTGATATGGTGCCAACAGAAGCGGCAAATCTATGGTTGATCATCTCTCAGGTCAGAAATACATCATCATCCTGCGAAATCGGACAATCTGAGCGAATCCATTCATCCATACTTGATAACCGCAGGGACAGGGACGGAAGTTCCGGTCCGAGATGTCGAGCTCCTCCATGCACAAGGGGCAGTCAAAATCTTCTTCATCGGACATCATGGTGGCGAAAGCAAAGTCCAAAAAGCTAAGGAGGGATCGAAAGTGTTGGACCGGAATGGACGGGGATCGCAAAAGGGCGTTTCAAGAGTTGGATGTGATGAATGAATCAAACACTTCTTATTCGAGTTAAAGGCGAGCTGAAAACTAGGCGACGTCATTCGGGCGCCCTTGGTTGGGTTGGCACCTTTGCCATTTCTGGAGGGTCGGCCTGACTCTGACAATACTCAAACAGCGGCCTTCATTCGCCTTCTGTTTCCCCCCACACACCATAACATTAACAACCAGCAATGGATGTAAGCGATATCACCATCGACTTGCTGAATTTTGAGTTCACAGCCGACAGGCACCACTGATGCTGACTCGATCTGCAACGAATCTTTTTAGGACAGTGACTTTGCAAAGTATTTTCCGACGTCGTTTGGGAAAACGAGCTCCTCCAAACCCAAGCCGGCCCCAGAGCCCAGGAAGGCACCTGTAAATGACGATGGCGTAGGTGCACTGCGAGCATTCATGCCCACCTCGTTTGGAAAACAAAAGTCATCCAAGAACAGCGGTAGCACTCAGCAATATGAACAAATGAGGCGCTCTGTGGATCAGGACAAGGCGAAGGAGGTATGCGAATGTTGATCTGGGCTGCAAAGGCGTTTCGTCCGCCCTTTGCTTTTCAGGGAAGCAGGATCTGACATGCCTGAAATAACCGTTTATGACTAATGCGATCATACTAGGCTCCAAGAGGAGCATTGCTCGAACAATCGTCGTCATCGCGATCAAAGGACGCTGAACTCAAGGACGGTGGACGATCCAAGGATAAAGTCGAGAACGACAGCGATGATGGTGGCAGTAGTGGTGATGATGATGACAAGGACAACAATGAAGGCGACGCTTCTGGACGTCCGGACTCCTCAACGCTTCCGATCTCTCACGAAATCATAATGAACGAGCACAGCAAGGTAAGGAGCCGTGTCAACTGATCATTATAGTCTCAGTAGAGTTCTAGGCTAGAAGCTAACACTGGCATATCGACTGCTTTATCTGAACCCGACCCAGACTATTTCAGCCATGGCATTGGACCCTGCGGGAGCGCGACTAGTCACAGGAGGATATGATTTTAATGTCTGCTTCTGGGACTTTGCTGGAATGGACACACGCTTCAAACCTTTCCGATCCATGGAACCATGTGGAGCCCATCAGATTCACGAACTCAAATATTCGCTGACCGGCGACAAGATTTTGATCATATCGGGCGAAGCAAAAGCCAGGATATACGACCGGAATGGAGTAGAAGTTGCAGACTACCAAAAGGGAGACCCGTACATCCGCGACCTCCGCTTGACCTCCGGACATGTAGCGTCCCTAACAAGCGGGGCATGGCATCCACATACGAAAGATAGGTTCATCACTTCGTCGACAGATGGCACTATCCGACTCTGGGACGTGGAGAACACTCGCAAACAGGCTGATGTGATTGCATACAAGACCAAAGAACGCGGTGGGCGGACTCCTGTTACTGCGATAGCCTACAGCTCGGACGGAAAGATGATTGGAGGAGGTACGCTTTTGTCACTCTCTTTAACGCGGCTGATCTGTTTCCGAAGTTTTGAGCTAACAAGTCTTATTATCTTGTACTAATAGCTGCCGGCGATGGCACAGTATCTCTTTATCCAAGTACTGGACCTTTCTTACGGCCCATTCACGTAAGGACAAATGCATCTTAGATAAGGGCTACCTTTAACGATGACTGAAGGAGCGCGTTTCGATAATGACTGTGTTTCATTTTTACGCATAGACAATTGAGAACGCCCATGTCAAGGGAACAGAAACATCATGCATTACTTTCTCCAGAGATAGTCTGCGCATAGTAACCCGCGGCGGCGATGATACAGTGAAATGTACGTAAAGGGAGCCGATACAAATACCTTTATTCCATCCTAGTGCGGCTAGGGAGTCGATATCTGTTACCTCACACATAACTCTATTCATTTTGCAAATAGTGTGGGATACAAGGAACTTGAAACACCCTCTTTCGATTGCGGAGGACATGGCCGTTCTGAACTCTGAGGCCAACGTCATCTTTTCGCCAGATGAGCGACTTATTTTGACAGGCACCGGGGTCAAAAAGGGCGAGGGCTATGGCAAGATAGTCATGATGAATAACGAGAATCTGGAGATTGTGCGCACCGTCAGCGTATCGCAGAGCAGCGTCGTGAGGGTTTTATGGCATGACAAGTTGAATCAGGTTTGTGGACTCGCGCTCATCCCTGTTCGTTGTCTTCTTAGAATAGGAAAACCACATGCGCCTTGGAGCTAACCAGTGCATCCATCTCAAAAAATAGATTGTAGCTGGCAATGCAGACGGATCGGCGCACGTGTTTTACGACCCAGATGTATCACACAAGGGTGCCAAGTTGTGCGCAATCAAAGCACCCAAGAAGAGGGCTGTCGACGACTATGAGATCGATCGTCCTATCATTACCCCCCATGCCCTGCCCATGTTTAAGGAGGATAAGGTCCAGACCAGCAAACGTAAGCAGGAAAAGCTGCGCAGTGATCCCAAGGCCTCTCATCGTCCAGAGATGCCCTTGACTGGTCCTGGTAGAGGAGGCAAGGTCGGTCAGAGCACGATCCAGCACGTCCTGACAGATTTTGTGAAGGACACTATGCGTGAAGAAGATCCAAGGGCCGCACTGTTGAAATATGCGGATGTCGTCGAAAAGGACCCACAATGGATTACGCCCGCATACAAGCAGAACCAGCCTAAGCCGGTCTATGATGAACGGGACGAAGAAGGCGAGCACCGTGAACTTAAGAGACGGAAGTAAATAAATTCAGTTGAACTGCTTGCTGAAAGAACAATGCTGGTGTAACTCTCCGAATACCACTTGATGCAGCTGTGAGGTGATGTTTGAGTGGACGTGGAGCCGAAGGTCTCTTGGCACGGGCTAATTTTTTTAAAAAAAAAGCGACAAGGTCCGCCAAGTTTGCTTTTAACTGTCTGCACAAGTATGGAGGTACGCGTTCGCCACGGTTCTGTAGACATCCGACTACTAATGACACTATATTTCCAGCACTAGTATGTATGCGAGTGCTTCAGATTGGATAGCGAGGAGACGCATTTTTGGGGTTCCATTCGAATCGGGGGCAGATCTAGCCCTGTATTCCTCCACGAAAAGGACCACGTTGAAGGAAAAAAGTGCGTAAAATCCCTTGCCTCCACTCGTCGAAACGGATCCCGCTGCAAGCGCCAATTCACTCTATTTGCGCCCTTCAAATCGATCTCCGAGGTGAGAGCATAAATAAACGTGGCCAACTAATTTTCCGCCGCAAGTATCTTTGAATCTTATTCAGAACCCTTTGCGGTAAAGCGGAGAGATAACAACAGTTCAAATTATCCCAAGGGTGTTTTTTGTGCGTGTTGCTCGCCAGCGTCTTTGTCGCTGTTGCATGTCCGCTCCTGAGATCAAAAAGACTGCCAAGAAGGCGTCCGCCATCATTTTCTGAGGACTACGAAGCAACCCCCGGAAAAGATGAAAGCCTTGGCCCTGTGCACTACAAGAAGCCCTTTCGTATCACTAGGGGACACAAAAAACGATCCGGATCTGCAGCTTCACCTCGATGTATTCTCTTTCCCCCCTGGCTGAATATTTACCTGGTTCATTTTCCATAAACCTCCTTATTTATTTTAATACCGTTCGATTCTCATGAAAGAATCGTATACATTTGCAAATAGCCATACTGCAATGTTCACTTCTTCTTGGATTTACGCTTTCTTGGGGGGATGACGACGGCCACGACTCGATCTTTGAAAGGCCCTTTTCTGGTTCGCGACCGACATCGTGCGGACGAGGAGCTAGCGGCATGATCAATGTCATCGACGATCATGGTACCGTCGTTGGAGCGGTCCGGCTGCCCATTCGATCCATTATTGGAGACTGTGGTTTCCTTCGTTTCCGAAGATATGCTGAATTTCGCATCAGTGGGCTTGGTCATAGGCTTCTCCGAAAGAATCATGGTCTTAGAGCGTTCGTTCATGTTCTCGCCTTCCAGGAGGGAGGGGGCCGAAGATAGTCTCGCTTGGTCAGCCGCTGATGCGATATTATCCATACGCAAATACATCCAGGCCTGCTCTTGTGCGCTCGATACGCCAGACCCAGCCTCGCCATAGTCTCTCAAGTTCCGTACAATATGGGGTTCCGAGCTATCCAGTTCGCTCATTGAGAGGGGCGCGTTGGCATCTGGAGGGTTCCTCGGAACCTGTAATATGACGCGGTGAGTCAGTCTGACGGAAAATCACAACAGAGGCTCGCCATAAGCGGAGACTTTAAGCTAACAGTAGACCTACAGGGCGATACGCGCGTGCTATTTCAGCTTGGGCTTCCAGTCCCCGCTCCATTTGTCTTAATTCGTTCCTCAGCTCCAGATTCGCTTTCTTGAGTTGCAATAGGTTGCTTTCACATCGCCGAATCTGGGTGGTGTGGATGACGCAGAGGCGAAAAATTGTTTGGTACTGATAACGCAAACGTCCCAGCTCAAGATTGTTGTCGAGGCGACCTGATGTTGAGGCCATTTGCTGGGTGGACTGAATGAAAGCTTGATGGGGATCTGGTGATAGCGGTGGAGTCATTTGTGGATGGACCCCGAGATAGGCCAGTGGTCTGGATATGGAAGAAGTCAACGTAGCTGGCGCCCGAGATGGTTCAGGCCCTTGTGAACTCGCAGTCTGGAAGGTGATTACTGGATCCAGTTGGTTGAATGGGTCTGTAAGCAAGTGGAGCGCAAAGGAGCTGAAAGGATGGAGGGGGATGAAGCGAAAGATAAAGGGAGTAAAAAGTAGGCATGACATTGCGCGCCACCAAATGGCTAGATCAGCCATAGAAAGTCTCCTTTTTTTTTTTCTTTGTCCACTCATCATCGCACTACAAACTCAACTCTTCCATGCCAGCATTGCGCGGTAGCGCAAGGAAGCCCGTTTCAACTCAGCGCAGCAAGGTACAGCGCACTGTAGTCAATGTCGCCAGTAAACTACGCGGAGCAAACTATCCAGCAGGCGCCAGCAGTGCTAGACTGTGCTAGTCCAGCAGTCCAGCACGCGTTGGATGCAACTAAGACTCTCGATTGCCGTCAGTGTCAGGCCGGCAGCGTTGGTATAACCATCGGCAGCATCGAAGACGAATTGGCGCTGCCACTGGTGGAGACCTTGTTGCCGCCGCTGTCACTGCTGATCGAATGGAACATCGAAGTCAGCTCCAAGAGAAGAGGACGACATAATCAAAGGTCGAGGAACTAGGCAGTATGTCTGTATGATCCCCTCACTCTTTTACCGGGCATGGTTGGACCCGTGTCGCTCCGGAAGTTGCCGAAACGCGTGGTGCGAACTCTAGTGCAACCTTTGAACTCTCCCCCCTGATTTAGGGCTACACCACACCATTCTCCTAGAAAATAGATTAGATTCTCCTTTAACGCTCTTACACTGAATGCTGGTGTTATCCTCTCATCCCCATCCTTCTCACACTATCTACGCCAACTTGACTGATCTACGCGACAGTATCGACGAAAACATCATGTTTGGCAGCACCTCTCCTTTTCGCATCGAGCTTCCTGAGAGCATTGACACGTCTATTTTCAGTAGCTTTCCTATTCCTAGAAGGAATCCTCGAACCCATGTTGCACTGCCCAAAGATACTCCATCAGCTTCGTCTGGAATGCCTGTGGTCACTCTCACTCGAAGCGGCTATCGGCTATCGATGGCAGTCCTACCGCCAATTCCTATAGAATCCCTAGGACTTTAACCCGCAAAGGCCAACCCAGGTCCATGGTTAACGGCTAGAAACACAACCTCCTTGCAACAGGTTTATGCTCTAAGTGCATTATGATGTCATCAGCGCTTCGCCCATCTTTATACGACTTTCTAGAACACTGTTGCTATCTATCCAGCCAGTTTATATAAACCCCATCCACACGTAGAACTAGACAGCAGCATTGATACGAATAAAGTCCCCTTTCCACCCTAGATTCACTTCCACCTGATTTGACCGTTTGCACTCCTCCTCATGTCATTCAATCACAGTCCTATTGCATCTACAGGCTTCTGCATCTTCATTCCTAACCCGTTTCGTACAAAGGCCAGATGATCAATCCGTTCCTTTCACAAAAACATAGAGAAGGCGCCCTTCAGACTCTACCTTCCTTCTTCCGCTTCTACGGCGAGGAAGACGACATTTTCAAGACAACAACGCCGATTTGATACGCAATAGACGTTGTATGACATGCAACGAATACTGCATCCTCGTTTACATGTGCAGGATGATTATTCACTCTCCAGATGAAGCCGTGCTCTGATTCACGAAGCTTAAAACGAGCAGGAAGGACAATTGTTTGCCCATTCTGACTGGCATTGGAAAGGGAATTGCGCGGAAGCAATTTAGTTCGCAAAGTCCGACAAACTTGATATCAGCAAAGCAGGCAGAATCGGCCGAAAAAGAGAAAGACGAGAGGAGTTATGGCGATCATCATGAATGCGCTCATGGAGACGAACCAAACAGGAGACCTTAACTCAGCAAAAATCATATTAAACCATCTTTGGGACGAACACATCATTCGGTCGCCCAGGACGATTTTACGTATTTTTTCATGCGATGGGTCTGTGCGTGAGACAGAATATCATGCATGACTCGCCAACCAGCGTAGCACTTCTCTTGGACATCACTTCAAAAACCTGGCGGGAATCATAGCAGCGGATAGAGAAGTAAGATGAGAGCCGAAACGACCAGAAGTCTTCTTGGACGAGAGTTACTGCCATACCAGCCACTGCGCGAAGATGTGATGGGTCAGACGGAAAGGAACCGTTGTGAACGATTCAGGGAGGAAACCACCTTAATCCTTTTCGCAGCATGTATAATGTGCTAGAATGAGGCAATTCATCCGGGACAGCATGTGCATTTGGCTATCTCTGCGGAAGGCGCATCTGAGGGCGAAGAGAGGCTGGCGACCTACGCAGGGCGCCGAGCTATGGCACAAGGTGCCAGACTTCGTTCGAGAGAAGGGCATTATTGCTACTGACCATGACTACCACAGCAATATCAATGCCGACTTGTTTGACAAACTGTCCGAACAATTGTGCTAAAGTCTGGTTGTCATGGGGCACAATCCTGTCACATTCATCTGGATGGCACGTCCTATTACTTCTATACGAATAATAAGAAGCCCAGGTACTAAAGTGAACAACATCATCGATTGTTTGATAACTAACGGCACAGGTCTTCCAGTGGCAAAAAACGGACGGAAACCAACCAAGAGGAACTGATAGACCACATCGCGGCACTCACTGATGAAGCAAGTACATCGATCGTCGACATTAGCGAAGGTGAAGGTTAGTTACAAAATTTTCGAGGCCCTGCCATATCACTGCGAGCTCTAACCTATCGAGAAATATGGGGGCGATCAAGGACATGGTGGGGCTACTCGTACTGAGGCGGACATGTCTTGTCTGCTTTGCATCTCAAGCACAGTTGTTCTTTGCCAAGCTCCTATCCAAGACTTTTCGGTCTATGCGGAAAGTCGGTGTCAGAATCGGTAAAGCTTACACTGCAGCCCTCACTGAAGGTCCTCAAAATGACGTAACGGATAAATTCGCCGCTGCGTATCGTGAGGAGACTGCAGAAGGATTGTTTGCGGAGGCATCTACGAGCTTTAGTCTTTTGACAGATGAGGAGTTCCAACACGCGCTCAACATATCGAACTTCCATGAACGAAATAGCGTCCGCGTTATGGAGTCGGAAATCGTACACGACGATCATGGTAGAGACAATAGTGAATGGACGACGGCGGCGGGAAGCGCGCGCATCGATTTTTTGACGCGTAGAATAAAATAAGTTTGCTCTCTCCTCTACCACATGTGGCTGGACGCGTACAGTATCGGTGGATCGGTGAAAGTGAGATGTGTAGCAAGCTTTTTCAGAAACGTTGTCTTCACTCCCACTGCTCTCCACATACAGAAATGAGAGAATCCGGTGACGCAATTGAAGCACCAATTACTGACACAGTCAAAGAGATGAGCGTACAGGAGTAGTGCGTTTGTTTACTGCGTATCGATGTGTCTGGTCTTCCTTCCTCCCTCCCTCACACACTCAACTCATATTTCTCCCCGCTGTTTTCGGCTTTTTTCCCTCCTCTTCCATCCAACGCTTCACCATCACTCTGTCCATCACTCTCACTACCACTCTCATCACCCCCTGCCACCATTGCTCCCACCAAGCATTCTTTACCGACCGCTGTTACCGCTGCCTCTGTTCCTAACCACTCCTCGCACATATTCACACTTCTCCTCGTTCACTTTATACTCTCATACCGCCCGCCCGCCCGCCCGCCTCTTCTCCAGCCGTTGCTCAGTATATGTATATCCTGAGGTCTTTCTAGGCACTTCCAGATCCAGTTCCCAGTTTTATCTTTCCCTGCCGTTGCTCCTTCCGATGCATCCTTCCCCTCGTCACTAACACCTCGCCTACCTACGGACGCTTCTCGCCTCAATTGCCTTTATTCCTTTTGTCTTCCATATCACTTGGCCCCATTTCTCGTGCTGATTGACCATCGACCCGGTCGTGTACAGTGAACCCTTTGAAAAAGCTGTCGGCGCTTGCTTGCTTGCTTGCTTGCTTGGATCGGGAGAGCGTTGTCCAGGATTCAACTCTTTGTGCGAGAGATTTTTGGTTTTTGGTTCTTGGTTTTTCCATATCACGGTTCTTAAACTCGATACCCTCTCTTCCGTGTGCGCGCGTGTGCATTGCTGCCGTCAGCTCAGTCCTCACATTCCCTCCGAGCCTCGAAAAGAGACCACCGCCATGGATACCACATCGTTAGCGACATCGGCCACACCAGAGACTATTGCCGAGACTGTGCCTGTGCAGGTGCCCACCCTAGCCAGCAATGGCATGGACTTCTTCTTCACAGAGGTCCCAGAACAGCTTCTGGGTGCCACTGAACTCGACGTTCAATTAAGTCCTCTGCTCCAGGATCGTATTGCACAGCTATGTCTGGTCAAGATGCGGCAGGCGTCCTCAGGACGAGAGTCTTTGGAACGACTGGCCCGCCTCTCTTGGTAAGGCCTGATTCTCAATTTCTCGCACATTATTTGTCAGCATATCCATGTCCACGGTTCCTTTGTCCTTTGCGAGCAACAACTATGTTCATTCCTCATTGACATAGTTCCTTTTGTCCTTTTTCTTCTTCTTTCTCCCCCTGTACTTCACCAGCTTCTGGCGTCGACTACAGACCGAAATGCTCCTTATGCCCTCGTTTTCGGCTCCTCAAGTTCCGGCCCCATTGGAGCAGTGGCTCACTGAATTTGCCGCACTAGAGCCATCTGCCCCTGTCTTGCAAGGATCAAACGACTTCAACTTGGGCCTAGATTTCCTAATGCCATCCCCAGGAGGACTGGGGCTGGATTTTGACATTTGGAACATCGATTCAACTCCACAGAATCTTGCAACGGACGCCGCTTTCACGTTTCCGTTTTCGCTTCAGACCCCGGCCTCTGGATTCCTGGAATTTTCCAGCATTCCTCCATTTCCAAGTAGTGTCAAACCTCCTTCCATGGAGCAGATGCAACCAGAGGCCATCATAGACACTTCTTCGATCGCAAGCCAGCAACAAGGGACAGATATCATGCAGACGGAATCTCCAGTCGACCCCTTTGCTGCGTCTTCTCTCAGCTCTATTAGTAGCGTTGAAGTACCGCAGGACTTGCAACCCATGGGTGATACGACCGCATCAGAAGCGAACGCGGACCATCAAGCACTTCAGGTCACGGACTATGCAACCTTGGACAGTGGTATGGACGTGGACCTTCCGATACAGGACATGGCTCTAACGTCCCCGCCATCATCGCCTAGAAAGAGACGTGCATCTAATACCACCAGGAGATCTGCGGGGAGCCAGCGCCGTGGACGCAAGACAATCAAAACCATCCGGCAAAGAAGGACGAAAAATGATACCGCGTCGTTTGCAATCAAATATGCCTCCGCGACGGACGCGATGGGTGACATAGAGGAAGACGTAGGGCATGCCAGCCGAATCAAACGCCGACGTGGTAGCGAGGACTCTTCCTCATCCGATTCCAGCCCTGAGTCAGCCCCCTCATCACCTCGAACTCCTCCTTCAACTTATGACGGGTCCAACGTGTCATCAGCGGCAACTGATCTTTCTCCGCCATCCCAGCCGTTATACCAGCTCAGTTCTCAGTTGTGCAACAACAAGGTCAATTCTATTTGTTCGTCTGCTAAAAGTGACTGCAAGGGTACTATGTCCCCTACTGCGGGGCAGGACCTTTCGCTGGGCAACAAGACCTCCCATCTTGCAACCGCTATTGTCGTCGAGGGTCTTGTCAACTTGAAGCATATGGAGGATGGTGACGACGCCGGGGGTCTCTCCGCGGTATCAGCAACCAGAATTTCATCACACCGCCCATCGACTCGTCCATTCGGCCACTCATGAGCCTCGACTCGTTCCTGTGCAGGTTGCGCGCTGGCAATTGTTGCCTCTATGCGCTCAAGTATTCCCTTATCCTTGTTTTTGACACTTTTTTATTATTATCAATCTGTACAACATTCATCACAATGTTCACGATCGTGGCGATATCGATATCCGACAAAGTAATATCCTCTCGTCTCTTCTCTTTCTCTTTCTTCTTTACTTTTCTTTTTTCACGTTTCTCTTTATTTGTCGCAGAGAACAGGAAGTGTTGAATCGTGTCACCTCCTTGCCCATCTGTTGCGGTAAGGTATCTCTAGTTTTGTTCTTTTATTTTGATGTACTATACGACCTTGATAATGCCCGATTTTACACGATTGCGAATTGCCTAGGACTTTGTTCAATTTAGCTTTAATGGAATAAAAAATGTTCTGAATCATTACTTCCAATGAAGATAGTAAATAACGAATCTGATCTGATAAGAATGCTTGTCGCACTTCCCTCTTGTCATTCTCGTCTGCCATAATCTCTCTCATCCCTACAACCCCCCACATAGACATAGCCTAGTCTTCTTCGTCCAGTTGCTGCTTTTCTCAACAATTGCTCCAACTAGGTTATTGACTCGCTCATTCATCGGCCAGCGGAATCAGAACTCTTGGCGACAGGAATGAGCCAACCAACTGAAGCACCCGCTGTGCCTGAACAGCTACCGGCCAACGGGCACACCCAACTATCGGCACCAGCATTGACCCCGACGTTGCCGTCTCAGGCCATTGAAGAACCCGTCGATTCGCGACATCTGGAACACATTTTGCTCCACAATCCACGCCGGATCCTATTCCTGTACGGCTCACAGACCGGCTGCGCTCAAGATGTGGGGGAGAACGCAGCCAGGGAGGCCAGAAGGATGCACTTTAGTGCCACAGTCTCAGCCATGGATGACTATGATAGAGTAAGAGCATGGACCCTAGCCATAGGACTCTTTTGTCTTCTGGTCGCGTTTATGGAATGGAGATCGATGGTCTGATGTCTTTTCGTTGTTCATATCCACATGTAGAGCCTGTTGATCCGGGAGCATTTTGTGGTTTTTATTGCATCCACGACAGGCCAAGGCGAGGAACCGGACAATATGAAAAAGTTCTGGAAGTTTCTGCTTCGCAAATCTCATCCCAGCGATGCCCTCGATCACATGGAGTTCACTGTGCTAGGCCTGGGAGACTCTTCGTATATCAAGTATATGCCTGTTTCGAAAAGTGATGTTTGTGGAACGACCGTGCGCCGGGTGCCTGGGAAGATGCATATTAAAATTTATAGATACCTACCTGAATGGATCTTTATTATAGGTTCAACTGGCCTGCAAAGAAGCTGTACAAGCGATTGATGCAGCTCGGTGCCGTACCATTCTATGAGCCCGCTTATGCGGATGATCAGCACTATCTTGGGTAATGAAAGGAGGCACTGATTTGAAACGTTCAATTTCGACCATAGCCTACTTTTCTCATACTGGATTTCTTCAACTTGTTCCTTTCACTAAGACTGACTTCATGATTTCACTCGACTTTGTACGGTTTTAGTGTTGATGGAACACTTGGTCCGTGGTTGCAAGGACTCTGGAAAGTTGCGCTAGAAAAGTACCCGATTCCACCTCATCTGAAAATTATACCTAAAGATGTGATCTTTCAGAACAGCTTTAGTTTGGTATTTGATCCGAAAGATAGTGGAGATATTGGAGGAACACAGGACCATGCACGCGAGCACCAGCCACGGAACAAACCTCATGCTGAACCGATCATGGATTATAACAAAGAGCCTGGAACATACATGGCAATGCTGCTGAAAAACAAGAGGATCACACACCCTAAGCACTCACAGGATGTCAGGCACATTGAGCTATTGATTAAGGATCCCACCTTTCCTGGCTACCATTCGGGCGACGTTCTTTGTATGAGGCCACGCAATCTCGACAAGGATGTCAACGAGTTCTTGGAATACTCTGGGTGGACTCAAATTGCAGACGACACTTTTACCATTGTCGAGAATTTTCCAGGCAAGGGAGAATAACGGCATTCTGAGAAATTGCAATCAGTCAAAGAAGTATAACGGTTCTAATAGCAACTTCGCGTCTTGCACCAAACTGATTCCTTATAGATCACTCCCTGCCACGACATATCCCACACCGGCAGACGCTCCGATCGCTCTTAACACATCATTTGAACGTCTTTTCAACGCCTCGGACCAGCTTCTTTCAGCTCTTGGTCCACTTTACATCCAGCGAGGACGAGAAGGAAAAGCTACGAGATTTTGTGTCTACCGAGGGTCAGGATGATCTGTATTCGTATTGCCACCGGATGCGCAGGACCATCTTTGAGGTGCTACAGGATTTTAAGGGCGTCAAGATCCCATTGAACTATATGATGGATATCTTTCCAGTCATTATGCCGCGCAGCTTCTCGATCGCCTCGGCGCCCCTAGCGTCGGTTCAAGAACAACATCAGTCTGCGGATACAAGAACCGCAGCGGGCGCAGGTAGTAGCAATGGAGATGGCGATTGGGCTGGGCTGACTCAAACCAGCAATGGAGATATTGCGACATCTGCAGCAAGAGTGGATGTGGAAGGTGAGCTTGAGTGGAAGGTGGATCTCTGTGTGGCTATTGTGCATTATAAGACAAAACTCTGGAAGTGGCGGACCGGAGTTTGCACGCGGTGGCTCAAGGGGCTGCAAGCAGCGGAAGACACCAACACTTCGGCAACAACAGCAAGCACACCAGCTCCAGTAGAGCCAGCACAGTTCAGTATTCGCATACAGAGGGGCACTTTAAAACTTCCAAAGGATCCAAACACGCCACTTATTTGCATTGGACCAGGTTCGTCGGATACAATGCTTTTCATTTTAGTTTGCGGATGTATTGATGAACTAAGTGGACTGAACTGCGTTTTCTATGTTTCTTTTACATTTGCAATATCACGTTTACAGGAACTGGAGTTGCACCTATGAGAAGTTTCCTGCATCATCGGATCTATGCACAAGGAGCCACTGAAAACGTCCTTTTTTTTGGATGCAGAAAGAGAGGTATGGACTACCACTACCAGGAAGAATGGGAGCAGCTGGAGCGCGAGGGTTATCTCAAGGTCTTTACGGCATGCTCACGAGACCAGGTACGGTGCTGCTGCATCCATTCTCATTGCAGTCGTTCCTCAATATTGCAGATACTGAGGTGGTTTTGCTTTTTTTTTTTTTTTTTTTTTTTTTTTTTTCTTCATTGTCCCGTAATAGGAGGACAAGGTGTATGTGCAACACCTAATTGAACAGCAGGCGGCCTTGGTCTGGAAGTACATTGACACTCAAGAGGGGATGATTCTGCTGTCGGGGAGCTCAAATCGTATGCCGACAGATGTGATGAAGGCGTTGCAGAGGGTCTTTGCTTCGCAGGGCAGGATGTCGATCGAGCAGGCGAGCGTGTATCTGGACAGGCTTGAGAAGGAGGGCAGGTTCCAGCAAGAGTGCTGGTCTTAGAGAAATAAAGTCGAGATGAGACTCAAGCCGTCCATCTTTGCCAGCTTTTGTTTTGCATAGCCTTTGCCCGTCATCGTCGTTGTTGTCTTCTACCTCTAAAAGTCTGTATGGTGTGAATATGAGAAGGATCGGCTCCACTTGTCACTGGCGTTTTCAAATCCACTGCCTATAATTTCGCCCCCCCCCCCCCCCCCCCCCCCCACTTTCCCGCTACCTATCCCAACAGTCTTCTGGTCCAATTCCCCCAAGTAAGCAACACATACTGTACGCCTCGGTTACGACAGCGCCCCATTCACCATCCCATAACAAGGCGTTTGAAAGATATGTAAACGATAACGGTGAGGGTCTAGCACAAAACTCGAGAATGAAAACACGCATGCATCGCAGTACAGTCAAAACTGGCTTAACCTAAACTGGATTAACGGAAAATCTGGGTTAAAGAAAGCTTTTCTTCGGTCCCAACGAAAAACATATGGGGGTTTTCAGGAATCGGGTTAAAGTCAAAAGGAAAGGTTTCTCTGGTTCTTGACCCTTTGTTAAGCTAAATCCAAAAATAGTTACATGGGATTTGTGCGTACAGTTTATTTGCCTTTGGCAAACATCTCAAGGAGTGTCGTTTGCTGTAGGCCAGACACGCGCCTGCTGTCAGCGAAGTCTCTCATTCTGCAGGTGGCAGCAATGTTTTTTGATTGATCTGTATCCTGCTGCTCGAAATATAGTCGAATTGTGTCCAGCATCTGACATGCAAGAATGGACTTCACTATAGGCTCTTCTGCCGCGTCATCGTCACTGTCTAACTCCTCGCCCTCTATATCCTCCTCCCCACTAGCAGCAAGGATTTCTGCGGCGTATATTATCGGGTTTGGGATCTCACCGATTATGTTTTCCTCTGGAATATTCAGTAGCGCTGATATATCCATAGGGTCCCTATACAGCCGGGCCTGTCCTTGCTTAAGATCGTTCACAGCCTCTTGGTCCAACAGATTGTCTTCAACAGGTGCCAACAAAGCGCTCTCGGATCGAATATTACAGTGGCGAAAGCAGTTGAATATAGTTGTCGCTTTTACATCACGCCATGCAGACACGGCCATCTCAATTGCTTCTCTAATGCTGACAAACGAATAATCCTAAGGCTTTTCTAAAAAGGCTCCTGCTGGCCGTTGGATGTTGAGTGCCACATCCATCTCCTTGCGCCTCTTTTGCGAAGGAAGGGTCTCAATGCGGTGAATGATGTGCTTTGTCAGGCGGCGGTGATAATAGCTGGCAGAGTCGAATAACATGAAGACTCAAGCTTATTATCCGAGGGCCAGGACCATATATGTGTTATCTTCTTTTATTGAAATAAAACGCGAAAATCCAGAAACTACCCGTAAGGAAAAAATGAAATAAATTCTGCTCGTATACCATGAATGCCTACTATCTTCTCAAAGGAGAGCCAGGGCGCGCAGAAATGAACCAGGGTGGGAAAAGAGGGTGGGACATATATGGTCCTGGCCCTCGGATACTAAGCTTGAGTCTTCATGTTATTCGACTCTGCCAGCTAATAACCATTTTCCTAGAAGCTTAGATCCTTTACAATAGATGACCAAGCGCTCACGCGGGTACTCCATACTTTATAACGCGCTAGATACTCTACATGCCTGAAGAGATCTAGACGCATCCTTTTTTATCTTTATTCTTCTATATAAGCTGGAGTGTGTTCCCCTCCAAGATTAGTTGCTCAGTTCCTACTACACGAATAAACATTCTTCTTCCATACACTTACCTGCCTACCATGCCTCTCGAACACTCGAGCCCCCCACGACTTGTAAGTCTTGTCAACTTACTCTTGAGCTTGATCCGTGGTTGACTCGACTCTTGATATCCAAACCTTCCTCGCTCCATCGCGTCACACCAGTGGTTGGAGTTTGGAAGTTGTGTTGGCCGGAAGATAAAGGATTGTTGTGTTTGTCAGCTCTGGAAGTTTCTTGAGTTTAGAGCCACTGTGCCCTGTAAAGTTGTCAAGTAAAAGGAGCGCCTTTCGTTGTTTGATCTTCATCCTGATGTCAAACTGTGTCAGCCAGCTGCTGAATATCTCCGTCGTCATCTAGGTGGATTTATTATGATAGTAGCTGCAGCCCAGGTTAGCGACATTTATGTTCTTGAAAGACCGAGGGTTCTTGGAGTGACCGACAACAAGGGGCGGCAACTTGTCCGAACCGTCACCGTTGCAGCAGAATGCAAGTTTAATCCTCTCTTTTATCTGCTTCCGACCTTCCAGTTTCGTATTAGCCAAGGACCTGTCAGACTAGAGTATATAGGCGCAACACGGTAGAGTTAGTAGAAAAAATACACCTGTAAGAGTTTTGTGTGGAAGAGCTGACAAGGTGAGTCTTGGGACAAGAGGATACTGGAGACAGGGAACTTTATGACAGGGACTAGGACTAGACAAGACTGACTAACTAGCTAGACTAGGCGCGTCCTTTTATAGTTGTCTACAGCTTGAGTATTACTAAGCTGGGTCTTACTAATAAAGAGAGTGTTCTGGATGGATCTGGCTGTAGGTGGGTATCTGCAAATAGTCAGGAGTCGGAGGGGTTCTAGGGTGGAATCAGAGGTTTATTCGATGATTGATTACTGTCTAATCCTACGTTTGAAGGGCTCTTATATACTAGACACAGTTGTGTTGGAATGCTCTAGAAACTAGGCGCAGCATGGTTATGACCATGACATCATTCTCGAATAAACAGTTGTACCTGTTGCACCTCCCCATCTTAAAAAAAAACGTTACTCCTTTTCACGCTTGGCCTCGAACTCTGCTAGGGCCTCCTTAGCATTGACCAATGACGCCTTTGGCTCCCAGGTTGCCTCTTCCAGTGGGTATCCTTTCCATTGAACGAGCCATTTAGGTGTCCTACCAAATATTTTGTGATCCAGAATGCGTTCTACTTCGAACTCTTCTTCTCCATCAATGAGCTCCGGTGAAGGTCGAGGCGGTATGCGATCGCCGAACTCAGTTGGTGACTCGGTGTAAAGACGGAGCAAATCGGCATTGAACACAGGATGTTGGTGCATATTGGGTGGCAGGTCGATCTTGAATGCGTTGTCATTGACCTGCTCGACAATCCTGTAAGGGCCGATATATCGCGGTTCCAGCTTTCTTGAGGGTCGATTGGCATGTGCTGCGACCGAGAGGTGTTCTGTGCTAAGAAGTACCCTGTCTCCGACGCCGAACGGCACGTTACTGCGGAATTTATCTGCTTGCTGCTTCTGGCGGTCCTGAGCAGCGACGATGGCATCCTGGGCGCGAGCGAGAGCAGCCGACTGAGCAGCCACGAAGTCTGAGACTGATGGCACGTTGGTGGTGGACGGCTTCAAAAGTGATGCAGGCACGAGAGGGTGGTGACCATAATTGAGAAAAAAGGGCGAAAATCCTGTCGTTGGGTTTACCGAATTGTTGTACGCAAACTCGAGCATCGGCAAGAACAGATCCCAGTCCTTTTGGTTATACGAAATGTAAGAGCGCAGCATCTCTTCGAGCGTTCGATTGGCACGTTCCGTTTGGCCGTCCGTCTGAGGGTGATATGCCGTTGACATGTTCAATTTGGTCCCCATCATCTTCATTAATGCCGTCCAGAATTTGCCTGTGAAGCGAGAGTCGCGGTCCGAGACGATGGCGCGCGGCATACCATGCAAGCGGAAGACTTGCTCGAAAAATAATCGGGCGACGTCGGTGGCGGAGTCCGTGGTATGACTAGCACAAAAATGGACCTGCTTGGACAACTTATCTACAATGACCGTGATCGCATCGACTCCACGGCTTGTTTTGGGAAGTGACACGATGAAATCCATGGAGACTGTATCCCATCGCTG